TCTCACAGATCAAGAAGCTTAAATTTACCTCTTGGAATGTAAGGGGGATGATTAAAATAGTTAAACTTAAGCAAGTGATGACGAGGATTAAGCAACTTGAATCCTCTATAGTATTCCTTCAGGAAACTCATTTACTTAAAGAGGAGCTCCAAAAGGTACAAAGAAGATGGCCAGGTCAGGTCTTGGCTTCATGTTTTTCTTCCCATTCGAGGGGAGTTATGGTGTTGATCCATAAAGCCGTACCCTTCCAAGTAAATAAGAACATTACAGACAAGGCTGGTAGATATAAAAATATTAATATTAAATATATAAATATTAATTTGGTTAATATTTATGCCCCAAATGAGGATAATCCTGCATTTTTTGAACATCTTTTCTTATTGATTGCCTCACTACCTGGAACAGTGATAGAGTAGCAGGTGATTTTAATTGCACACTTGATCCGGTGCTTGATCGCTCTTCAGGACTGGATAGCTCTCACTCTCAGGGTAGAAAGAAAATAAGACAAGCTATGAAAGATTTAAATCTATGTGACCCTTGGAGAACACTAAATCCTTTAAAAAGGGAATACTCATGTTTCTCTTCTTTATCTAAAACCTCCTCTCGTATAGATTATTTCTTAATTTCAGTTTCTTTATTGCCTAGTATAGAAAGTTGTATATACGATAGTGTGGTTTTGTCAGATCATTCCCCCACCTCATTATTTTATTTAGACAATCAAACAACAAAAAGTTCCCCTAGATGGCGCTTGCAGACTAGATGGTTGCAAAACTCTGAATTCGTTAAATTTTTTGGTGAACAGATTGTATTTTACAATAAATACAGATCAAACCTCGGCGGCCATTAGATGGGAAGCCTTTAAGGCATTTATTAGAGGCCAAATGATTAGCTACTAGATCCAAATTTAATAAAGATAGACAAAAGCTGCTTGAGTTAGACACTGAAATCAGAGATTTAGAGAAAATAATAAACCTAGATAAATCTGTGCGAATTAAGCAAAAATTATTAGCATTAAAAGCGGAATACGAGGAACTTTCAACACTAAAAGCTGAAAATTGTATATTAAGATTGAAACAAACTTTTTATGATCAGGGTGAGAAATCCAGTAAACTGCTGGCCTGGCAACTTAAGAAATTAACATCAGAAAGAGCTATTAATGAAATTATTAATGGGAAAGGAGAAATTACAACGGATCCGGCTGAGATTAACTGTACATTTGTATCGTTTTACAAATCTCTGTATCAAACCGAATTTCCAATAAGTGCCTTTACTCAAAACAAATTTTTGGATGGGTTGGATATTCCCTCTATTTCCAAAGAGACAAAACTTGAGCTAGATAGGGAATTGGAATTAGAAGAGGTTTCTAATGCTATTCTTAAAATGAGGGGCGGTAAGGCGGCGGGTCCGGACGGACTCCCAATCGACATTTATAAGGAATTCAAAGATAAATTAATAGGCCCGTTACTGGATATGTATGTAGAAGCTTTTCAGCGAGGATCTCTTCCTCCCTCGTTGAGAAGTGCCCTGATCACTCTTATTTTGAAGCCAGGAAAGCCATCTGTAGAATGTGGGTCATATAGACCAATCTCACTTTTGAATACAGATGCAAAAATTATTGCTAAAGCCTTGGGGATGAGACTTGAGAAGGTCCTGCCTCTGCTGGTGCACTCAGACCAGAATGGCTTTGTTAAGAATCGTCAAGGTTTCCACAATGTTAGGAGGGTACTCAATTTGGTACATGCCGGGAACGGTGCCCTGATATGGCCATCCTGTCGCTTGATGCCGAAAAGGCATTCGACAGACTTGAATGGCCATATATGTTGGAGGTTCTTGCTCGGTTTGGTTTTGGTGATAATTTCCGCAGATGGATGGAAATTTTATTAGTTGATTCTACGGCGGAGGTACTCACTAACAATCTTATCTCACAACCATTTAAATTAAGTCGTGGTTCCAGACAAGGCTCGCCCCTTTCGCCTCTACTCTTTGTATTATCCATGGAACCGCTTGCAATAGCAATTAGATCACACCCTATAATACGCGGTATTCATTCAGCAGTTTTAGAACACCGTATTGCCTTATATGCTGATGATACTATAGTGTTTCTATCAGAGCTTGAAAAATCGATACCTTCCCTTTTAAAGCTCATGGGCATGTTCGGTGTTTTTTCTGGGTTTAAAGTAAATAAAGACAAGTCATCAATCATGTTTCTAAATGAGCAAGAGAGAATTAATCCAAAAATAGTACATCCTTTTGTTAACGCGGTTAATGGTTTTGATTACCTAGGAATTAAAATAACCCCAAAATAGGCTCACTTAGTTCAGCCAACTATGAACCTTTAATGGCGAAGGTGTCTGAGGAGACGACTAGGTGGATGACCCTGCCCCTGTCTTTAATGGGAAGAATAAATGTGATTAAGATGAACGTATTACCGAGATTTTTATATGTCTTTCAATCGGTACCACTTGCCCCTCCTCCTACTTTTTTCCAAAAAGTGAGTAAGCTTCTTTCCAATTTTGTCTGGAGCAACAGGAAGCCTACTTCGATTGTCCCTTCTATACCTGCCCTATGACAGGGGGGGGGGGGGGGCTACAATTACCAAATTTATTGTGGTATTATTGGGCTGCTCAAATGAGGGCTGCAATGTTCTGGTTCTCTAGAGATACGAATATGCCTTGGTTACAGGTTGAAATGTTGGCTGCAAAAGGCTTGACACTTGACAGCTTTTTACATTCAGCACCCCTTAAAGAACTAAAAAGAAAAACAGACAATCCATTTGTGAAGAATACCATTATGGTCTGGTACGAAGTTCATAAATTTCTTGGAGAGGCCCCATTGTTATCTTGCTTCTCCCCGATTTGGGGGAATGAATATTTCACTCCAGCTAAAAATGATATGGGGTTTAAACTATGGTTGAATAAGGGAATAGTTAGATTGATGGATTTATATGAAGACAATATTTTAATGTCATTTGACAATCTGGTATCAAAGTTTCATATACCCCGGAAACATTTTTTTAAATACCTGCAGCTCAGAAGTTTTATTTTTTCAAAACTAAAGAATTCTGTGCAACTCCCTTCATTATCCACACTGGAAACCTTTTCCACACAAGACTGTTTCAGTAAAGGGTGAATTACCCAATTGTATAATATAGTGATACAGAATCATAAAGAAAATTCTGAAAATAAATGACGAGCATGGATGCAGGATTTAAATAAAGACATTTCATCAGATGAGTGGGGTACAATATGTTTAAAAGCACAAACTCAAACTATAAATACTCGTTTGAGACTGTTACAATATAATTGGATAATGAGAACTTATATCACACCTGTGAGATTAAATAAATTTAACCCTAGTATTCCTGACTTATGTTTTAAATGCAATAATTTCCAAGGCACATTTTTTCATTGTGTGTGGGAATGTGGTGAGGTACAAAAGTTTTGGAGCAAAGTGACTCAGTATGTATCTCAATTTACTACTACTCCTATCTCTTTGAGTCCGGTAATATGTATATTGGGTGTCTATGGGGACAATTGCTCTCTGCCAGTCAAAGAGAAAAAACTGGTGGATTTGTGCCTACTACAAGCCAGGCGTTCAATTGCCCTTTGCTGGAAGAATACAAGTTGTCCTTCCCTTGGACTTTGGCTGAAAAACTTGATATCCAGTTTGGCCCTTGAGAAGCTTACATATGTGATCAAGGGGAAGTCTTCTGAATTTTATGAAATTTGGGAGATGTTCTTGAGATTTGTTAAAGAAGGAGATATTGAAAATGCTATAGATGTGTGAAGTTGTAGTATATAATGCTGAATGGGAGTGTGTGTGATATATAGCACTGTATGTTTAAGGAAATTTATTATTATTATTTTCTTTTATTTATTTATTTATTTTTATTTTTACTTTTTATGACTGCCAGGGTTATTGTGGAGGGGGAGGGATTTGAGTAAGTTATGTTTGTATTAAGTGTATGTTATGTTCTTATGTTAAATGTGTTGTAAAATTCAATAAAAATATGTCAGCAAAAAATAAATTTGGTGATTCCCAAAGTTTTAGGCTAGTATTTTAATTTAATATCACTTATGTTAATAATAATATGTTAGGTTTAGGGTTAGGGTTAGGTTAACAATTGTTAGTTATCCTGCGGCCACCTTGAAAGTTTGCTGAGAAGTGTGTTCTGGCGCCTAGGTTGAGAAAAACTGTGTTAGATTTATATAATAATTTAATGCTCAATAATATTGTATCTCTCTAAAGAACCCGGAATATGCTTTTATCGTTTAAAAAAAAAGGAAATCCATGGTAAGTGCCAAGAACTGTGTGGAGTTTAATTATAGGGAATCTTTTTGCAGAAACAGTGACACTGGGTGTAATCTTGCCTTGAGACCAAATCTCAAACACTAAATCATCACTGTAAAGTCAATTGCTTGTATGAATGCACTGGAAAAACTGAATGATAATTTAAAAAATGATTATGGTTATGACAATGATGAGGATAATTGTGTCTTAAGATGGGGGACTATGGCTAATAGCATGTCTGATAACCTTTGTGCCCCAGTAATGATCAACTCATCAATCCACAGGTTTCTATTAAATGTGAAGACGAATCAGAGCCACGGCTCCATTGTGCTTTTCTCAAGGGTTGGCTTGCCCTTTGGTTGCCATGGCGACCCCTGACTTTGCCTGTCAGGAATGAATCCTGAACCTGTCAAATTGAATGAGCATCAACATCTATACACAAAACTGCATGTTTGTTAGTAAAGTAGTGAATGTAACCTGCTCTCCACAACCACCATCTGCTTCTGTTATTTATTAGTAATCTTATGCTAATTTCTTAAGCAAATGAATATGAAGAAATCTCAATTAACCGGAATTAATCAGAAATAAGTGGTCATTTAAAAATGCAAAGATGCTCACTGATCTTAATGGTTGGATTTTATTAGCTTTCAAAACTAAAAGATGATAATGAAGATTCACATTATATTGTTTTTGTCACTTTACATCCACAGGATCAGACTTCCTGTGTGCGACACACATCATTCCAGTGAAGAACGAAGAGGGTGTTGTCATGATGTTCATCTTGAGCTTTGATTACGTGCTAAAGGAGGGTAGCATGGATTCGTTAGACAGACTCAACCACAGCTCCCCATCCAGACCAGAACAAAGTAAGACTGCTTCTCATCTTTATCTTTTCTCGTTCCCTATCTGTAATGCATTTTTTTTTCATTCCCATTACTGCAGTAAATTGACAACATCTTTCTTAATTGCTTACTTCCTGTCTCTTCCATTTAAACAAATGGAGTGTGGTTGATGAGTAGGAATAGATGGAGAGGTGTGCAGGAATAAATATCGAGAAGGCAGAGGAAGAGAGAAAGGTTTTTATTTTCTCCAGTTGCTCTGGCTCACCAGCACACACTGTCAACACTGAACACAGTCAGCTAGATAAAAAAAGGAAATGAAGTGGGGGAAAATAATTTATGTAACACAGTGTTACAATTATTTGGATCGCTGAGGCCAGGTGCTGACCGGCGCTTCATTTATAGGACAACTGTGCACATTAAACCACCCAATACAAGCAGAGAGAGACTATGCGTGTGTGTGTATGTGTGCGCATGCTATAATTATGGCAAGTGTTCATAGAGACCTAGAAGCAATAAAACTGCTGCACTGCATTTTCTGTAAAATATACTATTGCATCAGTATACACACATGTGCAGTGTGCACACACACATGCCTGATGTCCTCCTCTAACTCTGTATTGGAAAGTCACATCTGAACTATGAAATCCAATTAATATCCAATGCTAATACAGTCTCTGTGGTATCATAGCAACAGGGAATATTTTGAAAAAGACATCTGCGTGTGTTCGTATGCGAGTAAGTTAGAGGGACTGTTTAGTTAGGGCTGTTATTGCATTAATTAGGGGTTCAAGCACGAAGTGCTGAAACCCTATTGTAATTGTACTGATTTTTATTTCCTATTATAACTGTAAAGTTGCTTTGATACAATCTGTATTGTAAAAAGCGCTATACAGGTCCTTCTCAAAAAATTAGCATATTGTGATAGTTCATTATTTTCCATAATGTAATGATAAAAAATAAACTTTCATGTATTTTAGATTCATTGCACACCAACTGAAATATTTCAGGTCTTTTATTGTTTTAATACTGATGATTTTGGCATACAGCTCATGAAAACCCTAAATTCCTGTCTCAAAGAATTAGCATATTTCATCCGACCTGCAATAAAAGAAGTGTTTTTAATACAAAAAAAAAAGTCAACCTTCAAATAATTATGTTCAGTTATGCACTCAATAGTCAATACTTGGTCGGGAATCCTTTTGCAGAAATGACTGCTTCAATGCGGCGTGGCATGTAGGGCAATCAGCCTGTGGCACTGCTGAGGTGTTATGGAGGCCCAGGATGCTTCGACAGCGGCCTTAAGCTCATCCAGAGTGTTGGGTCTTGCGTCTCTCAACTTTCTCTTCACAATATCCCACAGATTCTCTATGGGGTTCAGGTCAGTAGAGTTGGCAGGCCAATTGAGCACAGTAATACCATGGTCAGTAAACCATTTACCAGTGGTTTTGGCACTGTGAGCAGGTGCCAGGTCGTGCTGAAAAATGAAATCTTCAGCTCCATAAAGCTTTTCAGCAGATGGAAGCATGAAGTGCTCCAAAATCTCCTGATAGCTAGCTGCATTGACCCTGCCCTTGATAAAACACAGTGCACCAACAACAGCAGCTGACATGGCACCCCAGACCATTACTGACTGTGGGTACTTGACACTGGACTTCAGGCATTTCGGCATTTCCTTCTCCCCAGTCTTCCTCCAGACTCTGGCACCTTGATTTCCGAATGACATGCAAAACTGAGCAACAGTCCAGTGGTGCTTCTCTGTAGCCCAGGTCAGGCGCTTCTGCCGCTGTTTCTGGTTCAAAAGTGGCTTGACCTGGGGAATGCGGCACCTGTAGCCCATTTCCTGCACACGCCTGTGCACGGTGGCTCTGGATGTTTCTACGCCAGACTCAGTCCACTGCTTCCGCAGGTCCCCCAAGGTCTGGAATCGGTCCATCTCCACTTCCTCAGGGTCAGGTCACCTCTTCTCGTTGTGCAGCATTTTTTGCCACACTTTTTCCTTCCCACAGACTTCCCACTGAGGTGCCTTGATACAGCACTCTGGGAACAGCCTATTTGTTCAGAAATTTCTTTCTGTCTTACCCTCTTGCTTGAGGGTGTCAATGATGGCCTTCTGGACAGCAGTCAGGTCGGCAGTCTTACCCATGATTGCGGTTTTGAGTAATGAAACAGGCTGGGAGTTTTTAAAAAGCCTCAGGAATCTTTTGCAGGTGTTTAGAGTTAATTAGTTGATTCAGATGATTAGGTTAATAGCTCGTTTAGAGACCCTTTTCATGATATGCTAATTTTTTGAGACAGGAATTTTGGGTTTTCATGAGCTGTATGCCAAAATAATCAGTATTAAAACAATAAAAGACCTGAAATATTTCAGTTGGTGTGCAATGAATCTAAAATATATGAAAGTTTATTTTTTATCATTACATTATGGAAAATAATGAACTTTATCACAATATGCTAATTTTTTGAGAAGGACCTGTATAAATGATGGTGACTTGACTTGATTTGTTATAAATTGATTATTTGCTATGGCAGTGTAGAAAGTATTATGCTGAGACACACAACATGATGCTTTTAAAAGCTGTGACAAAAAATTCAAGCTGGGATGAATATAGATTTCCTAGATCTCTCTTCCTCTTGAGAGCAAGGCTGAGGGTTAAATTGAGAAGAAGTGCATTGAACCAGCAAAGCAGACACAAACTAGCTAGTAAAATGTAAATGAAAAGCTTTTCCATCCTGATTCTGTCAATGATTTATTAGGCCTTACTCTGATAAAAATTGAAGGATGTCCCACTCAAAAAAGCCTCTTTTGTGGGATGCATTAGGCTGTTTTGATGAAGGAGTGATATAAATAGCCCAGTTTGGAGACTTTTAATTAATGCTGGCGTGGTACTGAAACCCCAGGGGAAGAGACAGACAGAGAGAAATTGAGAAATCACAATGCAGAGATGAAAAAATATAGATTCTTGATCATAATGTACAATATCGTGGCCTTATAACTTTGTTTAGCTGTTGAATTAAATTAAATATTTAATAATATTGTCCCTGTATGCTGTTTTAAAGGTTTCTAATGTTGTTTTGGAGGTCTCCTACAAAAGGTTTACATGCATCCAAGGTCAAAAACCGCTTTAATTTTCTCTTCACGAGTTCACACTTACAAATAATCAGATTAAAAGAGTATGCTTATTTGGCTTGCTGTCCAAGGAGAGGGCTCCGAGCTTGGTGTTTTGGCACAAACCCAGAGTACTTTCCCCGTATCCCTGGCTGTGATAGTAACCAGCCAAGAGTGAGGAGTTGGAATCATTTGAATGTGTTCCTCCCCAACTTTGTTAATAAAACATCATATAAATTGCAGCATCACCTCTTTTCTTATGGTGTCTGATACGGTTCGGCCTTTCTAAACCCCCCCTTTCCTGATTGGTCGGATGGTTCCGTCTATTGTGATTGGTCTACTGCTTATTTATCTACTTGGGAGAGTGTCTTCAAAAGCTGTCTCAGTGTAGACGAAGGCCAAAGTGTCGAGAAAAAGATGCATTTTCAAATGTATTCAGAATAAGTGTAGACGTAGCCTCAGACTGCAGAAAACTGCTGACGCTGCTTAAAATGTCATGTCAACTACACTAATACAACAGAAACGGATGGCATGAGCTTTTCTAGGACATCAGTAATGATTTTGTTGGGCATCAAGCTTTCAAGAAGCTCTCCCACACCCAGTGTTGTGGTATTGCCAATAATATAATGTTTGATTAAGCTGGTCTCACTGGTCCATATATAATTTAGCTGTATTTTCTTTTTGGTTGGTATGATGCTCAGGTAATAAAAATCCATGTGTCCTAGGGCTGTCTTGCCCTCCAGAGGAGAAAGAGGCATAGAGAGAATTCAAACTTAATGCATGTTTCATCTCCGAATTTTATTGATACATTTTATTGATGTCCCAGTGTTCCCTACAACAGAGACATTTCTGCTTCTTTAACATTCAGGCAGTTCTTGTTAAAGATTCACAGTGTGTGTAGGACCACGTGGCTGCAGAGGTTTTCCTGCATTGTCCCCATCAGAGTAACTTTGTTTGACGACTACTATCATTAGTTCCCTTTCAGTCGAGAACATCAGACGTAGTCGGCGTCGACTGAATGGGATCACGCCAGGGAGCCAGTCATCTTCGAGTACTATTAAACGAGCCAATGGAATTTGGCGTGCATGACTTGCATCGCACACTCCGCCCCCGCGGCGCGGGTATAAATACGAAAGTGGATGCACGCACTAGTTGCCTTTCGCTTCTGAGCCAATCGTTTGATGTCTCTGAAGAGTCCTGTTGTTTACAACGAGCGAGTGTGTCGGTGTTTTTCTGGAAGACTCTCCCAGTGCTGGTGGTTTCTACAGCGCGACTGAAAAAAACTCCCCCAAAAAGTGCAGAATGAATTTGGGACAGCAAGTTAGATTAAGCATGATCAAAATAATTTAGGACTTAAGTATACAGGATGCCTAAAAGCTTAAAGCATGCTACCCCCCAAAAGGAGTGGAAATTTAAGCGGTATGGAGCATGGATAAACACTGCTGCGGCAGCTATATAGTTAACAGGGTTCCTGTAGGAACTTGGCTGGAACGCATCTCCCTACTATGTCCACCATGTGGAGCTATAAGCGGTGCTCCGCCGGGAGCTGTGTTTGAAAGAGTGTGCATGCGTTCGTTGCTGAGTGAACAACATGAGGCTTGTGTAAGTTTGACTGGGGTACATCTCGCCTCTGCACTGCTGTGGCAGTGACTTTCAGAAATTACTCCTGTGGGAGTATCTTGGGACAGGAGGTTTGAGTACGAGGCTGGAGAACGCCCTGCCGCAGCGTCCATGACATGGAGCCCCATGAAGTCAAAGGAACATGGGGCTCCCAGATGTCACAGACGGGGGAGGAGGTACTCGTCCCTAAAGGCAAACAGGCCACTGATATCCAAAGCGAACCTTACTGGAGGAATGCGGACCCCCCTCGGGCAATCATGTTGTGTAAAGTGGTAACAACAGACGCATCCTTAACAGGGTGTGGGGCCACCCAGGAGGGCAGAACTGTAAATGAACACTTCACTCAGCCCATATAAATAATTTGGAGCTCCTCACTGTGTGTAAGGCTCTGAATCATTTTCTGCCCCGTTTGCAGGGGCATCACGTGCTGGTACGCTGCGACAATACCACAGCTGTATTACATATCAACGGCCAAGGGGGGATTCGCTCCTCTAAGCTTCATGCACTAGCTCACAAGCTATTAATATGGAGCTGGTGGCACTTTCTGTCGTTACGGGCGACCCATGTCTTGGGCATACTGAACAGGGGTGCAGACCTCTTGTCGAGGGGGAACCCACTCTATGGAGACTGGCGCATCCATCATCAGATAGTGAGTCTGCTGTGGGGAGATTGGGCCAGGCAACCGTTGAGCTCTTTGCCTCTCGTGAAAACGCCCATTGTCCTATGTTCTTCTTGCTGTGGGACAAGGATGTCCCCCTCGTCGTGGACGCACTGGCACATCAGTGGCCCAACATGTTGCTCTACGCCGTTTCTCCTCTTTGCCTATTAACACTGACTCTGGCCAGGGTGAGAGAACAGAGCCTGACTGATTTTGGTAGTAGGTGGCCCAAAACATGGCTCCCAGAGATTATTCCTCTGCTGTATGCCCAGCCGTAGCCCCTTCCATTACTCTCGGACCTCTTGTCCCAAGCGAACTGGGAAATTTACCACCCTCATCCAGACAGGCTTGCCCTCTGTGCCTGGCCCATGAGAGGTCAAACTTAAACACACTGGGGTTCCCCCCACGTGTTATTGACACTATTTAGAATGCTAGGGCCTCTTCTACACAGTCCCTTTATGACTGTAAGTGGCAAGTGTTTGAGGAGTGATGTGAAGGGCGCCGGGTGGTATCATATCAGTGCTCAGTTTCTGATATTTTGTGTTTTCTGCAAGACCTTATGAATGTTGGAAAAGCTTTCTCTACCATTAAGGTCTATTTATTTATTTATTTAGTGGCTATCATGTCATGTTGGGTTTGAGGCCGCTACGGTGGTGTGCAACACCATCTTATATTTAGATTTATGAAGGGCGCTCATCGTTCTCTTCCAGTCACTAGAAGAGCGTTTCCAGTGTGGGATCTCTCCATGGTGCTGGAGGCTTTGTCTCAACAGCCTTTTTCTGAAAGCGTGCTGCACTGCTACAGCAAATGCTGACCCAGTATTTGAAGGTTGAGCAGCAAGCTCATTGGCTACTTATATAGCAGGAACCAATCAGCTGTGCCCTATAAAGAATGATGTGAATGCAAGCAGATTGAGTTAAGGACCTATAAGTCTCCACCATATAGTTTCATGACAGAACTATTTAATTTAGGGCTTTTATTCACATATAAACATTCGTCACCACACACATCAGATATGGTAAATGGAAGCTCAAGCATGTTTGCAGGTTCATTCTCGTGTGTAACGCAGCATGTTTAAGCTTCTGCAAGAACCAATGAGGTTTGTTATATGTGAATATAAATCTTTTCATCGTATAAAGCGATCAAGTTTCTTCAGAAAATTTGGACTAAACTGCTCAATTCATATGGATTAGTTTCACGATTTCTGTATACGTTTTGAAGCTACAAAATGGTAGTTGTGTGGACTGCCAATGGAGGGACAGAAATCTCTCAGATTTCATTTAAAATATATTTTGTGCTCTCGCAAAAACTCCCTTAATTTGACAGGGCCCCTTATCTAGAATTTTGAATTCCCCCAAGCCCCCATTAATTTACAACCCTGGAGAAGGACGTGTATTTTTTATTACATTTTATACAAAATAATAAAATAATGCTTCTTTCTGGTTACCTCCCCTGAAACCTGCTCTGTCACTTTTTTGTAGAAAAAGGACGTTTCTTCCGTTTTCGTCTGCCTGCCCCATTAAGCATGCTAGGAGTGAGTAAGCAATCCCTCCCCCAAGAAGACCCGGATGAGGTGACCATTCATTCGGCTGATCAGAATGAGAAACGCTCTTCCTGCTCGTCATCTCTCTCCCTTTCCCTCTCTCCACGTGAACTCCATCCACCAACCGGCGAGAGCTGTAGCCCCTCTTATGGAAATGACACCCGTGCTCTGATTGGCCAGAGTTGTCTGGGATCATGCTCGCCGATCTCAGGGCCACAGGATCACTCGTCTCCACGGGGCCCCTGGGAACGGATGGACCCCCAGGAGCCTTTGGCGACTGCATCCAGGATGGCATCACAGGCCAGTATGTGCACATTTAGGAGACCATCATCTACACAAGATTTAGAAGGAATCAGTACGCACACACAAAGGACGTACCGTGATCGCCATGCTAGCGAAGGTATGCACACGTTTCAAAATACACAAGCATAAGCTTTTATGAATTTTTATACAACCAGTATTAAGTTTGTGGTTCTAATTGGCTTTATGCACAGCTGCACTACTTACTGAACTTCAGCCAGCTCCTTTGTTTCCTGTCTGCCATTATTGGACAAACTAATTAATCTAGGTGTGCCTGGCCTCAGTAACAATAATCAGGCACACCTGGATTAATCAGTTTGTCCAATAATGGCAGACAGGAAACAAAGGAGCTGGCTGAAGTTCAGGAAGTAGTGAAGCTGTGCATAAAGCCTATTAAGTGACTTGATTTGGTAAAATCACAGCAACCAATGAACTGGAAGGTGCATAAATTAAAACCAGCCACACATACAGTATATGCACACTGTTAAAGGAGAACTCCGGTCAATTTTAACATTGAGCTATTTTTTTTGTACATTTGGAGTGCTGTCAGTACAGATAAAAACGACAAAAATCGGTGTTGCCTACACCGTGTTATCCTCTTTTTAAAATTCGCACCCTGTTGACTTCAATGGGGCAAGTTCTAAACCTGCTTTTAGCCTCTTAACATCCTTGATTTGTCATTACAAGTGCACAGCCATGCGAGTGGTGTTATTAAGAGTGACCACGGTCAATCTGACTGCAGTAGATGTGAAAGATATTAATAAAAATTATGTTAATTCAGCCAGCTCACATACCTGTATTTACTTCCTGTTTTCGTTCAAAGTCCACAGTAGTCGATTGTCGAGTTCGCGCGCGCGATCTTAGAAATACAGGTATGTGAGCTGGCTGAATTAACATAATTTTTATTAATATCTTTCACATCTACTGCAGTCAGATTGACCGTGGTCACTCTTAATAACACCACTCACATGGCTGTCCACTTGTAATGACACATTAAGGTTGTTAAGAGGCTAAAAGCAGGTTTAGAACTTGCCCCATTGAAGTCAACAGGGTGCGAATTTTAAAAAGAGGATAACACGGTGTAGGCAACACCGATTTTTGTCATTTTTGTCTGTACTGACAGCACTCCAAATGTACAAAAAAATGAGCTCAATGTTAAAATTGACTGGAGTTCTCCTTTAACTCATCTTTGTGGGGTCTTTCTATTCACGTCTGTTGATCCTATTTTATCCATTGTAATTTATGTCCATTGTAATTTCCACTACAATTCTATCATCCTATATATGTATGCGGCTATTAATTTAGAAACTTTTTAAAATAAAAAAGAAGGTTCTAGATATGAATAGGGTAAGATATTCCCTTGAGAATTATACTTGGTTATGGGGGCAGTGTCAGACTTTTACTCAAAGTATCTAGCCAAAAATATACTCGAGTCAAATTAAGGTTTCCACATTTAACTGTACTTAAATATTTAAAAGTAAAAAAAAATCTTTTTTCTTAGCCCTTGAAACTGACTGATGAAATCAAGAGACAGGGCCGTTTTTCTCATTAAAATGAATCATTTTCTCAATGCCATGACTTTGTAAGGCTCTAGGACACGGCAGGTGTTAAACTTTGACATATCCTGAAATGTGTTACCTGAAATTACTGAGCATTCAATTCAACTGCAGCTTGTTTTATAGTTGTTTGGCGCTTGAATATCATTGTTTATGAACTGCTATAATTAAATTATTAAATTGTAGCTATAACTTAATTAAAAAGCATTGCTTTAGGTCAAAGGCCTAAAATGTTGCCATGACTGTAGAGATATATCTTCACAAGGACGATTGACTATAGCTCTGAGGCCAATTGAAATTGATTGTAAAAAATCCACACAGGGGTTCTCCTCTCACACCAAGCACAACATAACATTCGGGGAAAGGGTCTCTCTCCCCCGTCCCAGGTGTGCGGGTGCTTATATCCGTCTCTCCGCCATTTACTAGAATTAGAGACAGGTGTTAGTCATTATTCACTTGACCTCCTTATCACCACTTGTCTCCCACCTGTTCCCCTGCTGCAGACCACGCCCTCCTCGCCACATTGATTTTATTGGTTGTGTTAAATAAAAGTGCTCTAAAATTCACAGGACCGTGATGTGACTTGTTAGTTTAGTAAAACAGACAAAAATATGTATTTTAAAGAAGATTATAGATTCCCATCATGATAACCAGTGAAATATGTAGCTTGTACTTGAAGGCCTTTGAAATAAATTGTAAGGTAAGAAATATGCTGCTTTTTCCATAGAAATGTGAGGAAGTAAAAATGCATGTTTTATTAGTACTCTAGAACAAATTCCCCAAAATAACACTTAATGAAGTACCATTATTCAAGTAATTTATAACCCTGATATCGATTGCTTTTAATCTGAATTAAACGTCCCATATAAAATATATCTATCTATAATTATCATTTTGTTTCATGTGATGATAATTTTGATTCGTAATTGTCAAAACTAAGGTTCTTTATTATTATTATTTAATAAAACTTGGAAAAAGATTTCCAGTATACCATACTCACAGCATTATCATTTAAGCACAATTTAAAGCTAGTGGTCTCTACATAATATAAAATATGAAAACGTACATTTGTGGTAACACTTTAGTTTAGTGTCCTTTTTACAAGTTACATGTAGTTACTATAGTAATAACTAAAATTATGCATAATTACATCCAACTAATCCTAACCATATAGAAAGTACATGTAGTTAATTAATATTACTCAGTATTTATGTATGTATAATTACAAGGACACCTTCAGATTAGACACCTTAACCACATTTGCTATATGAGCAAAAATGCCACTTTAAAGGGGTCATGATATGGATTTTTTTTTAAATTATTTTAATATGTTCCTTAAAGCTGCAGTCCGTAGCTTTTTTGGGTTAAAAATGATCCAAAATAAATTTTTGAGCAAATACATAACCAGTGTTCAAAACTATTTGCTTGCCTTGGCTCGATTCAAAGCGGTAAGCTTGTAATAATGTTTTTCCAGTGGTACTGGTGGATTTCCGCTGGAAATTCGAGCATGTCTTTGCGTCATTACGTCACATCTGTACACATAAAGAAGGAGTCTCGGCTAGTAGGCTATATTGCGAGTGAGGATGCTGGAGGTGGAGATTTATAGCCTTTTCTCACAGCACTTGATATCATTAAACTTATCAATTTGATGGCGGATCCAGAAAGGTTCAAACGACAATCACCAGTGACAACTAGAGATTCACCCGTTGTAAAATGCAAAACACTTCGGAGTGGCTACAGAAAAAAAGATACTGCAACCGGGCCTATGCGAAAACAAGGATAATATCGGAAGGGCATTAAATGTAGTCACGCAATAATGATGTTGAACATTAACAATTTGAGAACAAAGTATAATTTGCACGGTTTTACATGATATGATAAGCGATTGTTAGATTTAATCAGCGCGATTTACTGCAATTATTTTTCCCCTTACTTGTTCAGATGACATTCGTTGAAAATTATTATGTTGGTCAATGGTCATACTTCCAAAAAGAATAATCTGTGATTCTGAATGCCAGTATCCACCCCGGCGAGGCGACTGACAGCCGCGCACTCTCCTCAAACATTGGATTCATCCGCGCTGTGCCATGTCGAGGCACAACTCACGTAAAGTTGATAATTCCGTGAATGACTGCAATTGAAGATTTCGAACAGAGATGGCGACAAAGAGGAAAAACTGCGGACTGCAGCTTTAAGGTTCTCTTATAATCTTAATTTTAAAAAAATTGCACAAAAAAATAAATAAATAAGTATATATATACACTACCGTTCAAAAGTTTGGGGTCAGTGAGAATTTTATTTTTATTTTTTGGAGGAAAGAAATCAATACTTTTATTTATCAAGGAATAATTAATTTGATCGAAAGTGACAGTAAAGACATTTATAATGTTACAAAAGTCTTTGGAACTTCCTATTCATCAAAGAATCCTAAAAAAAAAAAAAAAAAACTGTACAACTGACAGACCAACAACTGTTTCAACATTGATAATAATAATAAATGTTTCTTGAGCATCAAATCCTCATATTATACTGATTTGTGAAGGATCATTTGACACTGAAGACACTGACACTGGTGATGCTGAAAATTCAGCTTTGATCACAGGAATAAATTACACTTTACTATATATTCACACAGAAAACAGCTGATTTACACTGGAATAATATTTAATACTATAACTGATTTTTGTTGTATTTTTAATCAAATAAGCGCAGCCATGGTTAGCAGAAGAGAATTCTTTTAAAAGTATTTAAAATCGTACCGACCCCAAACTTTTGAACGGTAGTGTATATATATATATACAGTATATATATATATATACTATATATATATATATACAGTATGTATATATATATATATATATATATATATATATATACAGTGGGGGAAATAAGTATTTGACCCCTTGCTGATTTTGCAGGTTTGCCCACTTACAAAGAATGCAACGATCTATAATTTTAATCATATGTACATTCTAACAGTGATAGACAGAATCCCAAAGAAAATTCCAGAAAATCACATCATATGAATTTATAAAAATTGATAACCATCTGATGAGGAAAAACAAGTATTTGACCCCCTGGACAAACAGCATGTTAATATTTTGTAGAAAAGCCCTTATTGGCCAGCACAGATGTCAAACGCTTTTTATAGTTGGTGACAAGGTTTGTGCACATTTCGGCAGGGATGTTGGCCCACTCCTCCCTGCAGACAGCCTCCAAATCTTTCAGGTTCCGAGGTTGTCGCCTGGCAACTCGAATTTTAAGCTCCCTCCAAAGATTTTCAATTGGATTCAGGTCTGGAGACTGGCTAGGCCACTCCAGAACCTTGATGTGCTTCTTCTTCAGCCACTCTTTTGTTGCTTTGGCGGTGTGCTTAGGGTCGTTGTCGTGCTGAAACACCCATCCTCGACCCATCTTCAGCTCTCTCACTGAGGGAAGGAGATGTTGGTCCAGAATTCCACGATACATGGCCCCGTCCATCCTCCCCTCAATAGTTGTCCCGTCCCCTTGGCTGAAGAGCACCCCCAAAGCATGATGTTGCCACCACCATGCTTGACGGTGGGGATGGTGTTCTTTGGGTTGTACTCGGTGTTCTTTGCCCTCCAAACACGACGAGTTGAGTTGAGGCCAAAAAGTTCTATTTTGGTCTCATCTGACCACATCACCTTCCAGGCCTCTTCTGAGTCGTCCAGGTGGTGAATGGCGAACTTCATGCGGGCCTGTACATGTTTCTTCTTGAGCAGGGGGACCTTGCGTGCGCTGCAGGATTTCAATCCATGACGGCGTAGTGTGTTACCAACCGTTTCTTTTGTAACTGTGGTCCCAGCTGCCTTCAGTTGATTCATCAGTTCCCCCCTTGTGGTTTTGGGATGATTCCTCACCGTTCGCATGATCAGGGACACCCCACGAGGCGAGATCTTGTGTGGAGGCCCAGACCGAGGGAGGTTGGCGGTGGTGTGGTGCTTCTTCCATTTCCTGATAACTGCACCGACAGTTGATCTTTTCTCTCCAAGTTGCTTTCCGATTCTCTTGTAGCCCATCCCAGCCTTATGCAGATCAACAATCTTGTCCCTGATGTCCGTAGAAAGCTCTTTGGTCTTGCCCATGGTGGTGATGTTGGATGCTGGTTGTTTGGGTGTTGACAGGTGTCTTTTATACAGGTAACGAGGTGAGGCAGGTGTATTTGATGTAGATAATTGGTTGGGATTGGGGCTGTGTCTTAAAGAAAGACTAACTGGCTTGTAGGAGCCAGAATACTTGCTGTTTGGTAGGGGGTCATATACTTGTTTTTCCTCATCAGATGGTTATCAATTTTTATAAATTCATATGATGTGATTTTCTGGAATTTTCTTTGGGATTCTGTCTATCACTGTTAGAATGTACATATGATTAAAATTATAGATCGTTGCATTCTTTGTAAGTGGGCAAACCTGCAAAATCAGCAAGGGGTCAAATACTTATTTCCCCCACTGTAATCCTCCAACGTATTCCATGACGCCATTGAAAATAAACCCTCCATCCTGACGCTGATGTCCTTCTGAAGTTACTACAGAAATAAGCAAATGTAAAATAAATACTTTTTTCTTACTATGTTTTCTAAAAGTAGCAACAATATTGGGGAAATTCACAATTGTTAAATCCACCCGAAATCATTATTTATAGTTCCTCCCCACCTAAATTATTTATTGTTTTTATGAACCTAGTTTCCATCTAGGTACATCTCACACACAGTTTTAAAAGCTAATAGATCTCACCTATCACTGATGGTTTTGACTGCCTTTCACTGTCTTTCTCTCCTTTCACCCTGTCCATCTGTGATTTATTGCTCTCTCAGATAATGGGCGTAGTATTAAAGGTAACAGAGCTGTAACACATGCCTGCCTGCCTGTCTGTATGAAGCATGCTCGGGCTTACACTGAATGCTCCCGAAATGCATCAAATTTACAATCACAGAATACTTTCAAAGAAAATACTGATAAATAAGTGTACGTGTGACAGAGGGACAGAGGAGACATTTGCATGCGTAATGCCTTATGTGACATGAAAGTGCATGGGATAGAAATAACTTTTTTTGAAATCACTAAGTTTCAGCTTTTGCAGCTTCTTCTGTCTTTTTATTCTTCCTCTCCCTTTATATTTATCTAAATCTCTCTTTCTGAACCTACATTATTTTCACAGGAGAATGGATTGTTTAGATTCTTGTAGTATTCTTGTCATAAATATTTTCAATTTACAAGACTGTGGACCATTTTAGTTCAGCGATCTGATTACATCAGTAGAGTTCTTGAGATGATACCAGATTCTCCTAACCTTTGACCTCCTGGACTTTTTCAAAAGTTAAATCATTCTCTGCTCCCCTTCCCTCTCTCTTTCGCTCTCTTCTTATTGGCTAGTGTCGCGCTCTTGGATGGCTGGGGGTATGGCTAGAGCTTCACTTCTTTGATTTAATCGTTGGCATGTCTCTGTCGTCTGTGTGTCTGCTGTCTTTGTATTTGTGTTTGCTATTGTCTTGCAATTGTTGTTGTTAGTGATGGTTTTAATAATACTGGTCTGGAAATGCAGATTCTTAAAATGAACAGTGTTTATGTCACTATTAATATGAGTCCTGCTAGATGAGAGAGTTGTACATTGCTCATAATTTGTGTGTATGTGCTTCAGGTCCATTTAATCAGATCAAGTCCAGCCTTCTGGGCTCCACGTCTGACTCAAACCTTACCAAGTACAGCACCATCAACAAGATCCCTCTAATCACTCTGAACTTCTCAGAGACAAACAATGACAAGCGGGCATCATCTCCGCATTCCTCAGAGAAAACCATCATCGCACCAAAGGTCAAAGATCGGACACACAACGTCACAGAGAAGGTCACACAGGTGAGAGATGTTTACTATTATAAATGCAGCACCCAAACAAAGTGGAGTCAACAAAGTGCTTTCACAAAGGCTATTAATTACTATTAAATACTACATTATAGGGATGTGACGGTGAGGATATTTTCCCACCGGTTAATCGACGTGTGACAACAAATTGGCGCTAATTTGAAAACTAAACTAACATGTGCACGGCCGCACATGTCAACGGGAGTGGAGCGAGCAGAACAGAGCGAGAATTTTTCCATAGGAATAAAATGAAAACGCTCGCTCCGCGCCCGTTGACACGTGTGGCGTGAACATTTTAGTTTCGTTTTCAAATTAGTGCCAATTCGGGCCGGATTACTTGAATGGTTAGTTCATTATCCTATTATTCTTAATGAAAAACAAAACAACAAAACAGTGCAATGACAAATTCGCTTAAATAGGCGCTTTTACATTTCGCTTTGACACCAAATATGCCACAGTCACCTTGTCAGTCAGCTCCTCACTCTCGTGATGAATGAAACCTGACTCCTGTTGCTGATCTGTGCGGCAACTCTCGTTCGGCTCATGATTTATTAAGCAGACATGTTCAGTTTAATAGTGTCAGTTCTCTAACTGAACTAAATGATTTTATAAAAAAAAAAAAAAAATCGACAGTGGAGGGCGGTGCCGCGGTGGGTAAGAGATGGAACCGGTGTTGCTTCTGAACACTGGTAACCGACTATCGTAGCAAGCCTAGTACATTAGTGTCTCTCTATTGGAATGTCAGACAAGCCCTGCAGCTGGGAGTAAAAGTTAGACAGGACTAACACGCACACACACACTATATCAGTGGTTCCCAAGCTGGGGGGCGCGACAAGGCTAAGGAACATTGTACAGTCAGCAGATTGTTATGCAAAAGAAACCTCTTCAGGCTGATACAAGACCCCACTGCGTAATTATCCCACTTATTATGCAGCTACTTGATTATTTTGACACCTCAGGACACCTTTATTACCTCAGGACTCGCAGTACCCGCTTGAGTGGTCTGTTATCGGTTGTAGCGGTTGTTGTCGTGCAATAACAGACCACTAGATGGAGCGGTTGAAGAATAAGAATTGAGTATTGCTGGGAGCCCTGTAAAATAAACTAATGATGCATGGTTATGCACTAAGCAAGTTTGCTAGTTTGCTGCTAGTGCCAGGTAAATGTAATTCGTAAAACGTAAAAATTATTCACAAATACCAAAACAACGTGTCTAGAACTAGAAGCCATTATAATCAGTGATGCAGTCTACTGGATGCGGCGTAACGCAACAGGACAATCCCTGACAGTAAACTGATACCCCTTTCTATTTCTGACATATTTCCGATTTGCAACGTTAATTTTTCCGTTTCCAGTAGACAGTCTCAAGCTGTTGCGGCGCAGTTCGGCCGTCAAGTCCGCTGCAGTGAAAAGACAATATGACGAGGCATATCTTGCCTCGGATTCACCAGTACAACGGTTGGTAACGAAGAGAGTGCACAGTGTGTTACGTGCCTCAAAATATTATCTTCTGACAATATGAAGTCAAACAAGTTAAGACACCACTTAGTGACTAAACATCACGAACACAGAGAGAAACCTGTTGATGTTGAGAAGTTGTAGTACTGTATCAATTACAATATTTTAAATTAATCCTTTAGAATTTTGCAATCGAGGTCATGTCTGAGAGTATCTTTATGTGGGTGCATCTATATTCATCAAAGAATCCTGAAAAAAATAGTTACCTCAAAAATTTGAAGCAGCGCTGCTGTTTTCAACATTTATAGTAATCAGAAATGTTTCTAAAGCAGCAAGTCAGCATATTCGAATGATTTCTGAAGGATCATGTGACACTGAAGATTGGAGTAATGATGCTGGAAATTCAGCTCTGCCACCACAGGAATAAATTAAATGTTAAAACATATAATAAAAAAAAATATATATATATATATATATATTTTTTTTTTTTTTTTATTGGAATATTTCACAATATTACTGTTAACTGTATTTTTTAATATATATTAATGCAGCCTTGGTGAGCAAAGTGTGTGGGGGGTAAATTATACAGTTCTGGACTGTATATGGACTTAGAGAATACACATATGACCCAGAGGGATGCATATGGAGAACACTGGGGTGTCCAGCCGCAGGTGGAATATTTCAACCCCAGGGGTGGCAAGGTGGCTTGCCAAGGGAAATTTAATATTTAATATTCAATTCCACTGCTATGCCGATGACACCCAGCTCTACCTCTCGACCAAGCTATCGTCCTCTCTCCCCCCTACCTCACTCACTGACTGTGTCTCGGAAATAAAAACCTGGTTTACAAATAATTTCCTCAAATTAAACAGTGATAAAACTGAGATCCTTCTCATTGGAAGTAAATCCACTTTATCCAAAACTGACAGCTTTTCTCTCATTATTGACAATTCCTCCATCTCACCCTCCGCCCAGGTTAAGAGTCTGGGAGTCATCCTCAACGGCACTTTATCCTTTCAGTCCCATATCAATAACATTACCCGGTCTGCCTATTTCCATCTACGTAATATCAATCGCCTTCGCCCCTCCCTTACCCCCCACACTGCCGCCATTCTTGTTCACAGTCTAGTCACCTCCCGTTTGGACTATTGCAACTCTCTGCTTTTCGGCCTCCCTCACAAATACCTCCATAAACTTCAACTGGTCCAGAATTCAGCTGCCAGCATCATAACCCGAACACCCTCCATCCACCACATCACTCCTGTTCTCCAACAGCTTCACTGGCTCCCGGTCCTGTCCCGTATCCAATTTAAAATCCTTCTGTTCACATTCAAGGCCATCCACAACCTTGCCCCATCATACCTATCTGATATCCTGCACGGTCCAACTTCCACCCGCTCCCTTAGATCCTCTTCCTCCATACACCTGTCTGTCCCCCCTGCTCGTCTCACCACAATGGGGAGCAGAGCATTCAGCCGCTCTGCCCCCCGCCTCTGGAACTCTTTACCACCTCACCTTAGAAACATCGATTCATTCTCTCATTTTAAATCACAACTCAAAACGCATCTGTTTAAAACTGCCTACCACATGTGATTTTGCTTTTATCTTGTTTTAATACTCTATTGTTTTGGCTTTGCTGCTTTTAATGTCTTGCATTTCTGTACGGTGTCCTTGAGTGCCAAGAAAGGCGCCTCAAATAAAATGTATTATTATTATTATTATTAAAAATTTGGATGTGCTGAGAGCTTCTAGTCCCTCATAGGAAGAAAGCGCGAATGATTTCAGTAGGGGTCAGCCTGAGTGATAAAGGAGACAGACGTGGTTTAACAGGAGTTTCCATAGTTGGTCATGCCTAAGGCAATTAGTTAGGAAAGCGAAGTTAGAAAAATAACCTTATTTAACATACATATAACCACATAGTATACACTCCATGTCTGGAATAAGTAGTAGGAACTAATAATGAAACATGAAGTAAATAAAACTATATTATTATTATAGTACACAGCATAGTAGGGTTGAAAGTGTACAGTATATGCATACATGCACCATTAATGACTAAACACATATATGCAAAATATTGTCTCAGTTTGTATCGCTCTCCCTCCTCTTCTGTCTATTTCTGTCAGTGGTGCTGTTTGTTTGCCACATTAAAGACTTGTTGCCCGTAACTAACCAGATGGTCAGTTACACACACAGATGGCTTGTTTCGTCTTTTTCATTCTTTGAGTCGTGCTGGTTGAAGAGTTGGACTCTAATTAAACTGGGTCTTGGCATCTAATCCTGAAACTCAGCCTCCCACGCACCCTCAACCTTTATGCCAAATGTGATTTCACTCTTTCTGATTGACCACTTTTTAATAGTATCTCTTTATACTCTTCTTAATAATAATGAAAACCTCAGGATATTAAACTAAAAAAGTTCCTCATGAGTCACTCTTATTCACATTCAACCATGTGTTTTTAAAAGATTCATATTAGAATAAAAATAACCAAGATATACACAGTATCTCAAATATAACAGAACTTGTGTACACGCTGAAAAGGTGAATTTGTAAGTAAGCCAACAAAGGACACTAAAAGCAAAGCAAGAGTTTGATTACCGCACTGCATTATTGATTAATAATTAAATCCCAATCATTTATCCACTGCAGGGACAACGTCATTCTGGCAGGACACAACTTATCTAGTGACACATAGATAATGCTTACGGATAAACAGGGATGCTGACAGATACAGTAATAAGGTGAACACATAGTTTACAGCCAGCTCCAGTTATTTTATACTAATTATTATGGACCTGGTCAATACAGAGCTTTTGTGACCTCCACTATTATTTTGAAAGTTTTTACCCATTTTGAGTGAGCACTAAATAAAAAATAAAAAAATGTTTTTGGGGTCTGTAGATATTAATACATTTATTCAGCAAGGATGCATTGATTAAATAAATCAAAAGTGACAGTAAATACTTTTATAATATTACAAAAAAGTTCTATTTTATATAAATGCTCTTCCTTTGAACTTTCTATTTATCATAGATTCCTGGAAAAAAGGTTTAATGGTTTACAGAAAAAATATGAAGGATCATGTGATACTGAAGACTGGAGTAATGGCTTCTAAAAATTCAGCTTCGCCATCACAGGAATAAATTACATTTTTAAATATATTATAATAAAAAAAATGGTTATTTTAAATTGTATTAACATTTCCTCCTGTGTGACCTCTTAGAGGCCGCAGCCCATGGGCTTCCCAGCAGATACCTACATTATTCAGCAAGTGTGTGCGTGAGAAGTGAGAGAACCACAATAGGCTTGTGTGAGACACACAAATACACACACAGGCAAAGATGAAGGCTTGGCAATTACTGAAACAGAAAGCAAGAGGAAATTATCTCTCATCCTCTCTGTATCAGTGGAGGAGTGGAGAGGAGAATTGCCTCTGTGACATTAAGACTGTCCTAGTACTGTATGTCCCACACGCATGCTGTCATAGATTGCTGTACAAACTTAAGCAGCCGTTGACTCATTTCATTTGTAATAATAGGCACCCAGGGTATTTCTGTTTGCTGCTGTAATATAATGTGGTATATACTGTATAATGATGTGCATTAATTTGCTTACTGAACACCCAGGCTGGTCCTGTCCGTTCAGCCTGGTTCCCTGATGGGAAGGACATAACAGCCTTTCTGTTTGTAATTTTTTTCTCTGGCTGAATGGTGTGCTGTGGTCCGTTATTAACTTATGGCTGCATCAGCCGTGACCTGTCACCATGTGGCCGCCTCTCTGCTTTTCACATTACCATCTAAAAGCTGGATCATGAAATTTTCATCATAAGCAATGATGTATTGCTCTCTCTTTCTTCAATTTCTCTTTCCCCAAAATTTCTACAAAGTTGACACAGTATCATGATCTTTCAGAAGAAAGGAGGTCAGTGTACTAGTAGACATACTCTAACATTCACATTGCAAAGCTTCCTCATCAAACCAAATAGATAATTTTTTTGAAACGAAGCTGCAAAAATGGTTTGATCAGAAATGTTCATGATTTTAGGACCTGAATATGATTAAATGAACATAAAACCACCCAAGTTTATACATCAATGGCTATTTATTGTTCAGGAACATGGTCTGCCTTGAGCAACAGAATGAACTGTGCTGGTACAGAAAGAATAACTAATTTACATATTTTATTCTTAAAGATACAGTAGCAAAAACTGTGCATTTAATTCTAAAGGCCCTATTTTAATGATCTAAGCGCATGGTCTAAAGCAGGGGTGCCCAATCCTGCTCCTGCCGATCGACTGTCCTGCACAGTTCATCTCCAACCTTAATCAAACACACCTGAAGCAACCAATTAAGGTCTTTAGGATCACTTGAAAATTAAAGGCAGGTGTGTTTGCTTAGGGTTGGAGATGAACTGTGCAGGACAGTCAATCGGCAGGAGCAGGATTTGGGCACCCCTGGTCTAAAGGGTACGGCTCAGGTGCACTTAGGGCGTGTCCGAATCCACTTTTGCTAGTGGATCCACTTTTAACGATGGGAAAAATGGTCGGCGCACTCGGCGCATGTTCTAAACCGGTTGTCCCTATTCTCTTAATGAGTAATGGGTGTGTTTTGGGCTTAACGTGCAATAAACCAATCAGAGTGTCATTTCCCATTCCCTTTAAAAGCCAGTTACGCTTACACCATGGTGGGTTGCTATTTACATGGCGAAATTTGCAAGCGGAAAGACTGAACACTTCTCTAGCGAGGAAACGGATATGCTCGTGCGCGAGGTTGAAGCACACAAGCAGACCATCTATGGGACAAGCCGGATTCCACCATATCTTTATGTACACAATATATTTTTTTTTAATATATTGTAATCCTTTTATTTTTAATATTTGCCATGTTTGTGTGCTGATGCGTGTCCCTGTGTGTGTAATAAAGCAGAGTGTACGCCCGTTGTGCACCCGCCTGTAGGCGCATATTACTAATGCGCCCTTTAAATAACAAAAAAAAAATACTGTGCCATTGACTTTAGACCAGGTTTTTGTTGGTCAATTTCAGTTGCCTCAAAATAGCAATGTGCCAACATTGCGCCTGAACACGCCTCGTTTTCAGAGTCACACCATGGGCGCACAAATAGGCGCAAATGCATTTGCTATTTAAACAACATGGTGCAGGACGTGAAAAAGATTACTGCGTCGGGCTGAAACTAGCAAAAAACGCATGCGTCGGGCATAGCGCCGGTGTATGATAAGGCCCTAAGTGTCAAAGAGGGTGTAAAATGGTCTGGTAAAATTAAATCATATAGTTTATTTCCCAAATTTAGACACATTTCTAAATTAAACTGGAAATCAACAGAATGGTTTAGTTCTAAATGATTTGGGTAAAAAAAAAAACTGGCTTAAACTGAATAACACGTTGCTCTTTGGATCATTTTCAAATCATCCTCATCAGGATTTGCATAAACTGTATAAACCTCAGCTCGGGTGCATGTTGTCATTTAAAGCTGCAGTCCGTATCTTTTCCTCTTTGTCGCCATCTCTCTGTTCGAAATCTGTAACTGCAGTGATTCGCGGAATTATCATCTTTACGTGGGTTGTAAATCGGCATGAAACAGCGCGGATGAACACAGTGCTTTGAGGCGAGTGCTGCTGTCAGTCACCGCGCTGTGTGGATACTGTCATACAGAATCACAGATTCACTTTTTGAAAGTTTGACCAACATAAGAATTTTCATAAGAAAATGTCTTCTGAACAAGTAAGTAAAATCCATTTTTGTTCTGACCAACTAAGGGGGAAAAAGCATTCGACATGATAAGCTTCGTTAGATTTAATCAACGCGATTTACAGCAACCGTGCAAATTATAGCCTACTTTGTTCTCAAATTGTTCATGTTAACAACATCAGCATTGCGTGACTAATGTTAAATTTAATGTGTTTTATGGTTACCTGTGTAGTTCAGAATTCATATTCTCCATAATAGCAAAACGAGAAAGGCACAAGGAAACTCCATAACTGTGTGAATTAAGAAAACGTACTGTTACACGATTGAACTATTGAAATGTCTTACTTGTTCAGCAGAAAAAAGCCGTATCTCCTTCCGTTTTGAACCCCTTCAAAACACGGAGTTCACGCACTTTTCAAAAGCCCCGCCGATGTTTAAATCCTTGTGTTCGCATGAGACGGTTTCTTTCTCTTTCTCTAGCCACCTTAAATCCGAAGTACGAAGTCTTTTGGGTTTTATAACTGCTGAATCTCCAGTTGACACTGATGATTGTTGTTTGGATCTTTCTGGATGCCATAAGTTTAATTATGTAAAGTGCTGTGAGAAAAGCCCATACATCTAAACATCTCGTCACGCGCAGTATAGCCGGCTAGCCGAAACTCCTTCTTTATGTGTACGGGTGTGACGTAATGACGCAAAGACATGCTCGAATTTCCCGCGGAAACCCACCAGTACCACTGGAATTAAAATCATTATTACAAGCTAACCGTTTTGAATCTAGCTATGGCAAGCAGATAGTTTTGACCACTGGCAGAATAAGTTTTTTTTAATATAATTATTTTGGATTATTTTTTACTTAAAAAAGTTACGGACTGGAGCTTTAAGTCAAAGTTTTTTTTTGTTTTTTTTAAGACATTCTAAAATCCATAAACATGACCAATTGCCATAATAATAATCTAATTTCTAATTTTAAAAAAATTTGATTATTAATATCATGACAAATATAACTGAATCCAATTAAGATAAATAATCGTCACATTCGACACTGCATAATGTGTACATTTCATACATGAGTCACTGTTGTTTCTAGGCTCTGATTTAGCAGCTTCTGATATTGTCGCAATATAAAAGCACTATTGTTGTCAGAGTAACCACATCTCTATGCTTCAGGTGTTGTCGCTAGGCGCTGACGTGCTTCCAGAGTATAAGCTTCAGACACCAGGCATCAACAAGTTCACCATTCTACACTACAGTCCCTTTAAGGCAGTCTGGGATTGGCTGATTCTGCTGCTAGTCATCTACACCGCTATTTTCACGCCCTACAGTGCGGCCTTCCTTCTCAATGACCTGGAGGAGGAGAGGAGACGTGAGTGTGGTTATTCCTGCAGTCCTCTCAACGTGGTGGACCTCATAGTGGACATTATGTTTATTGTAGACATTCTTATCAATTTCCGGACTACGTACGTCAACGCCAACGAGGAGGTGGTCAGCCATCCAGCTAAGATAGCTGTGCATTACTTCAAGGGGTGGTTCTTCATAGACATGGTGGCAGCCATACCCTTTGACCTGCTCATATTTGAGGCAGGATCAGAAGAGGTGAGCATATGTATATGCAAATGTATGTGTGGTTTGATTTATTTTAAGAGTTCTATAATTTACAATTAAGGCTTTTTCATGCTATTCATATTGTTCAAAGTCTGAGTTTTGGATTTTAACAAATCCATAGTGACTATTTAAAAAAAAAAAAAAACGGTATTAAATATAATATACACCAACAGCTGAGCTTTAATGCTTAAATATGGATAGAGATATGAATATATGACAGACTGTTTTAGCTTTCTTGCAATAAATATTTTGTAATTTTTATGTAAATACATTATTTACATTATGTAAGCATGCATATATGTTTGCACTCTCTCGTTCAGACAACGACTCTGATTGGCCTACTGAAGACTGCCAGACTTCTCCGATTGGTCCGTGTGGCACGGAAGCTGGATCGTTACTCAGAGTATGGGGCGGCTGTCCTCATGCTCCTCATGTGTATATTTGCGCTGATTGCTCATTGGTTGGCTTGCATATGGTATGCAATCGGCAATGTGGAGAGGCCCTATCTGGCGCACACGATTGGCTGGTTGGATAATCTGGGCATGTCCATCGGCAAGCAGTACAACGTCAGTGACCGCTCCTCAGGCCCCTCAATCAGGGACAAGTATGTGACAGCACTGTATTTCACATTCAGCAGTCTGACCAGCGTGGGGTTTGGAAATGTGTCACCAAATACCAACTCAGAGAAGATCTTCTCCATCTGTGTCATGCTCATTGGCTGTGGGTATCAATATGTCGCACCTTTAAAATTTAACTTATGCCATCAAAATCACCAGCACCGCAAAGGTCACCTTTGTTGATCCTGGATATTTTGTTGATCCTGGAACAACATTTTTGTCCGAAAATTTAGTCCTAACCCTATCCCTGCCCCTAAACCTACCCATAATGTATCCCTAAAATCAGAAGGAGATGATAGGTGAATAACACTGATGTAGAAGCTTCTAACCCTGGTTGTAAACCTTAACATGACATAAACTTTAAACTTGTCCCTCAAATCTGATTGGTTGATTGAAACGTTCTTCCAGGATCAAAGAAGATGCTGATCCAGGAACATGTTGCGCTTGGTCAAATCACGTTCACCCCCTAAACCTACCAAAACAATCTGCATTTTTACATTTTCAATGTTGATTTGAAAAATGCTGTTTTCCTCATTGGGAGCAAAAAATGTCCCGACAAGGATTTGGCATATTGCACGCACGCACGCACGAAGAAGACTTGAAAGAAGTCTCTTCTGCTCACCAAGGCTGCATTTATTTGATCCAAAATACAACAAAAACAGTAATATTGTGATATATTTTTACAATTTAAAATAAGTTTTCTATTTGAAAATATGTGAGTGACCTGCGCTGGGAAAATGAGTCGGAATGCGCACACGCAAATTACAAGCAAAACAAGTGAAAAATGTTTTGGTAATTTTTGGTAGTATCTGAGGTTTTCACAAAAATGAGTTCATTCAGCCCTTCTCTAGTGATCCCAATGCTCCAGATAGCAATTCAACATCTAAAAGTATCTTTATTTGTTCGTTTTCTGAGAGGAGTACCTTTCCTTTGTCCATGAAAAAATGCCGTTTTTCTCTGCTCGCTTCTCGACGACTGCCACTTCCCCTCAGCACAAGTTTGGTATCTTTTTAAAGCGCAGCATTCCAACTTTGTGAATATTTGAAATCATGAGTCTGAACCAATGAAATGTGATTTTCAAACTCATGCTGATGTAAACAAAACAATCTTACTTGCACTGACTTACAGATCCAAAGCATGAGCACAAAGGCCTCAGACAGTGCTATACACATATACACAGATATCCTGATATACACAGCATATACACAGAATTACAAAATATCTGTCTTGGCGAGTATTCACGCAAACATTATCTGTTATGTCTTAAGTGAACGTTTCGTTAACTGTTGGGGAAAAACATCTGATGTGTATGATTTCCATTACACGAGAGTAGATGTTAAAACTTCATGCTGATTTGTACTCGGCTTTCGCCAAGATAAGCAAAACTAAGACGTAGCTTTACAGTAAACTATGCTTCTCCATCCATTTACGCTTCTTTCCATAAGGTGGTGTGACTCCCCTTCTGTCCGGCGTTAACGGCAGCAGTGTACTTGGCGCGTTAGCGCACGCGACGGCTGCAACTACAGGACCAGCACGACAACCGTCTGGATTGAACCGAGTAGGGGACATCTCTAGGGTCTTCAAGTGGGCACCTTCCGTCCTCAGTGTTTCGTCGACTAGCCCACGACACTTCAAGAGGGCTCGACAGTGACTCTGGCGTCCCAGAGTCACCCCCCTCCGTCCCCCACTCAACTCAGCCCAGCTTACTGACCTCTACATCCCTCCTGCTGCTGAGACCTAACCACAACATCACAATCTCTCCGCGACCCAACCATACGCGCCAACCCGTTGACTAAGGCTGTCGAGCCCCACTGGTGCGTTAATATGCAGTTTCAGTGGACAACGGTTCCGTATGGCATACCACCTACCGCAAAACACACCCGTCATTCACGCAATATCCACAGGAATGTATACAAACAAACCAACAGACTCTTCAAGTTTTCAAGAACTCTACGAAACCGTAGCGTGGCGGCCTGTACCCAGCCAGCTAGAATCTTTCCGTCTCAACCACAGCCAGTTGCTGCTCCTTTCTGCTGCTTCAGATAAGTTCTTTACTGTGCGACGCAACTCTTGGCCGCTGAATCCGACGTCTCTGAGGAACCGGGTTGTAGAGTGTGCCACAAAACCTCGACAACCCACTTCCACTGGATAAACCTGGACTCTCCATCCTCGCTGTTCTGCTTCAGTGGCCAGATGAGCATACCGCAGTTTCTTCCTCTCATATGCCTCATCTACCGCATCCTCCCATGGCACTGTTAACTCTATCAGTTGAACAATGCGTGCTGATCCAGACCACAAAACAATATCTGGTCGTAGGTTAGTGGTGGCAATCTCAGGTGGAAAAATAAGCCGTTGGTCAAGATCAGCCAGCATCTTCCAGTCCCTAGCAGCTTCCAGTTGTCCTGGGCGAGAATTGGTGTTAACAACTTTTCTTGGTGGTTGCTCGCCTTGGCGGAGGAATATTGTCTTCTGCGTGTAATGTTTTGCTAGAACAGGTGGCAACTTATTGGTCATGTTACGTTTGCCTTCTAATGCTAAAGCCAAACATCGCAGTACTTGGTCATGGCGCCAAGTAAACCGACCTTGGCTAAGAGCCACCTTACATCCTGTCAAAATGTGCCTTAATGTGGCAGGTGATGAACACAAAGGACAAGAGGGATCCTCTCCTACCCAGAGGTTTAGGTTCTGCGGTGATGGGAGAACATCATATGTTGACCTAATAAGGAAACTGATCCTACTCTCTTCCATTGACCAAAGGTCTTGCCAGCCCATCTTACTTTGTTCCACACTCTCCCATCTCATCCACTCTCCCTGCTTGGCCTGTGAAATGGCCTTTATACACCTCATCCTCTCCTCCTGCTGTCGCACCTCGTTGACTACCAGCTTCCTCCTTTGAGCTGGGCCTGCCTTGTGCCATTTAGGAGGAGCTAAACTGAGCCCAAAACCCCCACTTCCATGCTGTACCTGTCCCACGATATCCCTAATTTGAAGGGCAGCCTTTGCCTCTACTACAGATTTCTTTGCTGACCACTTTGCTATCATTATATCAGATCAGTGCTGTACAGTAGGTCTTATATATAGGCTGATTGTTTCATTAATGTTAATCAAACAATTGTGGTATCGTGAAAAAAAAAATTTTTTGACTTGGTGTCTGCCAAATTTTGTGTTATTCCCAGGGATTTTAAGGTATGGTTGCTAGGTGATTTTGTTTTGGAACCCACAGAAAACTTTAACTCGATTTTCTCAAAATTGACTTTGCTGACTCTGTCGACTAGCTACAGCTCAGTCTTTTTTTTTTGTCTGATTCCAACAAATCATGCATCATTTTGAAGGTTTTTTTATTAGAGAATGTGAAAATTTGCTCATTGCAACTCGTTTTGCCAGCACGGGTCACATATTTAAAAATGCAATTTAGTCCAGTGTTGCCAAATTTGAATGTTCAGCATCATTACTCCAGTCTTCAGTGTCACATGATCCTTCAGAAATCATTCTAATATGCTGATTTGCTGCTCAAGAAACATTTATTGTTAATATCAATGTTGAAAACGGTGTATTTTTGCAGTATTCTTTGATAGTCACTTTTGATCAATTTAATGAGATGATTTCTGATCATGTGACACTGAAGACTAGAGTAATGATGCTGAAAATTCAGCTTTGCCAACACAGGAATAAACTGCATTTTAAAATATATTCAAATAGAAAGAAGTTATTTTAAATGATATAATGTCTTAATGAAATATTTTTACAATTTTTTTTAAACTTCTATTTCCAACAAATGTTTTTCATTTGAAATGTCTATTCATCAAAGAATCCTTTAAAAAAATGTATCATGGTTTACACAAAAATATTAAGCAGCAGAACTGTTTTCAACATTGAAAATAACAAAAAACTTATTTACTTTAGCACATCAGAATGATTACTTAAGGTATCACAGGAATTGTCACAGGAGTAGATTGCATTTGAAAGTATATTAAACATAGAAAACAGTCATTTTAAATTGTGATAATGTTTCACAATATTAGTTTTCATGTATAAATGATTTGATCAAATAAATGCCTTGGTGAGCATAAGAGACTTTCAAAAACATTGAAAAAAGAATAATCTTAACATGACTTTTATAAATGACTTGAGTCCTGACCTTTGCCTCCTCCCTTTGTATTCTAGCTCTGATGTATGCTAGTATCTTTGGGAATGTGTCTGCTATAATTCAGCGACTGTACTCTGGAACAGCTCGGTACCATCTGCAGATGCTTCGGGTCAAGGAATTCATTCGCTTTCACCAGATCCCGAACCCGCTGAGACAAAGATTAGAGGAGTACTTCCAACATGCGTGGACTTACACCAATGGCATCGACATGAACATGGTACGAGCCAGGCTTTTTTCCCCCACTAAATATGAATTACTGTCATTGAATGAATACATGCATTGATGTCACTGTGTTCGCTATCTAGTGTTTATAACATGTATCTCAATCACACAGTATTAATGTCAAATGTGTTCATGTGTCTACGCAGTGATCTGATATGCATTCTCTTTCTTATACGCACTCAAACGGACTGACTTCAACACCCTGGTGAGCAGGAGGTATAGAGTAATGTTTGCTTTTTATCAAAAAAGCTGCAGTCATTTTATCTTAAATGTTTCCATATTGACTGTATATTTTATAGAAGCATACAGTTGATTTTAAACTGTATAACCTTGAGCAGTGTTGGTTATATGTATACCGTTTTATGAGGTAAGGGTAGTCTCAATGTTATAGCCAATCAAAGTAATTAAAGTTTGGTCCATTTAATGACTGATGTTAAATCAAAAACTCTATTCTCAAAGCTAATGGCTATGGGTACTGTGACTCATCCTGCACACAGGCATTTATATTTCAGTTAATTTCCTTCAATTAAGTTTCACTTTGATGGACCTAGGTCATATTGACATTTCCTGTTTTGTTAGGCATCAGATTTAGTTAGTCAGTCAGATAGATAGTTACTGCAGGCTGAAAAAAGCAGGCTGCCTTTTTTACACCTGGCTGGGGGACTACCGATGAAAATTAGCACTTTTGAGCTAACTCGGGTACATTTACATTGTTTTAATGTTTATTAATGTACACTGTCCCCTTTCAAATAAAGAGAAAAATGCAGATTAATATATTTCCATGACAGTCATTGTTGTTCCCTGGCTGACATCCCAAATCCAATTCTAAACAAGAAACAGTGTTTTATAGATGAATCAGAAAAATTGGGAGAAAACGTAAGTGGCAGTTGCATTTTCCTCTGCTTAATGTGCCATATATAATTTTTGATGAAGCAAGAGCAAATTAAAGGCTAAAACAATGCAATGCAGCAGAAACAAAGGGCCCCAGATGTATTCATACTTTGCTTCATCTTTTATGTATTTGCAGTTGAGGGAGACAGGGCTATATTAGCATTGTATTATCTGAGCTGTAACGCAAAGCTCTTAAAAACCGGCAATCATTCTGCCCTCCTTCTCATGGAGAACACTCTTTCTGTCCTTTTCTCTCTCTTCCCCTCTCTGCAGGTACTGAAGGGCTTTCCAGAGTGCCTGCAGGCTGATATCTGTCTTCATCTGAATACAAGTTTGCTCCAGAGTTGCAAGGCGTTCAGCGGAGCGACCAAAGGATGCCTTCGGGCACTGGCAATGCGCTTTAAGACCACCCATGCCCCACCAGGTGACACGCTGGTGCATTGTGGGGACGTTATCACAGCCCTCTACTTTCTCGCCAGGGGCTCCATCGAGATTCTGAGAGACGACATAGTGGTGGCTATCCTGGGTGAGCAATAAACAATTAAACAAACCTTCACTGTAAGCCTGTAAACCTGCTAGTTAAACCACCAAAACTTCATTCACTAACTTAGAATCTATATTTAAAACGGAGTTTGTTCCATGACTTTCACACGGTGTCACAATCAGCCCTCGTAAGGGTCAAACCTGTTGTCCTTTTTGTTGCCGGGCCAGATCTTTTTAACCATTATGCTTTTCCTCCACATAATACCTTGGTTCATATTGTTCTAAAAATGTTTGCATAATCTTTCATCAAAACCTCTCTGAAATTACTTTTTTTGCTGGAACCAAGGCTGCACAAGAAGAAAAAAAGTAGTAGATCATAGTCTACCATCTATCACCCTCCAGTCAAATCCAAAAAGGACAAAAATATGTCTCGTCCTACTTCCAGTTGAACATTTTGCCTTATGGAAGTTAAATGCTTTACAAATGCTGCTAACTTCACATCTAAAAGGCTGGCCTTCTAAAAATGGAAGTAATGAAAGTAATCTGCTATTTGGATATTATATATATATATATATATATATATATATATAAACAAACAAACACACACACACACACACACTGTATAGTACAGTATCAATGTACAAATAGCAGATTACTGGAATGCTGTGGAAATTGGGTGGCTTACTATATGGCACTTGCACACTCATCTAAATTTAATATAAACAGCTCAGAGGCTCACAAGGTAATAAAGACTTAATGAAAAAAGTGCTGTCCTTCATTCAAGGATATCTCTCCTGTGATGAGCTCATCATGTTTTTATAGATGGAGAGAGACTGAAATAGAGGAAAGCTGAGGGAAAATGAGAGAACAAGAGAGAGAAAGGTTGTAATTAAATAAGAAGATGCGGGAATGAGATTGGCAGCAGTGTGGTACATGTTTCCCTTGTTCATTAGATTTGCGAAGTGTCACTTAGTGTGACGGAGAGCCCAGTGACAACGCTAGTTTCATTATTTACAGGCACATTAATAAACTCGCGCTCACATGCTTAGAGTCTCCAGTCACATCGTTGCAGCGGGCAGGTGGAGCAGGGTAAGCCGAATTTAAATGGTCCATCCCTCTTCCTACGCAATCTGGCTTTAACAGAATAAGGCCAGGGGAAGAAAAAGAGACACACACTAACATACTCGCGCAACTCAGCAGAAAGAGAGAAGCTACCTCCTGCTTCATATGTACTGTATTCTTAGGTCTCAGTTGAAGAATCACTACCTCAGTAAGAATTTATTGTCTTACGAAAGTGTTGCAGATGGACACTTAATCACTGTACACTAATTCTGGCTCTGGCCTGGCCTCTGTTATTCAAAGATTATATTGCTTATAGCCTCACCTCAAATACTTAATGTGCAATATACAGCACCAATGGCTTTAGCCACGACCCTGAGCCGGATTTAGATACGATGGCAGGTGGCCGCTGCCCAGGTGGCTGTCGTTTGTTTGTCAGGTCTGACCTTTGATATGTATCACTGCAGAAATGTGCTGTCAGGCCTTGACTTTTCTTTTGTCACACGTCCTCAAGAAGCTTGCAGGGGCTTTCAGAAATATGTGCTCACATCAGTTTTTCAAGTTACATTTTACCCAAATTGTGCGTTTGCAATCAATGGAAGCCTATTTCTGGCACGGAACAAAAAAGTTCATTGCAACAAAAAAAAAGATCTCGCAATTTAGATTACTTTCTCAAAATCTTGCAATTCTGACTTTATCTCTTAAGAGGTGTCAAATTTCATTGATGGAAGGGTGTGTCTGAGAAAATTCATATTGTATTCAGTATGTAGTAAGGATCAAGTTAGAAGGTGCCGTAATATTTACAGTTGCTGGTCGAAATTTCGCAGGCGAAATCAAGTTATTTCAACGGGAATCCTCCAAGCGATCAGAAATTTAGCATGAAGGCGAAAGATTTCCCCGTTCAGATTTTGCTACGTGGTTTGAAAGTGACTTCTGTGTGAACTGTGCTTCATACATCGCTACTACTGTAGACAAGAGACTTTTTGACTGTGAAATTTTGCCTACATACAATCACACACTCTAATATGGAAACTTGCTTTCCCCTTCTCACTCTTTGTCCATTTCCTTCATTTTTCATTGCTTTCAAATCTTCTCTTCCCTCTCTTGTCCTCTGATCACTGTACGCCCACCTCTCAGGTAAGAATGATATTTTTGGAGAGATGATTCATCTGTACGCCAAGCCGGGGAAAGCCAACGCAGATGTTCGAGCGCTGAGCTACTGCGACCTGCACACCATCCACAGAGAGGATCTTCTGGAGGTTCTGGACATGTATCCTGAATTCTCTGACTACTTCCTGTCCAATCTGGAGCTCACCTTCAACCTGCGCGATGAGAACACCAAGGTAAAGCAGCAAGCTATTACTATGTACTTACAGTTTTAGAATAAAAAGATGAATGTACTATGCAAAAATACACTAACTTTCACTATATAAAACTCCCTCCGCAGTCTAGTCTACCCTCCCGGACCCTTTATGGAAACTAAGTAAAACATCTTCAGAAATCACAGTAATGAGCACATTAATAAAATATTTATAAAACTTTATTAATCATAGATGTGTAATATTACTGTAGTTTTGGGTGTACAGTGAAAAAGACAAACATTGGGGTGAAGGTGAAGAAATTAAAGATGAAGAGATAATGGTCAATTGTAGTGTAGAATAATGCTACAGAAATAAAAATGTCTGATGAAAAAAACTGAACAGTATTCAATTAATATTCAGCAACTTGGATCATTTAAATGTCAGTATGAATTAGGCCAGTAGTTTTCACATGTGAAGATACTGTAGTCCTTCATAATAGTTTACTTAAACATTTACAAATAGAAGCCTTAAATTGATACTGGAGCTTCCAAGATTTAAAAAGGACGAGATAAAAGATAACTTAAAATAAGAAAATGTAAATTAATGAAATCTATGTAAAAAAAAAAAATCTTATCAAGATATCCTTATCAAGTAAATAATGAGCAGGAAAAGTCATGGAGTCAGGAAAAGTCAGGAAAAGCCAAGTCTAATAATCATCCTTTTCCTTGAGCCATTGAGTTGATTTTCAGTGAATAATGACTTCAGTTTTGGTCTGTTCCTCTTGGCATGAGTTTTATTAATTACTTTTATGATGCACTTTTCTGTCATTTTGCAGTTAGACTGCCCCAGTCTCCATTCACTGTCATTATATTTAAAGAATAGTCCATCAGAAAAGAAAAGAAAAAAAAATTCAGAAAACTTTTGGGTTCCTCAGGGGAAAGCCAGTCTGTTTTTCCCATACTAATGTTGCTGCAGTAAATAAAGTTAAATGCCGTTTAATGCTTTTCCGAATGTGCTGTCATTTCTTTTGTGTGGCAGGGCGCCACCACAGCTCTTCAGAGGAACGTTTACACGGCAATGAGTGACTCAGACACTGAAGACCCTGACGTCAAGACTAAACCCTGCTTTAAGAGGAACCACTCCTCAGGTCAGGACCTTCTCCTCATGTTCTGCTCACATTTTTCTGTCTTCCTCTCCTCCATTGTTCTCTCCTTTTTTCGGTTCCTCCTTTGTTTCCCTTCCCCCGTTGCCTCCCCTCCTCTTTCCACCCATCTCTTTTCTCTCCTGCTGGGTTTCAAGCTGTTTCCATGGTGATTGTTGGCCACAGACAGATGTTTATTGTGTGGTTGCAACGTGACAGATTTTACCTGAACGGTCAAGAGCTGTTTTATCCCCCCGTCCCTGCATAACCTGCTGTTTGGATTATTTATCCCAGCCAAATCTCTCACTCTTTCTCTCTTCCTGGCACACTCTCTTTTTTCTTTGTTCAAGGTGCAATCTGGAGAGTGACCGTGAGAACCATGTGTGTGTAATTCTGTGAGGATGTTGTGTTCTTTCAGGTTCTCCGAGCAGACCGAGCGGGACAGACCAGGAAAGGGGAAGAGATCGAGAGGTTCACACGTTCCCGGGAAGGGAGGAGGAGGAGGAAGAGGAGGGTGAGGAAGTGACAGCGAGGCCTTTGAGTTTGGGTCAATCCCTTCCTTACAACCTGAACACCATCCATGACACATACAGTAAAGATTGTGTTGAAAACAATCTGTTTCATAAAGGTATAACATACATTAATGTACTCATTCATAAGGGTGTCATACTGTAAAAAAAAAAGTGGTTGGAAGCATACTGTATCAAGATGTTTATAATGCTCTGTAATACAAATTGAAATTCATCTATTCATTGTAAACAGTTACAATATAAATAGAATATAAAAAATGATGAATGCTGTAAGTATATTAACAACCCTTTTTTATGAAGCCTATATAAATAATACATTGTATACACCAGCACTATAGAAAGTATTGGCAAAAATTTGGACCGTAAGACTGAGTACATAAATTGAATTCATAAATAACTTGAAGAAAACAATGACTCAAACAAGTAGTGCAGTTTTACTGACACACTGTAGTGTAAAGAAGAGCTTTTGTAATGTGTGAGCAATAGCTGCATCCTTCAAAGGCCAATTGCCTCACCGCGTGCGGCGAAGGCTGTCTCGATTCGAAGGCTCATTCAAATGCGGCCTCTAAATGCGTCCTTCGTTTCCCGTGAAATGAAGGATACAACAGATGGATCCTTCGCTAGTGATGGGAAAAATTAAGCTTTTCAAGGCCAATTTGAACCAATTGATTCGAACTCTTTCGAAGCGGTCGAAACACCACACACTGGTGACCCCTACTGGTCAGAACAGAGGAAATGCAACAAAAACTCGGACCAAACGTTCATAAACAAACCCACACCTTTTACAAACCCACTGCAAATGTTTTATTGAAAGTACATTGTATCAAATGCAATTGACTAATCATCTAATTTATATGTAATATGTGTTATTTTATCCATTTTCAGGGCTCGTTTTGTTTAACAGGCCAATAAGAGACTATTAACTACTATTATTCCTTTTTAGTTATACTAATGTCTAATTAAAACGTGTACAAATGGATCAAACTGATCAGAGGTCAGGTAAACCCCATAGGCAATTATTCAATGGTTTGTCGCTAGGGGGCGATCTTAGTGAATCCGCATGATTCATGGGTTCACAGGCTGTGTCCGAAATCTCCCACTACTCACTACTATATAGTGGACTATATAGTGAGCTCGCCATTTTGTAGTGCTGTCCGAATGTATAGTGATGATTATTATACCCTATATAGTCCACTCAATGTATCCCAGAATGCATTTTGAAAAGTAGTGTACAACCGATGGTCACTAACCCAAGCCCTACATAACATCACGCATTGCGCTGATCGTAAAAGACCTATCAGCATCATCATCTTTAACTTACAATGTGACGACGTCTCGCTAGCGTAGCAAGAACAGCACGTTGTTTTCTGTGTCTAGAAATCCTGTTTCTTTTGCTAATCCGCAAAATCTTCTGAATCACGAGAACAAACAAACAAAAAAGATAAATATTGAGTGGCATCTCCACAGAGTCTAAAAGCTGTTTTTTAAGAGTATTATGAGCAAGATATTTGATAACGTAGATCTGTTTTTTTTTCCCTAATGTCGACAGGCAAGAGAAAACGGTGTAGCGCGAAAATGAAAATATATGAAATATGTGTATTAATTTGATTTATGTTTATGTTTACGTTTATGTTTATGTTTACTTTTTTCAGAGAGATTGCCGGATTACATTTTTTAATCTAAGTATTGGGTTTTACCTTAACGAATATCTAATGATACAAATATAAACATTAAAGCAGTTTAAATGTTGACTTAAATCTTACGAAGATGCGATTTATATATTTTATACTCTTTATTATCTACAGAAATGGACCACTGTGAAAATATTTAGACAGGTTTTGGACCCTGTTTTGTTTTCAGACCGTTGAATGTAACTTTCATAAAACCGCTCATCAACGGCAGCTGTCACAGTTGCTAGGCGACCATAACCATCCATCCCATTTTACAACACTCGGTCTGACCTTCGCGGCCTTGGAAGGCGTGGCCTTTGAGTCCGAGTCCTTTGGAGGATGCAGCCTCTGAATTGGGACACAGCTAATGACTGCTGAAATAATTACACAGCCAGGGAGCTTTCCTCTCTATTCTCCTCTCATTTTATTTCCTGCTCTCTAAATATTACAAAACGGCCCTAGAGCTCATGATTAGACTGAGCTTGGTGTAATATCTTGAGGCAAACACATTCTTTTGGCTTCTGGGTATTGCGGCTGTTATATTAGGGGACACTGGTGCAGTGTGGAGATTATTAATGACGTACGTGTCTGTGTATGTGTATGTGTGTGTGTGATGTATAATTTATCTTGTCGGAGTGCCGTATGTTTTATTACAGTGTGTATGTAATCTCTCTCTGCTCTGTGTGTGTGTATGTAGTAGAATTGACATACGAGCACGATTGATCTTACATATGTGTGCATGATGCATTAAGTTTGTGTGCATCTGGCATGTTTGTGTGTGTGTGTTTGTGATTAATTGCACTGGGACTTGTGTTTCTCTAGATGTGCGTGTTGAAGAATGGCCTTGTGGGAATGCAGATGACTCAGCGAAATCTCGGGACAGAGAAGGAGGAGACGATTCTGAAAGTGACCTCACATTCGGTGAAATGGAGCAAAGACTGGATCTACTACAGGAACACCTGAACAGGTGAGAGAGAGAAATGGAGGTAAAGTAGGTCACATGAAAGAGTAAATTAAGAGAAAACGAGTTGAGACATCAACTTAAACATCCAGAACATTTTGTGCTATTGATAGAATGGTGCCTACCACCATCTGCTGGTCACAGACGGTATTGCACGTTTGCATCAATATGTCTGTGTGTGTTTGTGTAGGCTGGAAGCGCAGATGACTTCAGACATCCAGGCTATTTTACAGTTGCTCCAGAGGCAGAGCGCTCTGGGACCTCCAGCGTACAGCACTGTGGCCGTCAGCCCAGAATACCACAAACCCGTGCAGCCTGTCACCGCCATGCAGACACAGGTAACACACAGGCTATATTCACAATGGAAAGCTAACGTGGATACAGCACGTTATACACTCAGAGTACACTTATGAACTGCTTTGCAATCACTGAAAACACACTTACAGCAAGGTGACCAGATTTCTAAAATGAAATCTGGGGACATTTCCTTACATGTTTGCATGTCGTCTTTTTTTTCATTGTTATGGGTTCCATATACTATATTATAATTAAGAATTATGATGTTTGCAGGTCAAACTGACCCAAACTGGGTTTAATACAATTCACACTGTAAAAAAGTGGAAGTAAGGTGTTTTCAGTGAATGCGCAAGACTTGCGGTTCTTTAGCCGCTATAGGTAAATATCTAGAAGAATAAGCAGTAAACGCTACAAACCAATGTGTTTATAATTACAGTACATGAAAGTAATTTGGTAAGAAATACCAGTTTGCAATATCAGGCAGCATAATGAGATGTTTTGTACAGCTAAAAATAACCGGAAGCAGAAGACACCGGAAGCCAGACACATTCAATTTACAAATTACCGCATTTTCTCCTACGTGAAAAATAAGGTGGATATTACAACAAAACTATGACTGTACAAAATAGATAATTATAACAAAATAAATATGACAACATATGATAAATAAAAATTGTATTAAAAATTTCTTTTACATTTTCTAATTGTAATTAATATTTTAATTTTGACAAAATAAAAAAATAAAAATATTTTATGTCTGTGCTTTTGGAGGCTATGTTGGCCAGGCTTTTTTGTATTTGTTCATAGCTGGAGGAGAAAAGGAAGAGATTGCAGTTGATTTCGGTTGAATTTGCAGTAGCATACTGCATTCGAACGGCAGAAACGGCAGCGTTTAATGTGTTGTCTTCTTTGTAGGCGTTCTCTAGATCAGGACTCTGCAAAGCCAAAGACTCCACGCCTGCCGTTACCATGGAGATGACCTCTGATGTCAGCACGGCGACTACATTGGTGACAGACCCAGAGTGGGAGGCGGGCCTGGGACTGAAACCATTGGAAAATGAGCTCTCTGCATCACAGCAGCCAAGATCTTTCCAGATGTCAGCCAGGCAAGCGTCTCTCCCAGATTCGTCACCCGGAGGCGGATTGACGCCGGGTCTCCGCAGGCCCTCCTCTGATCCTGGGCTTCCAGGGCAGTAACATAAGGTCAAAGGTTTTGATGGTAATGAAGCAGAGTCCAATAACAACTAGGTTGAGTTCTAATAAGCTGAATTGTGAAGAAGAATGCCTTATAGACGAATCTCACTCCTGTATGCTTTCATGTAACTATGCATAGAGAGAACAAACACTACAGTAAGCTCAGCCTCCTCCCTTCTACAGCTAGACTCAGGGTAGAGAACACCAAACCGAAGAGTCGTATGCAAAGAACTTAAAACAACCTTTTCCATGTCCCTAATAGTTACCTTAAAAATGCTGTAGCTGAAAACAAAGCAGTTGAGCAGATGCATTAATGCAGAATGTATCAGTTTGAAGGTTGTTCATTTTGTAAATACATAAATAGAGCGCTGTTCAGGAAGTAACATACTGGACATACAACCATGTTAATGAAAGAAAGATGCATGCTAGGGGTATACAAATGCAGTGTTTATTTATTTTTTTGCATGTTTCTTGAAAAACACTTGCATTGTTAAATTGATGACGTGAGCTCGTTTTTTTTGTTTGTTGTTCTTACATTACCTATTTGAGATTTACATGCATTTAACTATGAATTTCCTGGTATTCAGGAAGAATCTTTACTTGAACTGAACTCTGCAAAGCAAAGCCTCATCATGAAAACTGTTGTCATCATCTCAAAATATCACATTATTCTACCCATATCAGATTTTCACTGCACCGTTACATTTAACAACGACACACTGCCCCTTCAGAGCTAACTCAACATTTTAGCATTGTCAGTATTGCAACATCATGTCAGTCTCAGTATTGAATTTGACAAAACTTTTTTGGTCCAAGTGAGTGTGACCATTCTTTGGCCCTCATGGTGGGTAATTCAAACCACAGATGAGTGCTGTATCTCCCCAGAAACAGAGGGGTCATTCTTAATCCTGGGGAAATCTTATTTGCCATCAATCTCATTTACCCCATAGCTAGGCATTGACAAATGCAGCTCACAAGCCGTTTTAATAACTGCTTGTCATCTGAGGAAATGTCGCCACATAGATCCGCTCTGGTTGTCCGCTCCAGTTTTTGTTTTGTTTTGTCCGCTCCAGTTAACGCGTTTGCTGTTGCAGTTTGAGAAAAGCTTATGAATATTTAATAAGGTAAGCACTGAGGCAGTTTACGATTAGTTAAATCTGTTGCTAAAAAATCTCGCCTTTGGATTCTAGCACTCTTAAAGCAAGGTTAACACTTAATTTCCCATGGTTAAATGCAGTGCTAATACAATTGCTTAACCCAGGGTTAAAACTGGCCCTGTGGAAAGCCCTTTTGTGCTTTTTGTCCCTCATTTCTTTATGCAGTTTACGGATTCATTTTAGAAGGTTCTTACATTCTAAAGCTGTAGCAGTGTTGTAGTTTAATTTTTATCTGTAGAAATATATCTGGATAACGCGATCTGCAGGAGAAAACACTAGCTTTTGTAGCAGCAGTCATCCCTGGCCTTCCAGAAGATAGATCTACTTAAACACACACTTTTAGTCTTGCAGTGTAACATGACAGCGAGTTCATGTGTAGGAGGACTGCATGTTTAACCAAAGTTAGTTAGTAGAAGTAATCACTTAATCCACATTTAATGAGATGCATTGAAGCACACTGTCTTCCTAGTGTCCGCTAAAACAAACAAAAAAGCAGAAAAATGTATGCATGTTTAGTAATTTGCTCATATGGCCACCAGATTTAGAGCTTCTGCATGAATTAATGAATCTGATTGGTTGGCTGAAATCTGGAGGCGGAGCATCATGACATATCAGTGTATGCGAAAGAGGTTCTAAATCCTCATCTTTCATCACACAGATATGTGGTTGGCCGTCATCATCACTGGCTCGTGTGACCGCTGTGATCACGGCATGCACTGACCTAACAGTTTCCTGTGAGATGGTCCAAGTCATGTCTCGTGTTTTAGTAAGTTGGCCGGAGTGGGTTTGCCGTAGGGGTGTTTCTGAGACGAGGCCAGGACACGTGCCAGTGCGGGAAGAGAGCGAGAGAAGGATACGATGTTATTGCGATCTTTTGCACAAACTCTTTAAACATCTTGTACAGTGTCACTTTTTAAAACTAGTGCTGTTCACAAAATTGTTTTTATGCATTTTTTTTAAATGTTTGACACTGTATTTTATACAATGCAACACATAACAGCAGGTTAGAATGTTTTCTTCCTTGGGTATATTGGTATGTATTATATTTATGCTGTATATTGTGAATATTACAAGAGTTAACGCACAACTCTGTAAATTAATAAAGGACAGAATGCTTAATTTACAATGTTGCACAAGATTATTTATGGAAAAAGCACTTTATTGCTCTAAGAACCTGTGGAAAACCTAAACGAGACGCTTTGTATGCACTTCCATTTGCGAAATCCTTTTGAAGCGAGTCTGTTCATGCTGTGGCCATCTTGGTAACTTTCCAGAGACGGTACACAGCTTCGAAATAATCGGCGGAAAAAAAACGACTGCCAAATCTAAATGTTAATAACATACAGTACAGTGGGGTCCAAAAGTATGAGACCACTATTAAATTTCTCCTGTTTTGCATGATTAATTTACTAACAAAAAATTGTTTCATATTTCAAATTCATATACATCATAACTTTGATTCCATTTTTTCAAAATACTAAAAAGGTTTATATATAGTAAGTCTTGGAGGTTTGCATCCCACTGTATGTAAATCACCACTGAAATGACAACAATATAATATATTTTGCTTTTATAGCTCAAATCAGGCTAAAACCAGTTTAAAGTTTGTCCAACTAATGCACACTGTAGAGTAAGAAAGACCAGGTGACGTTTTTACCTACAAGAAGCTTTTCTTGTTAAAATAAATGAATGTCCTTTCCTGTGTTTCCCAGCATCACACACTAAGCAGCAGAGCGACCCCTGCAAGAACCCATTTTGCTGGCCTCTCTCTGGTCTTAAGGCTGAAGGTCCAGATATACGTGTTGGCACGTAGTTTGGTTTTATAGACGGGGCATTCGTAGGTATTGCGCGTCTCCTGGCGGTCGTTCGGGATGGCTCGAACAGCTATAACAGGCATGCTGGGAGTCAGTTCTTTCAGGCGTGCTTCTGCGATTGTCCCACCCTGAATATCCCAGCGTGCACCTGCAGTCACAAACACGGACTTTAGAATCAAATGAGCATTTTCCATCAGTCAGTCAGAATCCTCAGTGATTGGCTAAAACTGTCGTATTTAGATTTAGATGATACAGACCCTCCATGTAAAGGCCATAGATGTAGGCTCCCTCTCTGGCCGGCTGGTTAAACTCCTCTTTGAACTTCTTGGTCACATCCACCGTCAAATTCATCTTGTCCAGCGGCCATTCGTTCTTGCGTGCCAAACTCTGCATCACAGCTTCAAAGACATAAAGTGTGTGTGATGCAAATGAATGAATGTATATAGGTCCTCTGAAGGAAATGTCTTGAAACTGTTCAAAAGTTTGGGGTGGGGGGTGTTGGAAGAAATGTCATTAAATTGATCTAAAGTGACAGTAAAGAAACAAATGTTACACAAGATTTCTATTTCATATAAATGCTATTTTTTTTAAACTTTCTATTAATCAAAGAACCTGTTAGATTAATTTACTGCACCTGTTAGAAACGACTGAGGGTTAAATAAACCAGAGATCCAGACCACACTAGGCAGAGAGAGATCATGAGTCCAACTGTCTAACTCTCTACAGCGCAGTAACACGTCATTGTACCTGATTGGACACACACACACAGAGAGACATCACATATACAGATTGGTATCATAAAACAGTACAACGGTTATATAGTTCCAAAACTTAGTGAGTTGCCCAGCTAAAATATAATATCTACATAAAACCTACAATACAACATATAAACTCTCATAATATCCTAATAATATTTTATTTCAGCTAATTGCCAAGACAACACTTCTCTTGAACTTTTTTTAGTACCTCAACTTAAACTAAAAAGAAAATAAGCACACAACAAATTGACTAAAACTTTAAAATGAGAACAGAAAATATAAAAATAAATCAAATTAAAAAAAACTATAATAGTATATATCAATGATTCTGCTTACCACTGTCCGAGGCTGTATATAGAGGGGTAGGCCAGTCTGGTCCAGGTATCAGGAACATTATCAAAAAACAGAGCTGTCTGTATCTGCTCCATCTCGGATGAAATTGCCAGCTCTCCCTGCCAGAGAAAATAAGGTTTACGCTAATAGTCAAAAGCCTGGCCTCACAAGCATGTGCGTAAAGAGACTGTGACCAAGCAGAGTTCATTAATCTGAAATCAATCGATAATAAACTGGCACAGAAGACAATTCCAATAACAGCACACCTTCAGCCCCAGGTCCAGCTCTTTGAGCGAGCGTCTGATTTCATTGAGGAGCGTGTTCATACGCTCACACTCCTGGAAACACACCAGAATGTAGGGCGAGCGCTCGGCTGTTTTGGACGTGATGTCAGACATGTTGTACTCTTCTGGTAGCTTCTCCAGGATGTCATCCAAGATTGTCTTCACCTGAAACAGCAATGGCTTAAACCTTTGTAGAAAGCTATCCGTCACCACAACCAATGATCTTTCAAAAGCTCAGAGCCAGACCTTCTCTTCGGTGGTCTGTGAGGCTCCTTCACCCATGGTGGAGTCTCTGTACTGCAGCTCCAGAAGAGTGTGGAAGAGGCCGTCTGACGTCACTGTAAGAAACTCAATCTCAGCGTTTGGATGAAGCCCATAATGCACTGGGCTTTCGTGGGGAAGCATCTCATCTATGTACGCATGATAGCCTTGGTAATCCAAGTTAGAAGGCACAACCAATCCTGGGGCCAGTGACAACTTCCTGTCAAACTGAAAGTACAATGAGTTAGTTTGTGTTTGTGAGACGAAATATTTATCAAGAGCAAAAATAATTGGGATCATCCAATACAGATAAACCGATTCTTATTTTCATGTTTTGGCCAATAAATGGAAGATAATAAAATTCAATAGTAATACTTTACAATAAGGTTCCATGTGTTAACATTAGTTAACTACATTAGTTAACATGAGCTAACGCTGATACATGCTTTAGAAGTATTTTTCATAGTTCATGTTATTTTCAACATTTAAAAATACATTAGTAGAACCAAAAGTTGTATCTGTTAATATTGTTTAATGGACCTGAGCTGACATGGACTAACAAATGAACAGATGTATTTTTATTAATGAAGATTTATAAATACAGAAATAAATTTGCTCATTGTTACTTAATGCATTACAATAAGCTCCCATTAGTTAATATTAGTTAAAGTGTTACCAATTCATTACTATTTTGTCTAAATACATTTAAAATACAACACTAAAAATAATTTAAAATGCTAAAGGTAATGGATATTATTTTTGAGGTTTGCTAAAATTTACATTTACCTGTTAAATAAGTAGTGTTTTAAAAGATTCATTTTAAATGACCATTGGACAACAGCTAAATGTACAAATATGGCAAATGCATATGAACGTATATTTTTCAATTTTGAAAAATACAGACATTAATAATAATAATGGCCAATAACCGATTTGGTATCAATATATATTACATCCCCACTAAAAACCTAGATCAATCATTTTAAATGCTAGAAGTGGATTGAAGCATCACAACATTGTTTATCTATCTTTTATATTGCACATAATAATCTTTTGTAAATGTATTTAAATGATGATTCTTTATACCGGTAATAATATTTTTGCTATTATCTAGCACTAGTTTAATCTAAATCTTAAATTAAGAGGATCAAGTCCACAACTAAATATCCCACATCAGCTGATAAATCTTCTGGACTGATCAATCAAATAAAATATCACCATGCTGACCGTATTTTACCACAGTCTTGGTACACTTTGTTGAGTGTTTGTGTAGTCATTCAGTGTGTGTGTGTGTGTGTGTGTGTGTGTGTGTGTGTACACCTGATTAGGTTGCATGTATTCTTCCAGGTAAGTTCTGCACAGTCTCCTGTCCCAGTCATCAGTAATGTGACCTCCATACATGATCTCACCAAACAGGTACCGAAGGTCTTCCCATGGTACCTGTGCAACACAGGCTCAGTACTGTACATACACACTCTCTCACCATATCAGTAGAATTAGTAGCTCTTCCAAAATGATTTCCATGTTTATATCAGTTACGAACACATGAAATGAATACATTAAGGTTAAATTTGTAGATCCCAATGTTTCTAGTGAGGCCTATGGAGATTTGAATGAAGGATTTGGTTTTCTGTTAATTACACACCTGTGAGTTGGCTTCTAGGTAGTTGTAGAGCACATTCACTGATATGGTGAGATCCCCTGTGTTAAAAGGGTACTTCCTGTTCCAGCCCTGTGGCCCAAATTTCCTCCTTTCAGCCACACAAGCGTGAAAATAACACAGCGAGAACAGGATGGTCTTAAACTCCTGCTCACGGGAACACTGGTCCAGAATGTCCTGCATTCACAACACAAACAAATGAGCATGCAAGTTACCAAACGAGTTCATGTAACGCAATGTTCTCATTTGACTTAATGATACACGAGCAAAGATTTTGTGTTACATCTCATCCTTGACAAGTCTGAAGCCATACAAAATTGTGTTCCTTTGTCCGTCACAGCTGTATATTAAACATTAAATATGTTTTGACAGGCTATTTAAGCAGGATTTTGAACCACTAGCATTTCACTGTGGGTGGAGCCATCAGCACAGCATGATAAAAACAAAGAAATGTCATCGCGACTCGAGTAGTTCATTTGGTTTAACCTGATCAAAGTTGTCCAGAGCAGCATGTAGGTTGGCCAGCATGCCTGTGGGTGGCTCGTTAGTGATTTTGATGGAATTTTCCAGAATTCCCTGTGGAATGATGTGTTCCTGTGGAGTGGGAGAGGGTTCTGCACTCATGAACACTCTGTAGTCTTGGTGACTGTTCTCACAGCAACATTCGAGAAGCTTCTCAAGACTTCCCAGCCACTTTGCCACCAGGTGAATGTTCTAGAAGAAATGCATGCATTTGCATAAGCTATATACATAAAACAACAGAAATATACAGTATACAGATCATGTACACAAAGACACACCTGTAGAATGACCCAGTGGCCCTCTCTAGAGGCCTTTTCCATGGCAAGTTCAGCCACAGATTCCTGGCCCTGGCCCAGAGACACATTATGGAGCTTCCCCAGGTCTATTGTGAAACCCAGCTTCTTGCCTAAACATCCACAGAAATACACAGGCTTTCTTCACAATGTCAGTTCAAACAGTTTTTAGGCATATCGTATTCAAATCTAATGTTTTTTCTGAACCAGTGCAGGGTCATGATGCAGTACCACAGTCAAAATGATGGCACACACTCTTTGACAAGCTAAACGTTAAAGATTCATGCATGAGATAAAAGAAGAGCCAGTATGTAATTTTTACCCAGGGACTCGACATCTTTTAGGGGGTCCACTCCAGGGGACAGGATGAAGAATACAGGGGAAGCGGGACCGCACTCTTTGAATGAACGTGCAAACTCCATCTTCCTGCTCTCGGTGTACTGCACACCTAGTTTCTCTTCCACAAAGTTCCTACACACACACACACACACACATTTGTTTTTGTTTTCTTGATGGGGACTTTCCATTGACTTTTATTGTTTTTATACTAAGCTTATCTTAACTCCACCCCTAAACCGATTGCATTTTTAAATATTAAAACATTATTTAGTGTGATGATTAACAGGTTAGTCCATCCAAAAATTGAATTCTGTCATCATTTACTCACCCTCATGTCGTTTCAAACTACCTTTGTTCATCTTCGAAAAAATAAATGAGGATATTTTTAACTCTGTTCTTTTTTGTCCATCATGAAAGTGCGCAACCAACATTTTTAAAGCAGCACTAGGTTACTTTTCAACCTTCATAATATATTTCCAAGTCTCTTGTGATGGTACATCGACTTACAATAGGTTGAATGACACGTCTGCCATAGCCTTAGCGTTTTTAATCGTACTTTTAAACTTCGGGTTTCGGGTAGTAACCGGCGAACAAAGAGAACTACAAAATTCGACTGCTTTACGGCATATACGTTACTTCCACCACCACTTCCTTAAAATCGGACGTGCGAGCCAAATGTTATAGTCATGGCTGAAGCAGCACAGAAAAACAAGAAAGCAAAGGTTTTATCGGAGCAAAGCAAAAAGAGAAAAAGAGAAAGTGATCGCGTTAAAGGCAGAACGAGGATCAACATTGGGCCAGCATTTTCTCGCTGGCGTGAGCTGAAGGAGGAGGAGGGGTGCCCGACCGATGCGGACTTGGCAAAAAAAATCAAAAAAATCAAATGAAAGCCTGTGTCTAAACGGCGTGCACAAGTTTGGTAGGGGCTACATTCTTGCAAGTAAATATATAAGATGTACAAAATCATATTTTAGGATACCTAACATGTCTGTGATATTTGTTTATTTGTCTTGCCTCAAGCTATAATGCAAATCGATTTGTAAAATTTGCAGATTCATTTATGGTAGCTTGATATTATAATATTGACGATATATGGTTATCATCAACCACTCAGACATTGCATTGAAGTATCATATAGATTCAGTAAAACGATAACCAATAGACTAGGCTACTACAATGACGCTGGCTTGTAAACGTGATCATCGCGATCATTTGTCGTTAGAAAAAAAATAAAACCCATGAAATTATATTCATATGACATGCTGAAATATATGCCACTGTACCTGGGATGAAGACATTTCACACGCGACGCAAGCAGAACACCTGCATGTGACCTCCTCCTACAGTGTTCAGGGCTATCATGGTTGTCAACAATTGCACGTGCATGTAGGATGACAGAGTTTACGACAGTAGTAGAGGTCTAGAGGACAATACTGTTTCCCAACTGTAGGGGGACCCCACCCCGAGAGCAAAAGTTCCCTGGTGTTACTTTAAGCTTCAAAAATGACATGAAGACATTGTAAAAGTAATCCATAGTCCATATTAATTCAGGTGTTCTGAAAAGACACAACTGCTTTATATGATGAAAAGATTTTATTTAGGCTTTTATTCACATATAAACATTGATTAATGCACATAGAGCTCATCAAATATGGTAAAATTACTCTCAAACATGGTTGATTCATATGGATTACTTTAACCATGTCTTTTTTGTACTTTATAATGTGTGAAAATTTCAGTTTCATGGACTTTCAATGGATGGACAAAACGGATAAGAGAATATTTATCACCATTTGTGTTTCAAAAGAGGAGCGAAAGTCTAATGGGCTTCAAACGACATAATTCATTCTGTCTTTAATAAACACATACTATACTTCATAGCCTCACCGGACAGCGTACGTCATCCGGTCGGGTCGGAGAGCCCTCATAAGGATGAGTTTCTGGAGCGAACTCTTGCTTTTCCATTCCTGAGGGAGTTTCTCTTTCTCTGGACACTCTGACTCCACCACTTTCTTCCAGCGTTTGGGTGAGCCCTCGATGTCCCGGTCCAGACCACGAAACTCATCGGTGAAGCTCATTGTCTGCAGGAAGACACCAAAATACAATTATAAAATGCTGCGTAGACGTACGCACAAAAAAAAGTGCATACGCCTCTCTTGCAGATTTGAAAAACACAAATGATCTTAAAATTGTGCGCAGCTGAATGGTTTCAGATCTCCTAATTAATGTCATTAACATATAAAAGAGCACCAGTCAACGTCCAAATGCTTTGCTTAATTTGCAAATACCTGCAGTGCTCCGACTCTCTGCCACAAGGAAAAGTGTGTATGTCTGCTTGAAACCTGTCACGGCACTAAGCACTTTTCCACGTCCAGGCCCCAGGAGTGTTGCAGGTAATAATTGTCACCTCCTTAACCGTGCGTGTGTGTGTGTGTTTCTTACTTTAACAGCACTCCAGGCGGTGTTGGAAAGGAAGTCGACTGGGCTGGCAAAACTATGGTCGATGTTGAAGCGCAGCAGAAAGTCGAGCTCCCGAGGATCCACCTCTTTTCTCATTAACAACAACTGATACACACAAAAGTCACAAAAAGTATGCGTCACGACAAAAAACTCACCCATCCTTTATAATGTGCGTTTTACCCAGACTGTATCACCTGAAATGTAAGCTGTGCTGCGAAGGTGAGCTTGTCTCTCTCAAACAAGCCTCTGTTGATGTAATTAAACGTAGAGAAGGTGATACAATCTATCAGTGTGTTTACACGGGTCTTTACATCTGAAGAGGCATCTGCGTTCTGCACTGCCTTGTGGAACACAACGTTAAATGCCTGCAGAACGAAGAGAACATGCAAAGTGATTTCCCTGAAAAGTGCGAGACACAAAAGTGAGCGTCACACAAAACCCAACACAGCAACACTATCTCAGCAGAGTCGAGTTGGGGGTGGGACTTTCTGGTGACGATAATGGTGCACAAATGACACAGCTCAGCTTGAAATGTTTTCAGGAAGACCTGAACATCTGTCCTACAGAATACATACACAGACACACACAAACAAGGCCAGACCTTGAGGGAGAACTGGTACATGGGGTTGATCTTGTTAAGGTCATTGATGATGAAGTAGAGCAGGGATGCTCTGACAGCCACGGCCCGGTAGTGTTCACGAGCCTCATTAATCTTCACCTCATTAACCTTCGCCTCCAACACCTACACAACGCAAAAGCAGAATCAGACTGAGAAGAAACAACAAATGCCAACTAAAAAGAAAAATCTCTGGCTTGTCTAATGTTCTAGGGAATGTGGTTTCTGTCCTAAAGCTCAGAGAGCCTAGCAATGCTCCCAACATGAAGACTGTTCAAAATTAAGCTACATTACACAATACTTTGTTTAGCCCAATCTGTGACCACAGAATTGACATGTATATTACTCATAGTTCTCCACATTACACATCAAGAAACATCATGTTTATTTTATATATTGGCTATTTTGATTATTATGCTTCAGCTGCAGTATCAAGTCTAGTCTAGTTCAGCTCAGCTCAACACATTGTAAAATGTCTTACACTCCTGTTCAAAATGTTTCGGTCAATAAGATTTTTAATGTTTTTGAAAAGTCTCTTTTTAACACATTTTATAATGTCACTTATACCTGTGATGGCAAATTCCAGTCTTTAGTGTCACATGATCTTTGAAGAAAAAAAAAAATCATTCTTATATGCTGATTTTGTGCTCATCAAATGTTAAAAACATACTTTTTTCAGGTTTTTTGATTAATTAAAAGTTCAAAATATAAGCATTTATTTCAAATATAATTATTATTTAGTAAAAATGTAAAAGTTTGTACTGCCACTTTTGATCAATTTAATGCATCCTTCTTGAATAAAAGAAAGAAATGTTATCGACCACAAACTTTTGAATGGTAGTGTAATCAATTCCCACAAAACCAGTGCAGAAAATGCCCAAATGTGAGCAGATTCTAACATGGCTACAGCAGCGAGGCAGCTCACTTGGCTTGGAACAGAGCTTATGTGGGTCAGTGACAAATGTTGGAGGAAGGAGAAATCTTTGACATTGAGTTCCACGTTATTTCACCATATTCGATTTTCCAGGAAAAACGGTTGAAAATACACAAACCTTCATCTCAATCTCGGCAGCTGTGTGTTTAGTGCTCTCGAGTTTCTCGACCAAAACGTTGTCTCCCAGGAAGTTATTCTCAGCCGCGGAGAGACGTGTCAGTAACTCATCCTCGAGCTGCTTTAACTCGATTTTAAACGTGTTCTGTTGTTTAGTCAGTTCAGACTGCAGAGACACACAGAGAGCTATCAGTAACACTTCACTCAAAAGTGTGTCCAGGTCTGACTAAACAAGTCCACACACCTTGAGATGTTCGAGGTCCGGTCTCTCCAGGTCGACCACCTCCGCGAGCAGCTGGTCCTCGAGCCCGTCCCGTGTGACGGTAAAGTTGATGAGGGTGGTCTGGGCCTGGATCTCAGGTTTATAGTGCGGGTTTGCCAGCTTAGTGTGCAGAATCAGACGGAAGTCGGGATGGAAATAACATTCCTTATCCCCCACTTTAATACATCTGCAGAGGGGAGAAGAGAGGCATGATGAGGGGAAGATAACGGTTTGTTATACTGTTATATTGATACACTTTTTCTGTTTTTTGTATTATATTTTGTGAAATGCCGTGTGTTGTTGTGTTGTGTTCCTTTACCTGCCCTTCTTGATGGTGTGTCGGCCCAGTAATGGATCAATAACTGGTTCAATTGTCTCCTCCAGATTCTCAATCAATACAGGCTGTCCTGAGACCACGGCCTGTTCAATCACATCCACATACCTGTAGCGACAACGACACAGACCAAATTAAATACTGAAATAAATGCGAAGACAACATGAAATGGCATTAGCAATGCATTTACTTCCATTGTTAAGTGAAACATTATTTATATGGAGATAATGTTGGACAGGATTTGATTTTATCCATCAGGATTAAATCCATAAAATGTACACGGAGACAGTTATTGCATTTTGTTGAAAGATTATGAAAATAACCATTTTGTGCACAATAAAACCAGGAGATTTTATCTAAAAAAAAAAGAAAATGCAATATTTATATTCATAAGGTCACTATTTTCACATTGGGTGAAACCTCTTGGGACGTAATTTCTGAGGTATGTTCATCAACTGCTCACCCCTTCTGGTTGAGGTTAATGACCTTCAGGCTGTTGCCATAACGACTCTTGAGCCACTTGATGCCCTGCAGCTGGGGGTCAATGAGCAGCGGCCAGCGCTCACAGTTGGTCAGTACAGTGGCATTCTGAGTAGATATCTTATCACCCGGCAAGCCCTCGTTATTCCACTTCGCAATGGTAGCGCCATCTGTTAACATGGAGATGGGATCTAAGCCCTCGGTCATAGGGATGGGCACCTGAAAGTCATCAGGAAACGGAGGGAAAGGGGATAACAGATTCATTTAGTATATTAATACTTCTATCCTTATAAGGGATAGAATAACATCCTGTTATTGAAGGATGGGAAGGATGGCACAGTCACTTTTCCACCATCGGACCAAACCGCTCTATTAACGGTACTTAACCAACCCTTACGTTCCGTGCAGATCCGGCCCAGCCGAAATACAGTAGTCAACATTTGAAGTGGATCAAAACCTTTCAAAGTTATACATGAATTTTGAACAACACCCATTCTTCAACTTTGATGAACTTTTTAGATCCACTTCAAATGTTGACTACTGTATAACTGAAAGCGTTCCTTACCGTTCTTAGAACCATTCAGCCTGGCGGTGGGAAAGCGGATAAAATGGATACTAATTTCGTGAGAGAAAACTAAGACTAAACCTATTTGGTTAATAAACAGTTTCATTTTCGTGAACTGAAATAAAATAAATTCCAAGGAAATTGAAAACTAAAACTAAACAAATGTAAACAGTTACTGACAACCTAACTGAAATAAAATTAGCAGAAATAAATAATCGTTTTGGCTTGTCTTGTACGAGGCTTGTACTCTATGCAGTTTGAGGTTTCTGAACTTGAACAGGTGAAACAATACACATTTTAGCACCACAATCGCCTTTTTATATAAAGACAATAACTATGAAACTGTTTATCTTGAATACAGATTTTCTCGGTCCCTCACTTACCTTCTGGGCGCGCAGGTAAGGCATCCAGAGGTTATGGAGTAACTCCTCTCTGTATCTCTTTGAGAATGAGCCAGCGTATGAGATGAAGGCTGCAGTGAGGAGAACGTCTCCACACAGAGTGGATTCCTGCTCGCGGTACTGAGCCACAGAGTGAACCCAGCGGACATTTTCTGACTGAAACAATTCACAAAAACACATTTTCCACATGTGGAAGATTTAAATAAATGAATGCACCAAACAGAAATGTACCATATTAATGGTAAATAATAGTTTTTATGATAACCAACATGATGGTTGATATAAATTTATACATAGTTTAAAGTTGCATGTATAGTAGAATTTTTCATTAAAAATTAGTATGACAACATAAACATACAACTATTGTCCAAAAGACAAAACAAGTGTATTGCATTCTGACCTCTAAACCCTTGACCAGGCGGTTGGCCAGCTTGATGGTGTTGTTGGTGTGGTTCACCTCATCCTGACAGCGGAGTTTCTCCGAGGTTGCTTTTTCAAACGCAGCTTTCAGTGTGTCCAAACTACCATCCAACTCCTCCACATTTCACACAAACATTTGACATTACACAGTGCATTTTTGTGAAATGCTGATAGGATATTGTGGTGGAGAGAGAGACTTACGGTCAGCTTCTTTCTGATGACCTCTAACTTTTCTGCAGCCTCAGCCAAGTCAGCGTTGGCCTGAGACAGACACATCCTCTTCACCTCCACCTCACACAACACCTTATTAAACCCAAACACATTTAAACACACAAACGCAATACCAGAACGTTAGAATGGTTTACAGTCAGAGCACTGGATTGAGTCATATATAATCTGTCGGGTTGCGTTGAAATGTTCTTGTGTCCAGTATTATGTTGTTGTATAATTTATTCATCTGAACAGATTAGCAAGCGTTTACTCACATACGTCTGGACAGAACAGCATGGAGGAGGGAAGCAAAAAAACACACTGTAAACAATACAATCACAAAAACTCAATGAGAATCCCACACAAGACATTAATTGAGTTAATCTAAAGTTCTACATATAGCAGCACTCTCGGTCTTAGTTTGTGCAAAAGTGTTTACATAGACACATTCATTTAATAATCTTGCATTTTTGAACTGATGGTGTAAGTGAGCAGAACCTCGTGGAAGCGGATGATGTTAATGACCCAGGCACAGAGACCGGCCGCTGCAGAGGATTTCAGACGGACAAACTCTGGATTAAACTCAGGATCACTCAGATACTCGTCTTTGATCACACGCACTGTGGCTTCAGGGATGTGCTCTTTATCAAAATTAACCAGCGCCTGTAAGAAGTCATCCACCTAAACACACACCAAAAGAAAAGGAATAAATCTACCCAATTTACCTCTTTGCATAACCTGCAGAGTTACAGTATACAGTAGTTTCACTGCCAAATGATTCATACATCTCGACAATCAATATGTCATTTGAAAACTTCAATACTCGAGATTCGCTAACATTTTTTGTTCTCACATTTCGGCAATTTACGTCAATTTCAGCCTTTTGCCAGATTTCAAGAAGATGGCTTAAGTTAAATGTCAGAAACATTTGCAGATTGCCCATGAGAATAAATCTTAAATGTCAACTCTACACACACTCACTTTACTCATGACAACTTTAGATGCTTTCCAGCTGCGATCCTTTGGGATACGGCCGCCAGGAGCCAGGAGCACCAGAACAGCTGCAGACACATTCGATACGATGGCGGGAGGATTCGGAAACGTCCGCAACTCTGTTAGATTCAGCTGTACAGACACACACACACACACACACATACATACATACACACACAATTACTCTGGACAAAACTAATCAAGTCTGCTCATCAAAACAAAGCATTTGGATATGTGTGCGAGGACGGTTCAATACAGAAGACAAAGCACACCCATTACTCCCCAAACTATAGTCAAGTACATACATACACTACACACACAAATACACACCCTGTTGAGTGTGTTGAGTGCTGCATTAGCTGCCTGTAAAGCCGGTTCTGCTTTCCACAAATCTGCTTCAGTCTCCTGCTGCTGTTTGGTCACTTCTGCTTGAATTGCTTCTACCTGATATTGCAATCATTACAATGTCTTTCACAGATACATACCCATCAATAGCAATTATTAATAAACAAACAAGGATGGGGAATCATGTGATATTCTAATGCGGTAATGCGTGTGATTTTGTGCGTTAGGGTGGGAATATCTTTATGTGCGTGTCTCACTTTTTGCTCCTCTGCATCTGCTACACTCCTCTCCTGACTGAGTTTTTCACTCTGTTGGCCAATTTTAGCGATGAGAGCTTCAGTATCAGTATTTCTTAGCTGCAACTCTACTTCCTGTGTGGCCAGTTTAGCCTTCAGATCCTCCACCTGAAAGAGAGGTCCAGAAAATGTCAAACTTAAAGCTCTAGGACTGAGAATATGTTTATTTATTTATTTAAATTGTATTTTAAGGTTAATTTTAGTTTTTGCAGCTCCTTCAGCTTCCAAAATGAGATGCATTCTTCCGGCCTTGGTTAAAAGAATAGGTCACTTAAAGGAAAATTATGTCATCATTTACTCTTTTTTTCTTTTCTTTTTTTTCTACTATGGAAGTCAATGGGGTCCATCAACTGTCTAGTTACCGACATTCTTCAAAATATCTTCTTTTGTGTTCAGCAAACGAAAGAAATTCATACAGGTTTGAAACAACTAGAGGGTGAGTAAAAGATGACACAATTTTCATTTTAAGTGAACTATTCCTTTAAGCCAAAAGAAAATATAAATCCTTTCACAGGATGAGGTCACATTTTTATACAATTTGGTAGATTTTGGTGAAACCCTGTGTGTGTGTGTGTGTGTGTGTGGTTTTTAAATGTAAGTTTGACCTGTGATGCAGTGTTCAGTAGTTTCTGCAAGCCGTTCTCCAGACGTTCCATCTTCTGTCTCAATTCTCTTCTTTTTGTCCCCAGCAGGTTGCCGTAAAGTTTCATGAACTCCAGGAAGCTTTTGGGCGTGGTGTAGTTGAAACGTTTTTCATTCTGCTGATACTTTACACTGACTTCATTCACACTAGTGTGTGCGAATGAGATAAAGTCACTGATGGACACTCGCACCTCTGGCTACAGGAAAGAAAAGCATGTCTTGGTAAATGCATTTAGACTAACGTTGTAAAGTTTGGATAGGTATGATTTTTCAATGTTTTAATGTTTCAGTAAAAACAGTAATATTATTACAATTTAAAATAATAATTTTCTATTTTAATACACTTTTAAATGTTTTTATTTATATCTGTGAGGGCAAAGCTGTAAAGCATTACTCCAGTCTTCAGTGTCACATGATACTTCAAAAAATCATTCTAACATGCTGATTTGCTGCTAAAGAAACATTTCTTAATATTATAGTTTAAAATAACAGCATTTATATAAACAAATCTTTTGTGATTTTGTGAAAGACATTATAAATGTCTTTACTGTCACTTTTGAACAATTTAATACATCCTTGCTGAATAAAAGTATAAATGTTTTTTATTATTATCTTACTGGGCCTAAACAACAGTACATTAAGACGCATCTTTTAAGTGTATACTTTTCAATCAAAGGTGAAATACTTCAATTGAATGTGCAGATGTATGCAAATTAGGATGCAGCTATGATTTAATCTATTTTATGTACTATATCACCCTCGCTGTCCCTAGATTTTTACCTCCAGGCCAGAGATATTTTGTATAAAAGTGCTGCTGACGGACTGCAGTGCATGCTGGGGCCAAGGATGGAACCAGTCAATGGCGGTACAGTTCACAAGAGCCGGAAACTTCCGTGCACGTGTACGAAGAGTGAAGCCAACCGGAGAGAAACACAGCACCACCTACAGAGCAGATTAGAAAGAGCATGACATCAGAATGATATTCACATATTCATACATAATATATACTTAGGATACCGTTTTCTAAATAAGGAACCCAACCTTGAGCTGTCTGCGTATACGATCAATGAAGAAGTTCCAGCAGCTTTCACGTGTGTCCAGCAAACCAAGCGCCCTCAACTCCACACGAATAGAGGTTACGATCATATCAACCTCTTCCTCACTGAAGAGATCAGGTATATCCCCTACACACACACATATACATAAACACGAAACAAACTGAGAGCTACTGTCAGGATTGAGAGGAAGAAGAAAATGTGAGAGTTTGCAATGCGAACCTGATGCTAGCATGTCGTTGATCAGGACCAGGAATCTTTCATCAGGAATCTGGGCATCTGTGTGCAGGAAGACTGTGCCGATGTTCTTCACTCCCACCTTTATGTACAGTGCAGCGATATCACTCTACACAGACAGAACAAAGGATGTGGGAAAGGGAAAACTTTTCACAATATTTCATATTAAGCATCTAACAAAGAGAGATTATTGAAATGCAGTGTGTGTGTGTGGGTGTGTTACCCTCAGGTCGCTGATGCCATAACCCTTTCTCAGTGTGATCTGAAATACTTCCAAGATGCTAAGAAAAGCAGCCAACCGACAGAGACTCTGTTTCCCACTACCACCTACTCCAATCAGCAAGGCATTACCCATAGGAGACTCAAGAATACGACTTATCCTACAACTGCACACAAACACACACAGATTACCCATGCAGATTAGAGCTGGGTGATAATATAGTTTATATTTTGCGATGATACAAGCAATCAAGCCGTTAAGATATGAGATATAGTATATATCGCCCCACTCAAGTATACTGTATGAATGCAGATAAAGTTGTAAAGTTGGACATACTTTACATAAAGAGCTCTAGTTGTTTGTTGTTTTTGCAAGGAAATAAAAGCCAAGCAGTTTTAAAAGTATATTTTGTTTAATAAGTTATTTTGGATATAATACAGTATATATCCAACTTTACCTATAGAGCTGTGCGATCATACATTTACATTTTGCAACGACATAAACAATCTCACAGCCAAGATTTGCTATAGAGTATATTTTACTATACATGAGTAAATGTATGTATGCCGGTAAAGTAGGATGTACTATATATCCAACTTTTAATATATTTCTCAGCGATAATATAGTTTACAAATGAGGTGCTCAAACTTCAGAAAATGTCAACTTTTTTTTTATTGTCAACTTCAGAAAGTCAAACTAAATATTATATGAGCTGTTTTATGTTTTTAATTATGTTTCAAATTCTGTTAAAGGGGTCATATAATGGTACATGCACTTTTACAAGTTGATTGTACTGAAATGTGTGTTGGCAGTGCCTGTACACAACCATCATAAAATGATAAAAATCCATCCAGTGTTTTTGTTTTAATCTCCTTATATGTTTTCCCCTGCCTCAAATCAAGCCGTTCGACCGTGTGACGTCACATGGTCGGAAGCCCCTCCCACGATTGTTGATTGACAGGAGCGTTTCAACACAGACCCCCCCTCGCTCGTGAGCCAGCTGTCAATCATAGTCCGCGCATTGTTGATATGCTGGAGCACTGTCTATGAGCAGAATGGCGTCTAAGCGATTGTGGTGTTCTGTTCTTGGGTGTAATAACGAACACAGCAGTCATTTCAATGTTCCTAAATCCGAACCGCTGAAGACGCAGTGGCTGTGTTTGTTTTCGAAGGGAATATTCCCCACAAGCAAAGTCAATGCTCTCATGTTTGCGCGAATCATTTCACACACCAGACTGCTTTATAAACGAGGGTCAGTATAAAGCTGGTTTTGCTAAGAAGCTGCTCATGAAAAAGGATCGGTACCAGATATTCGTGTTCCTGCTGAACCTCCAGAAGAACGGAAGTGAGTGTAACGTTTTATTAAACTTTATATTAATATATTAATCTTTGCAAATCGCTAGCTGCACGCTTCACAATGAATGCGTCTAAGGTTTACACTCAGGGTACATTACGGCATGTTTTCTATGTATGACGTTCTCAATATAATTCATAATCCCACGTTTATACTGAACAACGCGTTATGGTTATTGTGTTACAAACGGTGTACGCACAGAACAGAGAGGTGGGGTGAGCAAAGCTCATTATCATTTAAAGTCATATGCACTGAAACGGCGTGCTGAAAAACAGAGCTGTTTTTGACCAGGTAAAATAAGCGTTTTCTTACAATACTAATGATAATTTTTAATTAAAGCATATTACAAACTTTTAATTTAGACCCTAAAGAATCATATTAGCTTGTACAAAAATGGCATTATATGACCCCTTTAAATACAGTTTAAAACCTGAATGATTTTGTTATTTTCTAGCAGGCTCACATGTGTTGCATGGCTTCCTCAAACAGCACTAGGTTCATGTCAGAGTGCAGCTCATTGTAGTGCTCAAGAGCATCCATCAGGCTCTTCTGAAGCTTCTCCAAGTCCGTCACTTGTGCATAGCGTGGCTCACCCATGCCATGAGCAAAATGAGAGTAGATCAATGGCTGGTTGATAAATATAGACTCATCTATACCCTACAAAGGAGAGAGGAAAAGGTTTTACTTGATAATTAGTCTATCAGTTTACAGGCGACCCCACCAGGGATTTGAGAAGTTCTGCCCACCTCAAAGTATCTTTTGCCTGTGTCTAGCAGAATTTTGTTGAACAGCTCAACATCTTTCTCCTCCATCAGTTTGTCTGAATACACACGAGAAGACTCGTGCAGCCATAGATGCACCAGGTCTATAGGGTACCGCACATGCTCTGGCAGAGCGAAGAGTATTCCCTACACACATAGACAAAATATTAGAACAGAAAAAAGCATGTCAATACTAATACTAAACACAAGTAGGCCACTTTATACATACATACAGCCATAGTACTCTGTACTATGTACATAGTAACTGCATAGACACACGCTTCTGTTTCATTGGCACACACCTGGAAGATGTTAGATATGTCTCTGAGGTTGAAAATGTAGTGAAACCGAATGGCTGTGGGCAGGAAGTTCTGGCTCATTTTCTGATGGAGGCAAATGGCAGCCTGGACCAGTGTATTGGCCAAGCGACTAACACCAAAACTGTAGCCACCCTGCTGGAAATGACCACTCAAAATACTGCTGTATATAGTTGCCAGAGCCTCCGCACTGGGGAAATGTACAGCAAACACTGAAAAATGCCTCTGCCAGGGGGAAGAAAAAGATAGAAAGAAATGTGAAACATATAAACGTGCGTATTTGGAGTCCAAATACAAATTTTGGACAGGACTTTTCTTTGTTTGGCAAACACTAATGAAATTGTAAGGCAGGCTACCTGTGCTTGAGGGTTTCACATGAGTTGTTTTTTATGGCTACCTATAGTCTACTTTTCTGTATTGTGCTGGATTTTCTGAAGCCTTCAACACTGTTAAACATCAAATCTTCCTTTACCAAGTTACCATGGGGTCCCTCAGGGTTCAGTACTTGGCCCTCTCCTTTTTTCCGATATACACACCATTACTGGGGCCTACCATCTGCATTTTTTTACCACCGCTACGCTAAAAAGACTCATCAATAATAATCCCAAAACAGGTCAGCCAGGAACCAGGAAGTACTGTTTGATGACCAGTTGAACTTAATGGAACACACAACACAATCAGACCCATCCTACAATATCCGAGCATGCTGCACAACTCCTTATCCAGCCTAGTATCCAGTGTAGACATGAAAAGAGCCTGGACATGTATTGGTTGTTATAATTACATATAGTCAAGGGTGAAATATTGCTATGGTTACTTTCAGATGAGGGCTGGATATGTATTGGTTGCTATGGTTACCTGTAGCCGAGGGTTAACTGAGAAGCTTCCTGCTGTTGGGTTCATGCAGGTGATGTACTGACAGTTATGGATCTCCTTGAGGACTAGTCTCTGACGGTCATACCTACAAATAGAAACATTAATTTAATCAAAAGCACATTTAAAAACAAGACTGTAAATAATGTTTCATCTACATGCTTTAATGCTTGTGTTCTCATACCAGTGGGAGTAGTCCAGGTGCTGTCTGATAAGCGTATGAGGCTGAACAGTGCCATATGCATCTACCTCAGGCATGTTCAGGTCATCCACAAAGTAGATGAGCTTCTTAGTACCATAAGGAGCAAAGTTTCGCCCTGCCTTCTTCTCCAGATGTTTCTCCAGTACACCTACAGTTAAACAACCATAATGGAAATATTGCCTGTAATTTGTACGATGATCTCCTCCTGCATACCTTGCAAATGTGTCCATGCGTTTGCATGCATAAATGTGGTTATTTTCTTTAATTGTCGCAAAGGTTTCTGTTTGTGCACTACGTGTCTTTGTGTTTATGAGAGAATATGGTGTGTGTGTATACAACTTTCATCATCTTACTCACGCTGTAACATGGCTGAGGTTGTGTAGTAATTGAAAGGTACTTTGGCCACCATGAATTCCTCTTTAAGTTTAGAAATATTATCCCAGACCAGGATAGTTTTCCCTACACCAGCATTTCCTACCAACATCACTGGCTTCCCCTTCTGCATAAGTAACTCAATGAAGTATGTCAAGCAGATCGTCTCAGCCGATTGCACCAATACTGTCTGTACACATGGACAAAATTTAAAAAGGTGAATCTTTGCAGCTGTTTGATTATTCCTATAGGTTTATGTTAAGAATATTTTATCTCATTATAAGTCTTCATAGCATAGCATAAATGACATAACATACTGAGGAAGTAACACCAAACAATAACTATAATGATAACCATGAACATAAAGTTTAAAAAATGATGTTAACTCTAAAAAAAAAAATTTAAAAAAAGAAAGAAAGTGGGGTCCACACCATAACTATAACGATAATGGCACAGAGGAACAATATCATTGGAATCACATCAAACAATAAAAACAATGATAGCTAATCAAAATCTTTCCAACTTTAAAGTGGGTGATGCAATTATGTTCACAGAACATAACTAAAGCGTGTGAACATATTAAATCAAAATTATCCAATGGTGTGGACGCTAACATAGATATATCATTATAGTTATAACTATACACAAGGCTTGACATTAACACCCGACAAATGAGAGTGGATTTCAGCAGTGGTGTGTAACACAGTCACTCATACTAGCCACTTTGGTGGGTTAAATTTTATACATAGTATATACATTTTTCAATTGTAGTCTTTTAAAAAGGCATCTGAAATAACAAACTAAGTGCAATGTAGCGTTGTCAAAAACATTTTTTTTCGATACATCCAGAAATATCTGAAAAGCTTACAATACTAATTTTCCGCAGAATAGATACACAATACCAGCTGCACTCTCTCGCTCTCTCTGACAGCAAGTTGACACACATACTGACTCGTTTCATTTGCTCCGGATAAATATTGTTACAATGTTACAGGGCTTGAATTTCGCCGTGGAATTGCACGTATTATGCATAATTTTACTCATTCCCGCAAATGTTGTCCTCACACCCAAAGTGCACGCACATAAAGCCGCCTCTCAGTACTAAATTGAGTTCTTGCTCGCTGCTTATTGAGCTTAAACAGTCAAATACACACAAAAAAGATCATGTCAAAATACCGGTCTTAGCAAGTATTAACAACATGTAAACACAGTTATTTATGTTTTACTGTAGGTTGAGAAAGAAAACACGTGTAACAGTATGATGGATCCGTGTGTCAGGTCTTAAAATGACAGCAGCCTAATATACCTGCTACCAAAATATCTATATGGCAGTTTTCCCCCATGGTATCGATGTCAAAATTGTGGCGAGTGAAAATGCTGAGAGGCAAGTAACTTTGGAAAACCACTAGCCACAGTGGCTTATGTGCAAAAAGTCAAAATGTCAAGCCCTGTTTATACATGCCTTAAAGGGATCGTTCACTTAAAAATTCATATCAATTCTGAATTTGTTTGAACTGTCCTTTTAAGACTCTGAAGGAAATTAAACTGTGATAAATTGTTTTATGAAAACAAAGTATATAAGACAGACCATATTTTCTGTATTTTGTGTTTTGTTCGTAATTGACCTGCAAAGGGATGTCGGGTTCCAGCTCAAAGGGAGGTGTGCGTTCACTCCAAGGAGTGAACCGTTTGGTGTTGGGGTCGATGTAGTAATCAAACACTGATCCCTGAGAGGGAAACTTCACAGCTCTCATCTCCTTACACCACCAACGACTGAACTCTGAACGATAGTCTATTAGCTGACAAGAGACAAAGCAAAAGAACATAGATGGAGTATCACAAATATTGCTTATCACAAAGTAAAGATCACATTGGATATGTGGCTTATAGCAAACAGTGTTCATGAATTTGCAGACTAACATGGTCCTGGAATAGAGCCCCTCCAAAGGCCCACACACATGCAAACACAAAGTAGAGCTCATAGAGCTCACGGGGAGAGTCCGGAGGGGTGTTTTCATCAGTCAGCAAGCAGTCCAGCAGACAGCACAGGGTCTGATACATACAAACAATAGGCACACATTAAAGTAACAGAAAAGTTTGGCTGTACATATTTATACTGTATGTAGCCTATGTGTTGGACAGTGTGTCTCTTACCTGTACCATGCTCATCTCAGGTATAGGTGTGATCGTCTTCAGGTTGCATCTGACCTGCTCCAGACAGTAGGGTACATACTTATCAAACAATATAGTGAGATTTGCTCGCTCAGATTGGGCCTGACGGGTGTCTATCCAGCTTGTCACAAACCTGTTAATTAAAATGAGGGGTTGAGTGTCTCAAACACAAACTGCAGTATTTGATACAAAACCACTCAAAAGACCCCAGGGTCAGTACGGTTTTTCTCTGATACAGAATATTTTGGAGAAAAACATACATTTCATAATGTGATTTTTCAATTCTTTTACTTCAATGAAAGGTTCGATTTTTGCTAATTTTTAAAATAAAATATCAAAAGGATTAACAATGCAGATTTATTTTTTACAGCCATCTTTGATCATATTTACCAAGGGGGCAAATAATTCTGACCAGCACTGTATATATAATAATTGGCTTCATCACTGTCTCCTCTCCACCAATAAGCTGGTGTGTGGTGGGCGTTCTGGCGCAATATGGCTGCTGTCGCATCATCCAGGTGGATGCTGTACATTGGTGGTGGTTGAGGAGATTCCCCCTTTCTTGTAAAGCGATTTGAGTGCCGAGAAAAGCGCTATATAAATGTAATGAATTATTATTATTATTAATACTGTCACTCACGAACTCCAGCCCAGATCCTGAGGGTTCACGTAAAGAATTCCAGCCCTAGATACTGTAGCCGGTGTTGCAGCCTTCAGGTGGCTGATCTCAAACAGCAAACGCATGGAGGGGGTCAGTGATATCCGCTCATTACTGGCCAAGGTTAGCACCTAATATATACACATCACATACACACATAAATAAATATAACAATCACACAGTACACACATTTATGGCAATATTAAGTCATGACGAAGAACCTTATTATCATCCATGACAGTATTCAGTGATTCAATCCACATGGGGTCGATGTCTCCATCTAGAACAATCCACTTCGGTCCATCATGTGATATGGCAGAGAGTTCTCTCATAGTGGAAGAAAACAGACCTGAAACCCAAGGATCTGTGATTACACAAACACACCTTCTCGCATATTTTTATACACACACAAAATGGCCCCAAAAAGCATCTGAACACTTTAGCCACACATGAAAATGTGTAAATGTTGCTGCATTAGATACCAAAATATAGTTTTCTATTTTAATGTTTTAATATGTTTATAAATATATTTATTTCTGTGAAGTCAAAGCTTAATTTTCAGCAGCATTACTCCAGTCTTGATCACATGATCCTTCAGAAATCTTTCAAATATGCTGATTTGGTGCTAGCATTTACTATAAAACCATTTATATAAAATGTTTAGATTTGAATTAAAATCATATTTTTCCCTTTTATGAATCAAAGGCCCCCACCATGTTGTTTATATCAGATATTTATGGGACATATGTTTCCTCATAGCAATAGACAAACGCAACACACACTCAAAAGTTTAGCAAAACAGTCGCATATAAACACGTACACACCACAGCTGACAGCTGTCTACAGAGATGAACTTCAAACGATGGAATTAAACCACACTCCCATAAACACACCCACCATCTTTCCACTCCCGTGTAGCTGGGTGCAGAAAGCCAAACAGCTCATCGGTGGTGACAGCTTTAGGGTTGATGTCAGTCCAGATGGGCTTCAGTTTCATGTTAGAATAGGTCTTATGCAGTGTCTTCAGAATCTGACCCGTAAACAACCACATAAATCAACCATATATACCGGTTAGTTTACTGAAACAGCAACATGACCCACTCAATACAATGGAGCTGACTAGTATAGGCTCTCTATATACAAATACATAGGGTTAGAAACTCAGAGGTCATCACAACCTCAGAAACATTTGTCTCTTTATTTCTTCATTGGACTGACCTGACTTTTTCCTGTTCCAGGTCCACCTACTACAAAAACAGAGTGTCTCACCGCCAACAGCTCCTCCAGCTGGGTCACCTGAAAGCAGAAGACGTGATCAGAAACAGAGGGGGAGAAGATTTGCAACTAATGGGAAATCTAAAACATTTGAACATTTCTCACATACGACAGACAGACCTTGAGTATGAAGTTCTCCTCTGGCTGCAGGTGGAGTTCAGCAACTGACTGGCGTACGTTCTGCTCAAGCTCATTGTCTCTCTTGCGTGGGATATCCAGAAGAGGAAAGAGATCACTTATAAGTCCCAAAAATATTGGCACATCACTCGTCACCACCTTTGGCAGGTTAAAGTCTCGCAGAGCACGCATCAGAACCTGAAAAACACACATACACCACATTACAGAATAAACATTACTGAATATGTTTTAAATATAAAGCAACAAATAGAAATGCATCACTTCTAAACAACAATTCCCATGAGCACCTGCTCTTCAGGACGGCTCCTCTCCTCCCTCTTCAGTGACCCAGCAACAACCAAGACTGACTTTATGGCCCTCAAGCCCCAGTCATAATGATCCTAAAAAAAATAATGATCTTGTTTGAAAGATCACCCAATACAGTGGATTAAAAAAATGCATTAAGTGTGTTTATGTATCAGTGTGTGTGTACCTGTTTGGAGAGCAGCTCTTTGCAGAGTGTATAGAGGCTGATGAACTTGCGTGCGAGCAGACGTGCTTCTATAAAACCTTCAGCCACCAACATGATCTCACAGATTAACTCATAATCAGGAATCACCATCGCACATGGCCTGACACACAGAGATAAGAGTTATAAGTATATAAGAATGTTCAGTGGACACCATGTCTATTTTTCCCCTATAAACATCTAAAAATCCAATATTATTGTCCATTTCATTCCAGTCAATAGCATAACCAGAGCCTAAACCTGAAAAGTGCTTTAAGGTTTTCTGGTAGTTCAGTCCTCCCTGCATATCCAGGGTTCAGAGTGATGAAGATCCCAACTGTTTGCCTTAACTCAATCTCCTCCCCCAGGAAGTGGAACCTAATACACAATGGAATGAAGGGGTAAGAGATGGGATATAATGGGATGGTTTGACATGATATGAGATAGAATAGAATGGAAAATAAAGGGATGGCATGGAATAGGATAGGATAGAAAAGTGTGAGTTATGAGTTATACTTGAAGGGATGGGGTGAGATGGAATGGGAGATTGTATGATGGGATTGGATAGAATGGATACAGAAAGTATAAAGAAAGGAATGTAAAAGAACGTGATGGAACAAGACACAATTGGATTGTATGGAATAGTGTAAGATGAAATTTGTATGAAATTGTATGGAAAACAATAGAATAGGATACAAGAGGGTAGGGCAAGATGGAATAGAGGGTGGGGAAAAAGATGTGATGGAACATAACATTATGGAACAGGACATGATAGGATTTGATGGTACTGAATGGTGTTAAATGAGCCGAAATGGGGTGAGATGGAACTGACCTCTGTTTCTTGTTGCGAACTGCATCCTGAATGGTTTTCACCTGCACAGCAACCACAGACAGAACCTCCACAGAGATCCTGTTAAACTCATCAAAGCAACCCCACACTCCCGTCTGGGCCAAACCTTTATAGATATTCCCTATGGACTGAAAGAGGAAGGAGGAAAGAGAAAGAAACAATGCATAAAGTAAAGAGAGGTGTGCCAGTAGTGTTCCTGAGACCGATGTGTTGTGGCCTGCACACCTTGTAGTCCATTTGCTCGGAGCAGTTGAACACATAGACCATAATGCCGAGCGATCGGCCAAGGTCTTTGGTGGTTTCTGTCTTCCCAGTTCCGGCAGGACCAGAGGTGGCGCCACTCATGGTGAGGTGCAGAGACTGAGTCAGAGTGATGTAACATCTGCGGGTACAATGACCAGCATAGTCAAATAACATCAGTAACAAGATCACAAATCTGATGAGTAATTATGTGTGAGTGTGACACTGACCGGTCAGTAAGTGGTGTTATGACCAGTCTGTTGGTATTCCCCAGATACTCGTACGAGAACTGAAACTGTGCGTCACATATGTTGATGTAACAGTGCTTCTGCTGCTCATCCCATCGGTGCCGTAACTGTGACAGCCACGCAAAAGCCTGTCCACTGGTCACCTAGGACACATGTCATTATGATGTCATCATACTTCCTCTTCCTAAACCCTTATTTTAGGCAACAGAATATAGATTCAATACAGGTTTGATTACCTTCTGAGATACGAGTTTAGCGACTACATCACGAGCGTGGACATCAATAGTGCAGATGGTCATGATCTTTTGTCGGTCTCCAGGGGTAAGGTCACCCAGTAACATGTGTATCAGAGAGTGCAGCTGACCGATCTACAGTCAGTTACAAATAACAGTGATTTTCTCAGCTATCAACATAAAGTGAGATGAGTTAGTGTTTATATTTGTATTTACCTGTTTTCGGTTGTAGTCTTTCAGGGCAGTCTCAAAACCTTCCTCCACCCTCTCAAAGGCAATGCCCACATCTATCGCCCACCAAATTTGACTGCCAGTCAGTGCGACCTAAGAACCAGACACATACAAATGCACACACATTTGAAATTAATCTGTTAAATTATTGTTAAATTATTGCCTTCAGGCAACATTATTGTTTTTCATTTATCCAACCTTTAACCTACTTATTGTAGAGTTAACGAAAGTTATCATGAGCATTGTAATGTTTAAAAGCAGATGTCATCATTTTTAAAGTGAGCGGTTCATTCATAAATCTGCAAGATCTTACCTTCATGCTGTGAAAATACAAACTGGAAGATAAAACACAAAGAGTGCAGAGCTAAAAGGGAACGGGGCTACATAAGGTCTATAAAGTTACAAACTAATAGGATAGGAATCATACAGAATTTCAATTCTGGTTGTGATTCCTTCTAATGAATCTTTTTTTTTTTTTTTTTTTTTTTGGTTCTTACAATAATTAATACAATACAATACTTAAAGGGATAGTTCACCAAAAAATTAAAATTCTGTCATCGTTTTCTCACTCTCAAATTGTTCCAAACCTGTATAAATGTCTTTGTTCTGCTGTACACAAATGAAGATATATTTGGAAGATTGTTTGTAACCAAGCAGATCTCAGGCCCCATTGACTACCATATATGTATTTTTTTCCTACTATGGTAGTCAATTAGGGCCCGAGATCTGCTTGGTTTTGGAATTGGACTAAACTGATACTGCTGTATGTTTCATGTAGTAAAATAAAGATATAAGCCTCAATTCCGCCATTTTGAATTTTCCAAAATACCTACTTTTTCGCACGCCATTGCTCTGATTTTCACGAAAAATTAACCAGATCATCTTCATACCACGCCGACAAAAAGTTATGGAATTCAAGTCGATTTGACATACCGTTATCGAATAACGAAATGCCCGCCAAAATGAACGTGAGGTTATATCTCCGAAACACTTTAGCACATTCTGACTAAATTTGGTGCATGTTTATGACAACCATGACCTGAGGGATCCGGCACAGTTTAAGCGAAGTGCCACCTAGTGGTCAGGAGATATGAAAAATGGCTATTTTTGCTTTATAACTTCTGAACGCTTTGCCCAAAAATAACAAAACTGGTCTTTTTAGATTTGGTGCAGCAATTTTCCCATATCAGCCATTTTAGGCGATGGCCATCTTGAATTGCGTCTAAAAATGCTATATTTTACAAACGCACTGGTGTATCGTTACAAAATCGGTATGTGTCTGCAGCACCATGTCCTGACAGTTTCGGGGCAGCGCCACCTTGTGGTCAAAAGTTATAATGAAATTTCCAAAAATTACTTTTGAATAAATTAGCCTATTATAATGAAAATGGTCTTAATAGATTCCTTGGATCATGCGACAACATGGATACCAATTTTGCCATAGTCAGCCAAACTTCCTGTCCGCCATTTTGATTTTCTTTAAAACCTACTTTTTCAAACTCCTTCTAGACCGTTTGTACAATTTTCACCAAAATCAAAGGGCATTATCTTCAGACTGTGTCGACATGGATTTCATGTCGATAGACAAAACAATTTTCATATACTGCAGCAAAATTCCGGCGTGATGCCATGATTTCCATTACACGAGAGTAGGTGTTAAACCTCATGCTGATTTGTACTCGGCTTTCGCCAAGATAAGCACAAACTAAGACGTAGCTTTACAGTAACCTATGCTTCTCTCTCTCCATCCATTTACGCTTCTTTCCATATGGTGATGTGAATCTCCTTCTGTCCAGCGTTAACGGGTGCAGTATACTTGGCGCGTCAGTACACACAACGGCTGCAACTACAGTGTGGTCTCCCCAGTGGACCAGCACAACAACCGTCTGGATTGAGCCGAGTAGGGGACATCTCTAGGGTCTTCACCTTCCGTCCTCAGTGTTTCGTCGACTAGCCCACGACACCTCAAGAGGGCTCGACAGTGACTCTGGCGTCCCAGAGTCACCCCCCTCCATACCCCACTCAACTCAGCCCAGCTTACTGACCTTTACCTCCCTCCTGCTGCTGAGGTTGCTCCTTCCTCGTAGTTCACGTGTGACCTAACCGCAATCTCACAATCTCTACGCGCCAACCCGTTTGACTAAGGCTGTCGAGCCCCACTGGTGCATTAACGCAGTTTCAGTGGCAACGGTTCCGTATGGCATACTACCTACCGCAAAACACAATATCTGCCCAAACACCAACCCTCATTCACGCAATATACACAGGAACGTAATAACTGTAACTACTATGCAAACCATACAAATAAACCAACAGACTGAGTTTATCAAGAATTCTACGAAACCGTAGCGTGGCGGCCTGTACCCAGCCAGCCAGCCAGAATCTTTCCGTCTCAACCACAGCCAGTTGCTGCACCTTTCTGCTGCTTCAGATAAGTTCTCTACTGTGCGACGCAACTCTTGGCCACTGAATCCGACGTCTCTGAGGAACCGGGTTGTAGAGTGTGCCACAAATCCTCGACAACCCACTTCCACTGGATAAACCTGGACTCTCCATCCTCGCTGTTCTGCTTCAGTGGCCAGATGAGCATACCGCAGTTTCTTCCTCTCATATGCCTCATCTACAGCATCCTCCCATGGCACTGTTAACTCTATCAGTTGAACAATGCGTGCTGATCCAGACCACAAAACAATATCTGGTCGGAGGTTAGTGGTGGCAATCTCAGGTGGAAAAATAAGCCGTTGATCAAGATCAGCCAGCATTTTCCAGTCCCTAGCAGCTTCCAGTTGTCCTGGGCGAGAATTGGTTTTAACACCTTTTCTTGGTGGTTGCTCGCCTGGGCGGAGGAATATTGTCTTCTGTGTGCAATGTTTTGCTAGAACAGGTGGCAACTTATTGGTCATGTTGCGCTTGCCTTCCAATGCTAAAGCCAAACATCGCAGTACTTGGTCATGGCGCCAAGTAAACCGACCCTGGCTAAGAGCCACCTTACATCCTGTCAAAATGTGCCTTAATGTGGCAGGTGATGAACACAAAGGAAAAGAGGGATCTTCTCCTACCCAGAGGTTTAGGTTCTGCGGTGATGGGAGAACATCATATGTTGACCTGATAAGGAAACTGATCCTACTCTCTTCCATTGACCAAAGGTCTTGCCAGCCCATCTTGCGTTGTTCCACACTCTCCCATCTCATCCACTCTCCCTGCTTGGCCTGGGAAATGGCCTTTATACACCTCATCCTCTCCTCCCGCTTTCGCACCTCGTTGACTACCAGCTTCCTCCTTTGAGCTGGGCCTGCCTTGTGCCATTTAGGAGGAGCTAAACTGAGCCCAAAACCCCCTCTTCCATGCTGTACCTGTCCCACGATTTCACCAATTTGAAGGGCAGCCTTTGCCTCTACCACCGATTTCTTTGCTGACCACTTCCTACCAGTTTTTAACACAGGTGCTGCGTCCCTTACACATTTGTCGCGTGACTACTAAGGTCATGCGCACTTCAACTCCTTGGCGCACTTAAACTCCTCGGTTAAAGCAGAGACTGGCAGCTGCAATATTCCTTTACTATAAAGTCCCACTCTGCTGAGGCAGCGTGGAACTCCCAACCATTTCCTGATGTATGAACTTAACGCTTCCAGCTTATCCACTGCTGTCAAAGAAACCTTGTACACAGTCAGTGGCCACAGCAACCTCGGCAGTAGACCAAACTGAAAGCACCAGAGTTTTAGTTTGCCTGGTAGAGCACAGCTGTTTATGCTCTTCAACCCTTCCACTGCTTGACTCTGAGAGGCTGTATCTCTGCAATGCTTTGACATATTGACACCAAACTTTGCATGTGTCATTGTCACCTCACTCTGACCACAACAGAGTGGTCACAGCACCACCTATTGGTCAAAATTGATCAAACATTCAATCAAATTACCGTGAGTGAGTTCAAAACTGCTTAAGTTTATCTCAAAGGATTAAAGTCTATGAAACTTAACTAAAACTAAAATGGAACTAAACACTCACTAACACACCTGTGCCGGGTAGTCAAACAGCCACTGATCTCGTGGCTTGTCTTCATATGCTGCCACAGCTTCAGAGATCTCCTGGCGAACAGTGGAGCGCATGGCCTTCTCTAGAGTACTCAGCCAACACTCGGCCTGTTACATGATAGACAGACAAAATGTTTTTCAACTACAGCATCTAAAGATGGAGTGTTGTGTATGTGTCATTGTGTCTCACCTGTCCTTCACACACACAGGGTTGTGAGAAGGGCACATATTCTCCCTCTCTACTGTACATTCCCAAGGCAACAGTTGTTTTGGGATCAGTGGCTCCATCATCATCCTCTTTGAAGCGGAGGTCAGCCAGATTGTCAAAAAGCTTCAGCAGGTGTCGTGTCACCTGTGCATTATACACACAAATGCATTACAACACACATACTTTTGAGTGGACTTTTTGCCTTTAATTTGTTAGTATAGCAGCAACCTGTCTAGGCTGAGTTCCCTTAGAAACTATTTCCAGCAAGTCACTAGCCGAGACAAAGTAAAAGCGTGGAAATGTCAAACGCTTTGTCTCCAAATACTCAGCCAGAGCCTTCTCGCACATAGACAATCTGCAATACACAGACATAGACAAATAAAATGATTCATGTTTTAAAATAATCTATTATGGTGGAGTATTGAAAGGCGTTCACACAGACAGTGATTTGACAAAGCGTCCAAAAGTTACCTTTGCTGAAGAGTCTCAAGTTGCTCCAAGAAGCCTGGCTGGTTAGTGACTTTTATCACATTATTGGTCTCCACAACTGTGATCATTAAACCCTGAAACAAGGTTTTATGTTAATACATTTCTGATCTTGCTGGCAACTCATGCATACTCTGTACTATGGCAAGCTGTTTTAACTTTGAAGAATTTCCAGGATATGATTCCTTGATATCAACAACTCAATTTTCACTAGTTAAAATGACAATTATTGATATCAGGAATAATATTACTACTAGTAACAATGGCAAGTTTTGATATCAGGAATTACACTTTCACTAGTAACAATGCTAATTCTTGATATCAACATTTACATTTTCACTAGTTAAAATTATAATTCTTTTCACTAGTGAAAATACAATTACAGATATCAGCAATTACATTTTTGATATCAACAATTACATTGAAATAAATCAAAGTTAAAACGGCTTGCCATATCTGTCACAATACCTGGAAGTCCTGGTGGATGCCCTGAAACCGCTCTGCGTCATGGGCCAGCTGGTTCCGGATGTCCTCAGAGTTGGTGAAAATACTTTGGAGGTGAGCCCATGTGCGCTGAACCGCCAACCACGTACCAATGACCAGATCAGCCACCACCAGCTTCCGCTGCCAGCCGCTCACCTCGACTATGAAATACTCCACATACTTACTCATGAGAATATTCTGCAACTGAACCTGAGTATCACACATATACAAAACGAATTGAACTGAATTGACCTGATCTAATCTAATATGAATGGATCATAACCACACCAAACTGAGCTGATTGGAACTGACCTGAACTAAACTGGTGTGGTTCTGAACAGTTCAGTTCTGATCAAACTGAACTGCTTTGGATTTGGACAGATTTGGACTGATCAGAACTAAACTGATCTGAACATATCAGATCAGCTCAGATTGGTTCGATTATGAGTTGGTTGATCTGATCATAACCAAACAAAATTGATCTGATTTAAATGGAATCAATCAAACCAAACTGAACTGAACTTAACTGAAACAATCAATTCAGATCAGATCAAAATAAAACTAAATTGATCTGATTTGACTGAAACTGAACTCAATTGAACTAAACTGATCAGAATTGAACCGAACTAAAAGATCAATTTAGAAATTAGAATTTAGACTGATCTACTGTACACTGGGTTTTGATCTGATCAGATCATTTTAGTTTGGTTATGATCAAACTAAACAAAGTGAAGTGAATGTAGATTTAAGCTGAACTGATTGAAACTGATTTCAGCTAAACCCAGTTGACTGATACAGGAAGTTACCTGGTTGTCCTCCAGGGTTTCAATCAGGTTCTCATTAGCTTTGAGCAGAGGTGTTCCAGTACTTGTGTGCGTCTCATACGACAGAGACATCATGGACCACGTCTGCTGGATCTCACCCAGAATCTGTACACACAACAGATATGTTTTATTGTGCCCTGAAATGCCTCAGAGTTTCTGAGAAATGCTTTAAATCTCTCTACCTTTTCAATTCCCATCTCTTTGACTGCTTTGTCCACAATGTTCTTCACTTCTTCCTCCACACGGTGGAGCTGCAGCTCTAAGAGATCACCAAGTGTGGTGTTCTCATCCATCACAAAACTCACCTACAGGGACAAGAAGAGAGGTTAGTTCCTCTTTCTATTACTCACATGATATTTATCACTTAACTGTTATCTATAAGGCATTAATAGGTTTTCGATCCTATGGGGTTATGCTATGCTGGTTTGTGTTTGTTACCCCCGTTGTGTGCATGAGCTGTTGCCAGTGTCTCTCTCGGACAGCAGAGTTTTGAAGTTCATTGACAGCTCTCAGTGATGTCAACAAATTCTTAACAATGGATTCCAGGCCGTTATAGACATCCCACGCACGCACATCTTTATCCAGAGTCTTCATCTCCTACATATTCACAGACACTGTTATTCTATGACAATTCATCACAAAGTGTAAATAAACATACATAAGGCCCCTTTTAATTTATAATCTAGATAAATTAAACTTCCGGATAAATATTCAGAGCTTTTGTATTTATTTTTGTATTTGTTTAGACACAGTAATTTGTCCTACGCCTCGTCCAACCACTGGTTCTATTATCATTTTTTGCACATGGTGAACCTTGAAGACAGACAGAACTTTAGTATGTAAACTGTACCTTAGCAAACCTTCTGAGCTCCATATCCATCTGTTCCACATTGATCTCCTTCCATGGAGTCTTAGTCCAGTCTGAGATGCAGGACTACATTACCCATCATTCCCAAGAGGATGCCAACCAGAGGAGAATATTGGGTTAACATTTTGGAAAGTTCAACAAAGACTTTAAATGACTTGTTCTGTTTGTGCGTGTAATCTGTGTAAGTGGGTTATTAGAAGTACTTTGTGCTATAGATCTTGTGTGTAGTAAAGATTACCTTGACAAACATAACCATATCCCAGACTGCTTTAACCAGGATGATGTCTGACCGACACTGTCGAAGTTGTTTGTAGTCAGGGAAACTGACCTCGAACAGATTGGCTGTTTGTTGAAGCTTAGACATCTCACTCTCCAAATGAGCCACCGCACGATTTGTCTACACAGAAATGCAGATAAACAAAGAAATGTATACAAGCACATTTAAACAAATAGAATGTGTAACATTTATATATATATTTTAATGAGCAAGCACCATCTGGGCTAGAACAAACATTTCAGCAGAAAAACCTATTAAAAACATACACATACACACTCACTCAGACACAAAATAGTTTTTTTTTTTGTGAGAGCACCTTGTCGATGAGTTTGTATGGCTCCTCCAGGCTGATAAAGAATATGGGCTCAGTGCGGAATTGTTCCCTGAATTCATGCTGTTTAACCTAGGAAAACAAACCATAAATGCTCAACCACATCTCCACCCATCTATATTCAAAACTTCTCAACAATAAGGATTTTTTCTGCTGTCTTGGACAAAAACTATTTACTGGTCCCACCACAAAAATAATACTTATGTCTCGATCACCAGCTGGAGTGCCCTTGTATTTATAGCCACCAGAGGGCAGTCCACCCCAGATAATTGTCATTCCCTCACAAACTACATTTCCCAGAGCTCACTGCCTGATCTCATCATCCCTGATTATATTCAGCTGTGTCTCATTATCTCAGCCTTTAAAGTCACGTATCTCTCAGGGTATGCTTATACAACACCATTTTCAACTAAAAATGTAAAACTTTTTGTGTGTTTTTGCCGTTCATTTACACAACAATGCCATTTTGGGTGCCTGAAAACGCAAAACTTTTCAAAACGGTCACCGTGTAAACAAAAAACGCAAATCTCTGAAGACGATGACGTCAGGCACATGCGTATTACGTGTTCAGTCTATAGTGTTTCATCGTCATCTAATGGCCTGGCAGCAGAATACAGGGTTTTTAGTCGTTTTCGCTGATCCATGTGAATGGGGATCGTTTTGACAATGGAGTCGTCTGTACGCGGAAAACTCAAAGGAAAAACTTCTCCGGTTTAAGCATATCGTTGTCGTGTAAACGTACCCTCAGTCACTCTTTGCGAAGTCTTGTATGTTTCAGCACTGCATTTCGCGCTCTGTCTTTGGTTTCTCATTTTCTCTTGGTTTTTGATTTTCTGCCTGGTTCCTTTGGATTTCTCTGTTTTGCCCTGGACTGTTACTGTTTGCCTGTTTTTTGGATTACGTTTTTGGATTACCCTAAAATAAACTACTGCATTTGGATCCTCAACCCTTGCGTCTTCGAGCAGTTCATGACAACTTTAAAAAAAAAAAGTTAAACTATCCCTTTAACTTAGTAAACAAATTTAAATCAATAGAATTTGCAAAGTGTTATACATTACAGAAATCCAAATGTGTCACCAAAACAGATCTAATTAATGCAAGCTTAAAAAGCTGATGACTTAGTGTAATTTTCTCTTTACAGTTTTTTCAGCCCCTCACCTCAAACCGAACACACTTCCTGCGGATTACAGCAACTTCATTGGACTGGAGAGGAGCAACCTCATGTTTTACTGTAAATGCCACCTTCTTAAGATTCTTCCATTTCTCCGGCAGGGACTGTGAAAACACATGGGGATGTGAGGTGGTAGTGTGTCTAATAAAGCAGCAGAATCAGATGCATGTAGGTGAAGTTACCTCCAACAGTATGTAAACATGCTCAGGAAGCTGCTGGTTGTAGGTTTTGAGCAGGTTCGAGGTAGCTTTGAGAGGTTTGAAATGCTGCTCTGTACTCCCCTGGCGGTCTCTGATGGCCATCAAGTGGCCCATGATGTCCACCAGTTTGCCATAATCCCCATCGGTTACAGTCTTTGCTAACCCAATCTCTGTATTCTCAATAAATGATCCTAACTCTTGCACACTGAGACAGAAAAAGATGTGATTGGTCACTGCATCATTATAATTGTTGTAGCTGAAACATTTCTAATGTACGGAGCCCCGCACATGACATGCAGGAAAAATCGTGCACACAATTGACTTTTTTTTCTTGTATGTCATGAGCGGGGCTCTGTACTAATGCTTTATAATGCTTAAATAAATATTACTAATGCTTAAATAAATATTACCTGGCATTAACATGGTTCAGTAAGTGTTCCTTAAACATCCAGCTCCATTTTTTAATGATGTTCATCAGCGATATTTTAAAAGGTTTTATGTCCACCTGACACCAGCCACAGAATACTCTTTTCTCCTCTAATACGCGCACCTTCTCGTAAAGTTCCTCAAACTCACTGATCTAATGAGAAACAAGTGAGAGAGAGAAAGTAAACTATAAATTATTTTTAGTAGAAATTATAGTAGATCCATACATGCAATTTTTTACGCCAAGAAAATTAGGTATTTTGCCATTTCCGCCAAGGTAATTGAAAGATAATGCTTAAATTGAAAAATAAAGTCTTGTTAGTTTTAATACTGTGAGGTATAAAGTTTCAGTTGTGAGACAGTCAAATTGTGAATAAAGTAGCATTAACGAGAAATAGTCATATTTCTTTGTAATTTTCGAAAAGTCGCAATTACTGATATTTTTTACCTAAAAGAGGAGGCTTCTATAATTATATCATGTATTTAAAATAACACAAAATATTCTGTATTTTAATCCTCACTCCATGACTGACAGATACCTGCTCTCTGAAGTTCTGCAGTTTGGGTGGATTCTTGGGCAGTTCATAATCTGCATAAAGCTCCGCCTCCTCTGCAGAGAGGGCGTGTCCATAGAGCAGAAACTGCCTCATAAACTCCACCCTGTCTCCAGTCCAGAGGTAACGATAGGAATCGAAGGAATGTTGGAATTCTTTGACCTTAGCAATGGCCCCGCGTGCACGGTGTCGCACCAGCTGAGCTAACTCCACTAGCTCAGGTATCTGATCTACATCCGCCTAGGGAATAACAGACATAGTCAGACTCGTCGTGTCGTGAAGAATAGTTATAAATCTTTCCGGAAAGCACAACTCATTTAGATCAGATGGCAGGCTTGCATGAGAAAAATAAATTTCCATTCATTCTCTTATGAGCTTTAAGCTAAACCATTAAGCTAAAATTATCCATAGTTCATACACAGTGAACATGAACAAATGTGCAAGACATGCATACGGATATACACAGTTGTTACACACCTTGTAAGTCTCAGATTGTTTGCTCTTGGCCACTCTTTTCATGAAAGAAGCCATTTTAAAAATATCTGACACCATCTGGTCAATGATATCATAGAAGTTGCCCTTCTTGGAGAGGTTGAGCGAGGGGTAAAAGGTCATGTCAGAGGTCAAGGTCAGCTGAACTTCGAACAGAGGATCGATGTGGAGCGCCGGGTCCGTGTTCTCAACCAAGTACTGCAGGGAACATCGCACAGCACTGCAGAACCCAGTAAGAATGTTTCTGTCCACATGTTCTGTGTAGGACTGCCAAGCATCTGAGTCCAAATCAGCACCAAGCAGCTCAGCATTCTCCTGAACAAGAAAGAAATCACATGAGAATCCACTAGAAATATGATTACACTAGAATAGATAAACTACAATTCTAAAAAATAAACAATATATATATATATATATATATAAATTAAAAGATTAAAAGATTTTAAAAAAAAAAGATTTTTGTGAAGACAAAAAACAAGTACTAAATGAAAATACAATATAATATTAAGTTACGTTGAAGTAAAGCCTAATTCAAAATTAATTAGGTAAAATTTACAAGTATATGACTGCACATCAATAATGAATATTTTAATGGCTTATATATAAAGTAGAGCTGGGCAGTATGAAGCTATATATCGTGGTGATGATAAAGTGTCTATCAATAGATATTTTGCTATTTTGTGTATGTTGAGATTTCTTTGCGATAAGGTTTGTTGACACGTTAGGAGCAATTAAGCATGTTCCGCAGTTTATTTTTTCATTCATGCATGTTTTTAATGTTAAACAGAGTTATGAAGTGTGATATTTTTACTTTTGAATATTCAATCTCTATATTATTTCTTACGTGAATGCTATCGTTAGACCTACAGTCTACCTGAAAAACCTAGCACTTTTTATTTCATTTGTATCTTTTTTAAGGCCAATTCACACAGCACTGATTACAGGACATCACTTCTTAGACATTCCACTATCCGACAAACGGCGATTCAAAATGTTCAATGAAAACAAGCGGTGACTCTTGCCAACAGATGTATGCTACTGATCTGACAACACCCGACAAATGTGTCTGTTCCCATTGAACGCCGTCTGTCGGTGAAATGGCCTTTATACTGTATTTGTCCTGTTGTTTGTTATTTGCATCTTTGTTCTTATTTTTAAAAAATATATACAAAGATAAAATAACATTAAAAACTATATTGTGATATGTATCATCATCATGAAATAAAATTTCTCTTATTGCGAAGATTTTGGTCATATCACCTACTCAGAATATAAAGTATATAAGTAATTTAATGTGGTAGCAAATGTATGTTATTTTAGGCAATGTGTAACAGGGTCCCTGCTCCATCTCTATCAATCAATGCTTCAGAACTTGCATTTTGTTGAATCAAACAGTGAAACCAACACCTGCACAAGCTCAAGTATCTTCTCTCCCGTGCGAGAGACGAGAGCGTACTGCCGCTTGAAGTTCTCCTCTACGTCTGTGAGGTTGAGTAGATTGCCACGACGATTAGTCCTACGCGTAATGCAGGCAGAGTGACTGAAAACTCCCATCAGCCCCTGCAGTTTCTCCAAGTTAGCCTTGCTCTTCTGCACACGCTCCGACACACCACGCACCAAATCACGTGTGCTACAAGCACACACAGAGTACTTGTTAACATTAGCTCCTTTACATAATAGACCAATTATATTACATTAATTTTTGAGAATATTTCAGTTACCTAGATAACAGGGAACGTTCTCAGAACAAGCTAACATTTTGGCAAGGTTCTCTCAAAGTTATGACTAACATTCTTCCAGTAATGTTAATAGAACATTCATTCAGAGTTATATGGTCTTTAATAATATTCTTAAAATGTTAGCACAAAAATCGCTCTGTGTCCATACCTTAAATTCATTGAAAATCTTCGGGATGTGCTGGAGGAAACTTTACAGAGTGCTGGACTCTTGCATTGTCAATACAAGATCTTGACCAAAAATTGATACACCTCTTGATGGAAATAAATGTTGTGATGTTATTTCCATCAAGAGGTGTATACATTTTTGGTCAAGATCTTGTATTGACAATGCAAGAGTCCAGCACTCTGTAAAGTCTCCTCCAGCACATCCCAAAGACTCAATGAATTTAAGGTCTTTAATCAGAGGTGCCAATTCATGTGTGAAAATGTCTCTTCATGCTCCCTCCCAACCATTCTTCACAATTTGAGCCTGATGAATCTTGACATTCTCATCCTGGAATATGAACATATGTGTGTCTTTATTGTTGAAATGAAAAGCTACAGTACACACTCCATCAATTAGGGTTAGAAGAACCGTTGCCAAACATATAACATGCTAGAAACATAATAATCACTGCAATAATGATCCAATCATAGACTCTTAAGCATTAGCATATTTAAATCCAAACAGCGACTTCTTTTTTTTGGCCGGGCAGTGTATTTTTGTTAGTTGTCTACCTCTTGATGTAGTCAGCGAGCTGCTCATCACTCCACCGCAGTTCCTTTAACGCTGGCATTAAGGTACACCTCACTTCCTCCAGCTCCGACTCTACCAAACGCAGCTCAACAGCCAGGATTGTGCTATGCAGTTTATTATACCACTGAGTGATCTGGAACAGAGTACTGGTGTACTAAACATGCACATAGAGAGAGAGAGACAAAAGAAGATTGAAAGAACTGAATAAACAGAGCTATTTTCTTGGCAAATATAAAGGCACAGATGGCCACACAGTCTCACCATGTGAAGCATTTCCCATTTAGAGTACAGACTCACAGCAGCCTTGGGAATGTTGTGGTTCTTCAGAATTCCAAGATACTTAACTTCCCTCAAAACAGATGTCAACTAAAACAACCACATCACACAGCAGTAAACATGGGGAAAGTATTGTTTCAGAGCTTTACTTTGGGGGACAAAATATTTGCGTGACAAAAAGTTAGGTAAATCTTAAACAAACTAACTCACTTAATAATTTAGGGACATCCTACAATAAGAAATAGTTTGTAAAGGGACTAAATGAATTTAATTAATAAGCAATAACTATACAATTATTGATATTAGCTTCTTTTGTTTTTTAATGTCAAGTGGGTGAACGCAGCCAAGGCCATTGCATTGCAATTGTATCTTTAACTTAAGATGCAATATTGCCAGTTACTTTGTGTATTTTTGCTCCACCAATGAAAATAGTTTTGAACAAAATTCTGGGTAGTTCCTAAGGCATTGTTAGGTGGCTGCTAGGTGCCTGAAGGGTTAAATCACCCAAAATGTAAATTCTGTCATCATTTACTCACCCACTTGTTGTTTCAAACCCATAATAATTTAAAAAATAAAATAAAAAAATACATGGATGAATCATTCACAATAATATCTATAACATGCATTTAGAAAATAGATGAATTTTCATTGCATTCTAGTTAGCTTACTTAGCCAAATTTAAGAACAATAGAAGTAAAATGAAAATATGTGATGTGAGTTCATGAATGTTTCTTACAGCAGGGTTAAAGTTCACGCAGTAAAAGCTGCTCTCCTCATCCAATATCAGCAGTGGTTCATTCAGATGTGTGTGGCACAACTCATCTAAATCAACACTCCAATTAGTGTAGACTTCTTCATCCATTTGATCCAGAACCTCCAATACACACTCACACACCTGCAACACCTGTTGTGCCTCAGGACTGTCTAATGGCCTAACACACACACACACACACACACACACACACACACACACACACAAAGAGTACGGCATAAGTTACATTGTTAAATATGGCACCAGAAGTAAATGTATGTGTATTTACGTGAGTGTGGTACATGTGTGATGGGTTCTTGTTTACATATGTGTAAGCTGGCTGAGGTTACTGCGGTTTGACAGGATCCGTTCTCTGAGTTCTTGAGACCATTTCAGGTTACCAGCAACGGCTGGCATGTTTTTACCAAGGACAGGACAGCCGTTCCTCATCTGCACAAAAACACAAACAGCAGCGCAAAAGTCAGTGAGTATGCTTTTATCCAAAGAAACTTTAAGTTAAGAGCCTTGCTCGACGGCTGTTTGCATAATCATATTTTGCAGTTTTACAATGTTATCGCTAGATGCTTAACAACCATCGGCCAATCGCGTGCCTCATATTCATGTACTTTGTACAGTGGTGTTTTGTTCGAAAATTTTGAATGAATGATGATTCAATGACTCACTCATAAATAGAAGACACATCTTTGTGGCAGTAGGTGGCCACAAATGACTAACACCTATAGAGAGTAACAGAAAAATCCTAACCACGCCAGAACATGAGCATCCAGTCCATATCAAGGCTGCATCCGAAATCAAAATAGTTCCCTACTATATAATAGGCGAAAAACAGTATGAAAACAGGTTGTGAAGTAATTACTTATTCAAATTAAGTACCTACTCAAGAGAGTATGCGATTTCGGACGCACCCCAAACAGGTACGCTTTTGGTATGGACTGACAAGAGGGGCGAGGTCAGAAATGTTCAAGTGGGTGGGCCTTCATAAAGCAGGGTGGGCAAAGCATAGAAACATGTCCTCCTACAATTAGTCTGAGACAACAGTTTAACACTGAGATTCTCTCATCATAATCAAGTGTATCTAAAGGATTCATTGCTAGACTTGGTTTCTTGCAGCAGTACAATTTTGACATCCAATTAAGGATTTTTCAAGTATTTACTGAAAGATATTTGCTTTGCCACGTACAAATTCAACTCCACCAATGCGCAAATCTTACAATTACGTCCTTAAGTGATAAAGATAACATTGTGGGCGGGACTAACAGAAACTGACAAATCATATTAAACCTTTCATTTTGACAAGCATATATGAAATGGACCTATATGGGGAGAGGGAAAACTAGGAAACTAATTATAATTGATAATTGACTAATAATTGACTAATTATAATTTAATCATTCTTTTAACTAAATATATAAAGTTATAGTGTGATAGGATGTTTATTATTATTATTGTATATTAAATTATTTCATACATCTATTTGGAAAATGACCAACTTCTGATTGGGTGGGCCAATATTCAAAGTGAGTGTGCCCGCCCTTAGGCAGGGCTTGGCAAACTAGCCCAATTCTTTTTATATCATACATGCATGTGTATTAGAATTTATTGAAGTCATTAAAACTGAACCTACATTATAAAATTGACCCGAGATCAGTTTCAAACCAGTTAAAATCATTGACTCGTTCATGGGTTCACCAGATCAGCAGTGGCGAACCATTGGAAAGCTCTCTGAACCCCTGATTTAAAAAAAAGATTCATAAAGCTTTGGAAGCTTCATGAAGAAATTTTTCAAAAGCGCCAATTGCTACTAAAACTCATTTGGTCAAATTCTCCCAAATTTCATTCTGAAATTATGTCATTCATACCTTCTCTCTGTGGGTTTCCAGCATGTGCTGACAGAGGTTGACCTCCTCCTGGAACATGACCAGCAGCTGAGAGTAGTTTGGAGCAAAAAGCTGGTGAACCCTCTGCCTCTCCAACAGAGTACCAAAGATCTGTAGGAGCTACACACACAGGTTTTCACTGATAGTGACTAAAAGAGAGGAATTTTCCAAACACACTTAAATGATTAAACAGTAAAGTCTTGTGTTTGTGTTTGGCAGACTGCATGCAAGTCTGTTTCTTCATTACTGAGCCGCTGTGTGTGTGTGTGTGTGTGTGTGTGTGTGTGTGTGTGTGTGTGTGTGTGTGTGTGTGTGTGTGTGTGTGTGTGTGTGTGTGTGTGTGTGTGTGTGTGTGTGTGTGTGTGTGTGTGTGTGTGTGTGTGTGTGTGTGTTAGTGTTAGTTACCTTAAAAGCAGACTCTAAGCCTGGGGAGTGTTGGAAGGCCAAGTTTATTACTGTTCCCAGCCTTTGGTCAAAATCTCTGTTCTGTTCCATGAATCGATTATAGTCACACACAAACTCCTAGAAAACACAGGGGAGAGTGTGATTGTACACATATGTATATGAATATGAGCACAATCAGCACATACACTATTGTTCAAAAGTTTGGGGTCAGTAAGATTATTTCATTTTCCTTTTTTCTTTTTTAAGGAATTGGTACTTTTATTCAGCAAGGATACATTGGAAATGACAGTAAAGAGATTTATAGTGTAACAAAAGATTTCCATTTCAAATAAATGCTGAATTCTTTTTAATTTTCTATTCATCAAAGAATCCTGGATGTATCATGGGACATGGTTTCAACAAAAAATATTAAGCAGCACAACTGTTTTCAACACTGATAATAATAATAAAAAATGTTTCTTGAGCATCAAATCAGCATATAAGGATGATTTCTGAAGGATCATGTGACACTGAAGACTGGAGTAATGATGCTGAAAATTCAGCTTTGCCTATTCAGCTATTCACAGGAATAAATTAGATTTTAAAATATATTATTAAAATAGAAAACGGGTGTTTTAAATTGTAATAATATTTTACAACATTATCTACCTTGTTGTTGTAGTCAAGTGGATCATATTTGCTCTCTCTCAAAGTTCTCCAGCTGTCCATGAACTCGTCATTCATGCTGTACACCATATCACTGAGAATCTTTCCTCTAGAGCCGCCCAGCTCAATCCGTTCCAGCTTTAGAAAGTCCAGAGCTGAGGCAAACAACTCCTGAAAGACAAACACTGAATTAATTTAAAAATGCTTACAAAAAGATGAATAAAATTGCTTAAAAGTAGCTAACATCAAGATTTTTTTTAAGTGTAATAATGGTCTAATCACTGACTTTACCACATCTGATACAACCAAAAACCTAAATGGTATGCATGCACTAAAAAAAGAAAATGATTTAAGCCAAGTGTAAATATTTTGTCCGTAAATTGTTTTATCAATGGTATTGCCAAAGGGAAAAAAATGGCTTAACCTCTAAACAATATTACAAACTGTGAGAAGGAGTACATAGAAATGTTTACTTTTACAATCTTGTCATGCATGTTTCTTTGGCAAACATTTGAATTTTTCAGGATTGTTTTTCTGCAACCGTCAAGATCGGAAGAATATATACTGAGCTTTTTTTCAGTGTGGATGGATGTGTGTGCACACACCTCAATCATGCGCAGTCTCTCCATGATGCAGTCAGTGCGGTGAAACACAAGCTCAGAGGGAAAGTCCCATGGTTTGACCGCAAGTCCTGGACGGCCATATGGTCCAGTGGGTGTCAGTTTGTCTCTGTGCTGCTGGAAATTCCGCTTGAATGTCCAAAACACCTGGATGGCCTTCCGAACCCGGTCCATACCCTCCTCTAACTCCATTTTGAAGAGCTCCTCAGGAATTAGATACACAGACGCCTGCAGAAACATGTACACAAACACACATTATATAAACGCCACATCATACAACAATAGTCTAGATAAGAGGATAATACGAATTCACATAAGCAAACAAACACACCTTGTCAATGAGTAGGTTGCAGAACTCTGTGAGTAGCGTGACGATGCGTGGTGGGCGGCAGTAGAAGTGAGAGTGTGTCCAGATGAGAGCAAGTGTGTGAAACAGAGCGGGGATCAGAGGCTCCAGATCAGTGAAGCTCCGCTCCTCGAACGCAGCTATGGGCCGCCGTAAGTTCCTCAAGTGTAGGTCTATGTCTTCTGCCTCCATCACCGCTAGAAAATAAAATGAGTAGACAGTAGCTTTGAGGGTCCAATGTGGGATTTGAACCTACAAGCTTTCACTTATCAGCCTAGATTTGAACTATAAGACCACACTACATTATGCAAATAATAAGTTTACATCAAAATCAAGTTGAATTAAAGTGTCTGTACACTTTTAAAATGTGATTACCATGGTTGACTTTTTGAATAATGCCATAAAAGGAATCATAGTAACTGCTCTTGATCCTCAGCAGAATTTCCAGCACCTGATCAACTTTTGGGTTCTGCAGCTGCACAAATAAACCAGAGTTGGAGTCAATTTAAATTCAGTCAATTTTAACGTTAAAATAAACATAAAATTAGGTTGTAGTAAACGACAATTGATTCTCCTTTCCAGAAGGAAATATTAGTAGTCGCATGGGAGAAAATGAATAGTGTACATTTAAACTAGTTTGTGAAATTTATGAGAAGTTTATTGTGAAGAGAGAGACTGATTAAATATAACCTCGATATTTGATTAAAGCCAATCACAATTAATGTAAATGTTAGAAAGAGATTGCAAATATTACATACAATCACTGGCGTTGTTTCACATTTTGAACACCGACCATTCATCTCCAATTTTAATATATTAATCTAGTTTCTGCACCACTATAGCATCACCAAACAGGTTTCCTGGTAACATGCGATACATTTCTATAATGACAACAGTAAAAAAAAATTTGTTTACTATTTGTATCAGTAGATATCCAAGACGGAAAGAAAAAAAATTAGATGGGCTGAAATAACGAATGAAAAATATTTTTGTCCTGCAAGCACTATAATGAAAGGTCTTAAATCCTAAACTCTGACATCAGCACATTTAAAATATGTATAAAAGCATACACACGGAAATCGACTTCATTTCCACCTGTTTCTGGATCCCTAATAAGTTTTCTTTCTGTTTAGTCCAGAAACTGAGCTCCACCGTGGGGCCTGGGTGGTCCCCCTGGTGCAGGAGCTTAGACGAGTCCCGCTGCAGCACAGAGCCCATCAGTCCACACCACTGGATCACCATGGTCTCAATGGAGTACAATAACGCCCTGTCAATCAGACAGAAATCCGATCTACACAGACACAGATATGTTACAGGACATCACAAACTTGGTAAATGTTTGAAAAAGATGATTGAATGATTGACAGGCACACGCTCACACCTGAGCTGGTGCTCATCTTTTCTCTCCACACACAGCGGCAGGGGCAGTAGAGTTCGTCCTTGTGCTCGCCCTCTCAGTGTGACTGCTTCACTGCACAGATGCTCAAGGTGCCTGCAAATGTCCTGACCGACCACCCGGGGCCAGGCGGACTGATTCAGGGGACTTCCCAGCACTGAGACGAACACCTACACAAACATACCCTCACTGACTGTGGATTTTTTCATTCACACCTGCTCTCAGAGCCAATAAGAGTTATGATTTAACTTCCGTTAAAATTTTGCATAGGATGGCCTACCTCCAATCAGTGTTGTTAACTAAAACTAAAACTATTAGGGATGCACCGATATGGAAATTTTGTCTGATACCGATAACCGATCATTTTTTATATTTCAAAGCCGATTACCGACCGGATATTGGCCGACAAATCTAAATCTATATAATTTTTGAGAGCCATCCGAAGTGTCTCGGCTGAAGGAAATAATCCATAATTTATCCGCTTTAAGATATCGGCCAAATTTTATTTATTGGGTCGATAACAATAACATTAAAAATGAACATATATTGGCCGACATCGATATGGTGGACGATGTATTGTGCATCCCTAAAAACTATTAAAATGTATTTTGTTAAAGGCAGGGTAGGCAGGTTTTTTCTAAAACACTTTTTCCCAAATTTGTTTAAACTGTCTTTATATACCAATACATATCTAAAATGTAAGTACTCTGAAAAGGAGAGTATAAAAATCGAGTGTCTGTAGTCCTCTCAGGGCTGCAATAAACACAGCTACTTATTCCATTCGGAACGAATGCAATGATTGGCTGTGCGACTGTCACTCTCCCTCGCTACCATGGCTACCACCTCTGCTGCTACAGGAGCTGCCCACATGCGCGCACTCGGTTGACTAGCTCATTTCGGAAGAGGAGAGGATCTCATCGTGGAAGCTCTTACATGCAAAACACCGTATATGTTATGAATCTTACACGAAATTCACCTTCATCACAGTGTAACTGATGGTAATGGAAAACGTGTATCAATGCAACCTGTTTTTAGCTTTGCCTTGTTACTAGCTCTTCACCGAATCAAACTCAATATATTTTAAACTTTACCAGTATCGATATGCTAGCTTGATAGTGAGTACTAACAGCCATGTTAGTTGTTTATATTCATAATGATAGAGTTCGGTATTTTCTTACATGTGATTCTGACATGATGTCACTCCATGCACTGCGCTCCTTTCCGCTCGGCGCTGGTAAACACGTCCTCCAGCTATTGAGTTTGATTCGGTAACGAGCTAGTCAACCGAGTGCGCGCATGTGGGCAGCTCCTGTAACAGCAGGGGTGGTAGCCATGGTAGCGAGGGAGAGTGACAGTCGCCCAGCCAATCATTTCATTCGTTCCGAATGGAAAGTGTAGCTGTGTTTATTGCAGCCCTGAGAGGACTACAGACACTCGATTTTTATACTCTCCTTTTCAGAGTACTTACATTTTAAATATGTATTGGTATATAAAGACAGTTTAAAGGGGAAATGAAGCAGTCAGTCAAGTTTACATAATTTACAAGATGGATTACCACTATAATCAAAAATTATAAAAGAAACATGACAAATGTTAACATATAAAAGAAAAAAGAAACACCGTTATGTCTTTCGAGCGGCAAGGGCGCCGCCATTGCGCAGTATTATAACTGGTGACGTCACGGGGTTGGTTGGCTCTGTGCTGAGTTCAGTAAAATACAGTGAAAGATGCATGTAAGCTGGTCGATCCAGCGAACAACTAACGTTAGGTACAGTCATTGTTGGCTAACAGCTGTAAGCATGAACTAGCAGCTAATGATAACTTAGTGTTTAGCTAGTGAACTTTATTAGTACCAGACAAAAAGACGACGTCTAACGTTAACAAACTGCACATGGAAACATTGTTCGTGATGTCTGCAATCATATTCCTGTCTCTTGTCAACACCATGGTCAAGATCAGCGTCTTGACAGCAGATGGATCGTGCTATCGTGGCGTAATAATCTGTTTGGTTGTAAAATGTATGAATGAAATGAAATCGAATGTATCGTCCTGTGGAATCATTCATTCACAGACAGCAGAAGATGTTCAACTAATAAAGATCTTCATCGCTGGCAAACAAATTGATAGATTTGCCGATTTGCTTTCACTAGACTGTACTGTAGGTCCACGGCCACTTCATCCAACGCTCTTGATGTTCTTAAATCTTCCTGTTACAACTCCGAGTCGAATGTGAATAGAAAGCGCGTAAGTGATTCAGTGCGTGAGGAAACTGAACAGATCATTCAAACTGATTCGCGAACCGATTTAGACAGATCTGCCAACTTGTTTGATGAAGTCTTTGAACAGAAACGACAAAAAAAAAAGAGTGATTCATTTGTAAATTGAGCATTGCTCGTGCCCATAAAAAAAGATACAGCCCAAATGGCCCAAATCTCGTTATATACAGGGATGCAAACGGCGCACTTTATTTTAATGCAAACATGTTGTTAAATGCGCAGTTTATTCCAAGCGTGCTGTATCTTTTTTATGGGCACGAGCGATGCTCAATTTACAAATGAATCACTCTTTTTTTTGTCGTTTCTGTTCAAAGACTTCATCAAACAAGTTGGCAGATCTGTCTAAATCGGTTCGCGAATCAGTTTGAATGATCTGTTCAGTTTCCTCACGCACTGAATCACTTACGCGCTTTCTATTCACACTCGACTCGGAGTTGTAACAGGAAGATTTAAGAACATCAAGAGCGTTGGATGAAGTGGCCGTGGACCTACAGTACAGTCTAGTGAAAGCAAATCGGCAAATCTATCAATTTGTTTGCCAGCGATGAAGATCTTTATTAGTTGAACATCTTCTGCTGTCTGTGAATGAATGATTCCACAGGACGATACATTCGATTTCATTTCATTCAGGTAATACATTTTACAACCAAACAGATTATTACGCCACGATAGCACGATCCATCTGCTGTCAAGACGCTGATCTTGATCATGGTGTTGACAAGAGACAGGAATATGATTGCAGACATCACGAACAATGTTTCCATGTGCAGTTTGTTAACGTTAGACGTCGTCTTTTTGTCTGGTACTAATAAAGTTCACTAGCTAAACACTAAGTTATCATTAGCTGCTAGTTCATGCTTACAGCTGTTAGCCAACAATGACTGTACCTAACGTTAGTTGTTCGCTGGATCGACCAGCTTACATGCATCTTTCACTGTATTTTACTGAACTCAGCACAGAGCCAACCAACCCCGTGACGTCACCAGTTATAATACTGCGCAATGGCGGCGCCCTTGCCGCTCGAAAGACATAACGGTGTTTCTTTTTTCTTTTATATGTTAACATTTGTCATGTTTCTTTTATAATTTTTGATTATAGTGGTAATCCATCTTGTAAATTATGTAAACTTGACTGACTGCTTCATTTCCCCTTTAAACAAATTTGGGAAAAGGTGTTTTAGAAAAAACCTGCCTACCCAGCCTTTAAGTGAAATAAAATAAAATAAAATATAAATATTAGATGAAAAACAAATAAAAAACCTAAATGAAAATGAGAAATAACAAGCTGAAGTCGAAGTACTAAATTTATAAAATTGGCATAAAAATATCATTTAAAATAAACAGGCACATTTAAAAAAAAATGAATGGAAAATTAAAATTGAAAAATTAAAACTAACTCAAAATATTAATAGTCTATAATACTATTTAAATAAAACTAAAATTACACAGCCTCAATCCAAGTAATATTGCCTAAGAGTCACAGCAACTACAAAGCAGACATTTAGCAGACAGTTCAATACTAAGTTAAGCTTAAACACACATCTAAAGAAAGTCTAATTCTAAAGTGCTACATTATTTTATCCTGTCAGGGTAAACTGATTATATATATATATATATATATATATACACACACAAAACTCATTATTAGGAACACCTGTTCAATGTCTCATTAATGCAATTATCTAATCAACCAATCACATGGCAGTTGCTTCAATGCATTTAGGGGTGTGGTCCTGGTCAAGACAATCTCCTGAACTTCAAACTGAATGTCAGAATGGGAAAGAAAGGTGATTTAAGCAATTTTGAGCGTGGCATGGTTGTTGGTGCCAGACGGGCCGGTCTGAGTATTTCACAATCTGCTCAGTTACTGGGATTTTCACGCACAACCATTTCTAGGGTTTACAAAGAATGCTGTGAAAAGGGAAAAACATCCAGTATGCGGCAGTCCTGTGGGCGAAAATGCCTTGTTGATGCTAGAGGTCAGAGGAGAATGGGCCGACTGATTCAAGCTGATAGAAGAGCAACTTTGAAATAACCACTCGTTACAACCGAGGTATGCAGCAAAGCATTTGTGAAGCCACAACACGCACAACCTTGAGGCGGATGGGCTACAACAGCAGAAGACCCCACCGGGTACCACTCATCTCCACTACAAATAGGAAAAAGAGGCTACAATTTGCTAGAGCTCACCAAAATTGGACCGTTGAAGACTGTAAAAATGTTGCCTGGTCTGATGAGTCTCGATTTCTGTTGAGACATTCAGATGGTAGAGTCAGAATTTGGCGTAAACAGAATGAGAACATGGATCCATCATGCCTTGTTACCACTGTGCAGGCTGTTGGTGGTGGTGTAATGGTGTGGGGGAAGTTTTCTTGGCACACTTTAGGCCCCTTAGTGCCAATTGGGCATCGTTTAAATGCCACGGCCTACCTGAGCATTGTTTCTGACCATGTCCATCCCTTTATGGCCACCATGTACCCATCCTCTGATGGCTACTTCCAGCAGGATAATGCACCATGTCACAAAGCTCGAATCATTTCAAATTGGTTTCTTGAACATGACAATGAGTTCACTGTACTAAAATGGCCCCCACAGTCACCAGATCTCAACCCAATAGAGCATCTTTGGGATGTGGTGGAACGGGAGCTTCGTGCCCTGGATGTGCATCCCACAAATCTCCATCAACTGCAAGATGCTATCCTATCAATATGGGCCAACATTTCTAAAGAATGCTTTCAGCACCTTGTTGAATCAATGCCACTTAGAATTAAGGCAGTTCTGAAGGTGAAATGGGGTCAAACACAGTATTAGTATGGTGTTCCTAATAATCCTTTAGGTGAGTGTGTATATATATATATATATATATATATATATATATATATATATATATATATATATATACACATATACACACACACATTTTTAAATAGATAGAGTGAATTCTGTATAATATAATATAATATAATTTTATTATATATTAAAAATGAATAATTTTCCATTCTATTCTAAAAGGTGCAGGACTGGAGGATTTCTGGTTACCTGAGAGATGAGCACAGGAGCGTGGTCCATGGGTTGTGCTGCAACCTCTCCAAGCCAGAGCTGGGTTCTAAAGGTGGTTTTGGAGATGACACCCTTCTTTTTTTTAAGAACACACAAAAGCTTGGTCCTCCAGGGAGAGGAGCTCTTTGGGGAGGAAAAGACGGGTGTAGTGCTTTCAGAAGCGAAAGCACTCGAAACAAGTGATGACTTATTTCGAATACCAAAAGCCAATCAGTGCATTGAACATTGGAGACAGTTCCAGTAGAAATGCTACATGGCATTCAAACACAGCAAGGCAGACCTGGGAATTTTGTTGTTATTAGTCCCAACATTTAAGATGAGTGTGTATGTGTTTATTTGATATAGGGGTGAGATGGGGCACCACCTAACTTACTTGGGGCTAGTTGTAACGCACTTGTTTTAAATACTTCCACACATGCTAGCATGACGAAACAGTGTATTTACTAGTTTCCATATCAACACTATATAGAGAAAAAGAATTGTGCCAAAATTCAGAAATCTTTGGAATATATCACTGAACATTTATTTAACCATAGCAAAAGTAAATTTCTTACTTATGTTACATTTTTTATCTCTGTTTTTTGTGTTTATTTACAATTAGACAAATCTGATATTATTTTAACCTACAATCTGTTATTTAACAGTTGAGATAGTTCTTTAATACTTCACTAACTAGCAGAAGACACTAGCAGAGTTTAAATCCCAGATGCACAGGTGGGGCAAGCTCTAACACTGCGTTACAATGTGCTCCTATTAAAACCATGCTATTCTGTGATGTTAGCGATATAATTCACATTAACAACTTTTATGAATTCTATTGAGAGACCATAAAAAGAGGTAAATAAAGACTGAGAATCAATGTTCAGAAATTATTAATTATTATTATGTTTTGTGTTTCCCAGTGTGTCCGTTGTCAAACTCAAAGATGTGTTTATTTCTTATTATTAAAAAATGCCATTATTTTATAAGAAAAAGTTAATAATTGTATTTTATTGAGAACATATTTTAGTTTGTCTTGTATATTTTTCAGATTAGATCAGATAATATTTTAAGCTGTCATATGGTCATGTTACAATGTGCCCCTTACAAGTTACAAAATGCCCCACCTGGGGCATGTTGTCACATTTCACTTCCATTCTTTCGGGGTAAATAAAGAAAAAAAGTATACACTGTATTAATGAAACAAAACCACACAATTGTATTAATGCGGGTAAAAATAAATACTGTAACTAAGTAGGTTTACACAAACTGAGAAAGTCAAAGAGCGTTATGTTGTGCCCCGCTTTCCCCTACTCACCTGTTCATCTCCTGTATGAAGAGTTCCTCCTGGTCCCACAAACAAAATGATATACTCTCGCCAGCCCTGGTCCAGGAAGTCAAGCAGAGCCCTCTGATTCTCCTCCAATCCAATAAAACGGTTCCATTTGTCTGTTTTGAGGCGTAGAACGGTGAAGGCCTGTTCCCTCATGAAGTCCACTCTTTCATCAGAGATGGCGCTCATCTTCACCTGCTCCATAGGAACACGTACACCGGCCTCAGCCATACTGAGACACAAAATAAAAGAGGGGAACTACCAAGTCCAGGGTAAACTGTCCATTTAAATCTACCAACCTAAGACTTTATCATATCGTGGTATCTCTTACCTCTAGCAGACTTCTATCCGTTTTCTGAGTCTGATCCAGCTGGTTTTATATCATTAGTAGGCTATATTTCCATCACAAAAATGGATGATGTCCCACACACTGGGTCGTCCTTTGCCTTCTTCTCAAGTGGGGGAGAGAAACTGAACTCCTCCTGTAGAGCCAGGCCACTGTGGTAACAGGGTCAATGGCTTTTGTGTTTCTGTACCCCCGTTGTGAGAGAGAAGCACACACCTGGCACTAATGAAACCCGAGTGCGCATTGGAAAAGCCAGCAAGGGTATCAGGTGTATGTTTGCATAAACACACTGTATAACCTGATACCTACACATCCAGCTGGATAATTTGAGCTGATCTGATGCACCGTCATTCGTGTAATACACAATGTATTTTAAAACTGATTCATATAGTTCTGAAGCACATTCAGTTGAGAAATTAAGCTACAGCAACTTAAATCTACAGCATCATGTCGCTCTGACACCTTTAAAATGAAGTGATTTGCTGTCACTGACTAGAAGAAGTAGCACACTGGCCTCTACTGACGCCAACGTTTAAATGTCCGCAAAAGTGTTCTATGAAGAACTGAAGTTTTAGTCCAGCACAATAGGTGGCAGCAATCCATATAATTGGACATCGGCCTACTCATAACCAGAGGTCAAATTGTAAAAACAAAAACAAATGGTGTGGTGGAAGTTCTCTCCTTTTTTAAAAAGTAAAAAAAATGCGCTTGAACCGTTGTCTTTGTCATTTTGAACAACGCGGAAAATTACGAAAGCTAGCTTGACCCAGAGTAATTAGCCGCGTTTCCATTACCCTTCAAATTGCGCAAATTGAAATTGCGAATTAAAAATACGCTCAATGGAAACATGTCAATTTCGCAAAAACTCCCATTTATCGCAAAAAAGTTTTTACGCTCGCATGAGGTGGTTTTTCAGGCAATTCGAAAAAGGAATATTTCGCAAAACTGCAATGGAAACAGTTTTTGCGCAATTACAGTCACCTGACTTAGAAGGCGCGTGTGTTTGGGGTCCGTGTAGGCTATTGCGTCCATTCGTTTTTCCATAGGCTATAATAGAATAGCAAAAAAAGACTTCTCATACAAAAAAAGAAATATAACACAAACTCATTTTCCAAAACTGTAAAAGGTTATATAAAAATAATACATTCATCAATTATTTTATGATAAATATATTACTGTCTTAAGTGAAGTCATTTATAGTTATAAACGCAAATAATAATAATAATTATTATTATAGCCTATTAGGCTACATTTATTAGGCTACATTTATTAGGCTACATATTTAGAAGGCGCTTTTATCCAAAAAAGGAACAAAGCAATTCGTCAAATGTCATTCATAATACAGGTTAGACAATAATACAGGGCTAAGATTATCACAAATAAACACAAGATTTTGACGTATATCCAAGGGTTTGTGGAGCGCGCACTGGATGACGGAAGCGCGGGCGCGAACACTTGAATTTTCCTGTCAACAGTGGAAACAACTTAAAATACTCTATAATTTATGGTCATACAGAAAATTATAATACATAATCCGCAACTACTTTTATTTGTGTAAACTCACAATAACAAGAAAACGTTCTTCTTTTGCTAAATAAATCAGGCGCGCTTTCATGATCTCCGTGAACTGGAACATGTCTCAGAAATGAACTGAAACAAAATATAGCCTATAGGCTAAAGCTTGAACGAACAAATTCAAATCGAAAGCAAATACCTTCTGATTATGTAATCCATATGAAAGGTGCATTTCTCTCTAAAGGCGCATCCCATCCGCTTTACAGTGGAGATGAAAATATGTTTGCAGTCGTCACTAACACTGTAGTTATTAATAAACAATTAAAATGCCTAGTTATTTTTTCAGACACATTTATTATAATTAGCCTATAATCACCTATAAATCACCTAGGCTATGGTTCCAGAGACATGGCTCAGTCGGGCTGGTTTTCAATTAGGCTACGGGTTAAAAAAGGAAAAATAAATGGTCGCAAAAGTACACGGACCGTTTGGACAGAATACGAGACAAAGTTCTTTATTAAATTCATAAAAGAAAAAAGAATTGCAGGAATACTGGATTCTAAACCTCAAAGAAATGCCACAATCAAGACCTTGGAGCAGAAATGAGGGAGAAACACGCAAAAACACCTCATGTGCCGTTCACAGTATTAGGGTCTTTCCTTACCATTAATGCTTGGATAACACACCACGTCTCCTTCCATTAATAATAATAATGTCTTGTGCGGTGGCTGCACGTCTATTCACATGTGTTAAACCTAAACGTCCAAAGTCGCATAACATCGGTTAATGGAAACGCCGTCATATCGCAATAGTTTTTTATCGATATTTAGAAAAAACGCAAAAGTTTTGCGCAAATCTGTAATGGAAACGCGGCTACTGACAATGTGGGAGTGGCGTGCGTATATCGAGACGAGGGACCTCACAAAGGACCTCACCTGACTGCAGGCTGTCTGCAGATCGGGGCGGGGCGGCACATACCTACTCTGATTGGTTCAAACGTCTTTCATAACCGTCTATGTTCATAACATGATAGAAAATCTATTCGTAGTTGTAGGAAGGAGTATGTCATTTAAAAAACTGGAAAAGCTGCGGTTTCACAAAGCCTTCATAATAATGCACGTAAGGGAAAATAAATAAAAAGCATTAGCCGTCTAACTTGCAATGTGCCTGAAATCATTGTTTCATTGTCAGAAATCATTGTTACCTGTAATGATTCTGACAGAACGTGCCAAAAGTCTTTTGCTGTAGTAATGAACGCGACGTTCACGCGCATCTGACTCTGACTGATCGACAACGCGTTTTTATTTTAGTGCTATACTTTGTGGTTATTTCATCAAACAGTTTCGTAAATTCATCAAAATTAAGTTACAATTTTACGCACGCATTTTAGACATTATAAGTGATGTTGTCTGTTTCAGGTGCGGCCAAAGTTAGACTGGAAAACACCACATTTTGACACATTTTTTTTGCTCAAATTGTATCGGAAAATCTCACAGTCCTCGTGGTCAAATATTGTGATTCACTTTAAGAAGTATTAAATCGAGTCGAGATCAACGAGACCCGTTTCGTGACCGAATCTTTTAAATCAACTGATTCACAATAAATTACATTGAATGATTCATTTGTGAATTTTCTAGAGGATTAAACTCAAAGTAGCTAACAACTCACAGCGACTTAAGTTGACAAAAACACCTGAAATTGTCAGATTCTCAGATTAAATGTGCTCTAGACTGAGCTAACCTATTTGAGCTCTTATTTGTGTGGCATTAAACACGGGGCTTTACCTCTTCAGGGGACCTTCATCCACCACAATTATTATCTACATTCACTCAATCATCTTAATCACAAAGCGCAAGTTATCTTAAGGCACACAATTACAAACATTTTAAACAGCTGTATGCTATAACGATATTCAATTCAGTAAATAACAGTAAAACGTTTTAGGTTTCAAACTGATCCCGTTATGCAAGTGTCCCAAAAATGTCAATTTAAAGGGCATATTGCAGGTTAGAGGACCCAACGAGTCAACGTATAGAAAAACAATGTAGTAATTAGATTTTCTTTAAAATATACTTAAAAAAACGTTACATTGGCTTCTGGAGTCGTTTTTGTGAGAGAATTTTACTTCCGCATCTGAAAATGGGCGTGACGGGCGTGACGTAACGGGCGGGAGAGCGGTCGACTCAAACCATTCAAACAACAGGAAAACAATGGATCGCAATGACATTTCGGACATACTCCTATGACAGACCACGGACGACAGCCTTACAATTATGAGCCTGCTATGCTGCTGAGAGAGCAGGGACAGGCCAGGATTAATGTTAGACAGAACAACGGTCAGAGGAGACACACATTATTGCAAAAGTATTATTATAAAAAAACTTGCGTGGAGTGAGTGTGCGCAGCCGCAGTTTATTGCATCACGCTATTTTTGATTAGCCTAGCTGTCAGATACTGAGTAAACATTAAAAGAACAGGCCTATTCAATCTTCCCTGGATGTTTTTTTTAACAAAGAAATTAAATAATAGCAATCAGGAGAATGGAAGCAGGAATAAAAAAAAGAGGACTATAGTGCTGTCGGCAAAACATTATACCACTGCAATAAAAACTGCACTGCAACAAAAAGGTAAGGTATATGTGTTTTTATATTTAATGCTGTTCACTGTGAGTTTTAATTAATAGTGTAATAGAGTTAATTGTGCATCGTTCATTCTGTTTGGTAAAATGTGAGGTGTATCGTTCGATAATGTCGTTGTTCTACATGCACAGAGGGGAATGCAGGCCTATTTAAAACGCAGCCACGGCAGGTGTCGTGGTGAGAGACCACCGCTAACTTATATAGCCTATATACACGTTCGCTAACGATATACATTGTGCTCACAATATTGTACAGATTATTACCATCGTATATCAGTTAATAGCAAAGCTATTATTGGTCATCTAGGAGTATTGGAATTTACCAATAACAGAATAAACTAAGCTTTGATCAGGCGCGTATGTCATGCTCATTAATATCCATCCAGACTAACGTTACATGATATAACTTAGCGTTTTCTCATCGAGAGACAGATAGATATTTTTATTCCTGATATACACGTTTTTGTTCCTCCGATCTGGTGTACGCTACACACGACCGCGTTTTTCGAAGCCGATGCAGAAGAGAAATCCTGTCTCGCAGCTGCACAAACCGCACACAGGCACGACAGCACCGTCCCTTTTCTTGTTAGGAAACCTGTGGACTCGATGTCCTGACAGGCTGGAGTTTTTGTAACCTCCACAAACACAATAATTTACCATGACGATGATAAATTAAAATACAAAAACTACCGAAAACACTGATTCACGACTGCTCTCACTGACTTTTATTTTTATTCGATGCCACAAGAGGTTTTACATATTCACAATATCACATTAACATTAGCTGCCAGGAAATAAAAAATACAAAAAAAGTTTTACATAAAATCCAGTGCTTTCAAAGCATTACATGTTTTCATTGCTTTTTTGTTTTTAGTTTGTTCCAAGAGATGTAGCCTACATTCGAGATGTGAAGTCATTTATAAAATGTGAAAAAAGCCCAATTCTTTTTATGTATATGGTATTTTCCTAATAAAACAAATAACTGTATAATATGTTGTTCTTTACATTCCAAATTGTCATTCTGAGTATAAAAAAGCAAATTTACCCGCTCTACTGAATACAAACCTATCTGCGCTGCTGATGCTTCCTCCCTCTGGTGACGTAAAATGACGCGATGTTGGAAAAAAACGAGCAGTCAAAGAAATGCTCACTTTATCTACTAAATTTGTGTCCTTATGTCGTTTTAAAACATTTTAAATCCTGCATTACCTTTTCATATGGTATTTTCATACAAGATTATATATTAATTTAGATTTTTTTTTAACCTGCAATATGCTCTTTAAAGATGAACTGAACTGAAAAAAATCGACGTTGATAACGTGTTGTTTATGACAATTAAAAGTAAATTACACTAACATTTTTAATTAAAAATATCAATATGGCTTTTTTTAAGCAACACAAAAATTGCGCTTGTTACACTGGCAGTTTCGATGACGTCACTGGCATGGTAGGACACGCAAAGGTGCATAGGCAACAGCTGCAGGTCCTAATACACAGACGAAAATGAGCACTTTTAACGGCATGGGTTACGCATTTGACCTGTGAGGGACAGTCCAGTAGTTTCTGACTACCACCACCACATGGAGGATCAGTTTCAGGCTCCACATAGCCTACAGCACAGGATCGTTTGGGGCGAAGTGACTGGTGTGGGTGTGTGAGCTGCCGGAGCATGGACACTGCACCGGAGTCAATCTGTTGCAGAGAACAACAGTCTCTGTTACAAAAAATGCACTTGAATAAATACCAAAAAGGCAGTCCATCTTAAATGATTTCTTGAACGCAATGGCCGATCATAAGCAGCACATATAACTGTGATTGGCTACATCACTCAACGCGATGTTAAAGCGTTGTTATAGAATGTTATGAATAGAAACTCTGGCTTGTAAATCGTTTCTATTTTGTTTTAGTTGTTCGTGTTGCTTTTCTGCAACAGATGAATAAAAATCTATTATTTTTTATTCAAAGATATTTCTAGTTTGCGGGAGCCCCGCGAATCGTTTTATTTATAACCCGCACACACAGAGTGAGTGCATAACCGCCCGCGCTCGCACTCGGAGTCTCGGCCATCAGATCTAGTGCCGCGCAGCACTCTATTGCGTTGGGAGTGCACGTCTCAAGGATAGTGTCGGGAAATATCGCTCGGGCAGAATAAGCTCTAGTTCACTCTTCCTACGCTAAGGAACCGAGAGTTGTCATCCAGTCTCTTTGCTAGAGAGAGAGAGAGAGAGAGAGAGAGAGAGAGAGAGAGAGAGAGAGAGAGAGAGAGAGAGAGAGAGAGAGAGAGAGAGACGAGGAAAACAAACAAGCATGCAAATGGAAATTATCGCGGCCGGAAAAATTATCGAGCAAATTTTTTTTATCGTGCGATTAATTAATTTATTGACTATCGCGACAGGCCTACTAAATAGTCTGTCACTAAAAAATGCTCACTACAGACTCGAAATCCAGGGGCTGTCGGAGGGCTAGACAGTTAAAGTCAGCTAGCCTTGACTTGAGGGCTGGTTTCCTTGTCAAAGGTAGCCTGTGAAAATGTATCGTAACCCCAGCTGCCTTAGCCCTATACAATTCATTACTACAGCCAGGGGCAATACAGTATGAACCCCAGTATGACTGTTTCCCCAGCCATGTCAGCTAGCCTCAGACTACATGCTATGGCTGCTCTGCTGGTGTTGGTTGGCAACGGAGTAGCCTACCATGCCAGTGACGTAGCCGAATGTTGAAATCCAACATGGCGGCGCCCATGTAACAAAAACAACATTTTCAACGTACAGTTTTATCCCTTTTAACAAATTCTGCCATTTTAATAATTGTACCAATGATAATAAATAAAATAGATCTGTTATATCACCGTTTTTCAAATTTCAGTTCAGTTCATCTTTAATATATTACTTGTGGGACTGGAAACGTAAGATCAAGTTGGGCACATTGCATTGTGGGATACACTATACCCAGCAGAGTTCTCCGTTGTATAATTTTGGATTATTTTTGGTGTACCGAATATTCAGGTGCTTTCTATAATCCACATACTGTGCACTGTACACATTATGAAGTATACATACATTATGAAGTATATGGGCATAGTTAATTCTCATTCAGTACATACATACCAACACCAAAAATTTGAAGCATATACAAACTTGTAGTTATGAAGAGTCATAGGAAGGTTTTTGACTTTAATTGTTTTCCATATGAAAAAAAAAAAAAAAAAAAGTTGTACAAAAGTAACATCAAATTTTACACGTTTAAAAAGTAATCAAAACGAGGAGTCTTTGATACAACAGAATCAGTATTAGACTACATTAATTGTGGCTATAAACAGCTTGGGGCTGAAGAAAACAAAAAAAAGAAAAGAAATGGAAGATACATTATGAATGTTACAGGAATAATCTGGAGAGCAATAAGAACAACGATACAAGAAAAAGAAAGTTTATTACACGATTGTTTGACTTTGCCACCTGATGTCTTGTTCGAGTTGCATGTGGGCAGCAGAACAATGAAACCAGAAGATCCTCGAACAAGATCCAGAGGACTCGTGACCGAGAGCGCAAAGACCACTAACATGACATCAAATAAAAATGAAAGCAAAGAGTGAAGACACATTTGGACGAAGGCCAGCCGAGAGGGAGGAGGATAAAATGGACAGATCATGAGTAAGTCTCCCTCACAGCAGACAGTGTCCTTCTCTTGCTGTCATTCTCACAGAACAGTCTCACTGTAATCACTCACACACAACCGGGCTTCCCGTGTACCATAATTACACAATCACACTCTCTCAAATGATCGTCCCCTGAACATATACATGAGAAAAAGTAAAAACACATGCAACTCCAGCATTTTATACTACAGATTATGATACAAAATAAGGCATTTCTGTGTATGTATTTGTGTATGAGCATGAGTTCATAATGAGCATGTGTGTCAGTGGAAACTGCAACCACATTTAATGTCATTTTTTGCCTTGTTTGTACAAAAGACTGCTATTGAACATAAATGGATAAGTCATTTTTAAAATATATATATTTATAATATATATATATATTTTTATCATATATATAAAAATTGATAGTGAAAAGCAGACGAGCTGTGAAAGTGGGCGTGATTTTGCTCACTCCATGACCTCACTGGCAGACACAGTGACCAACTGGAGTGGGAGGTCGGAGTTTGAAAGGAGGTCCTGGGTGCCAGCCTGTTGCAAATTGGTGAGGATAAGAGTGGCTCCACCCCCGGTGATGATGGTGTCCGAGGGGGTGGCAGCTTCTATCTGACCTGCCCCAGTGTTGGAGTTCAGCCCTTTTTTGTTCTGGTGAGTTTTAATGTGTTTGGCCAAATGGTCGCTGCGCATGAAACGTTTTGAGCACTCTGGACACACAAACTTCTTTTCTCCTGAAAAACAAAAATAAAACCGTAAAGCCATGTCTGATGTCAACGAGGAACCTCTAGAACTACTACTCAGCCTATTAACCAGAAGCAGTAAACAAAATTTACAGCAAGTGTTGGATCAATATAATGGGTCCAAAGAAAACATATGATGTATTTTCAGACCCTGCACAGTCCCTGATCTCTTCCAGTGAGCCCATACCTGTGTGTGTTCTGCGGTGACGCTGGAGTTCGTCGCTGCGGGTGAATCTCTTGCCACAGTAACTCCACGAGCAAATGAAGGGTCTCTCTCCTGAGTGCCAGCGCAAGTGAGCTCGGAGGTGAGACGTCTTACCGTACACCTTACCACACCCGGGGATATGACAAATGTGTTGTTTCTTCTTTCCCATACTTGAACCTCTGAAATTACACACAATTTTTAAAGTGTTGGAAAAAATTCAATAAAAATGTACACAACCAATGAATTTGGCTGTTAAAACAGAACTTGTGCTTCTGCATTGACATGTACATTACCTTCCTCCAGCCTCTTTGCAGTTGGGGCAAGTGCAGGCTACCCTACGTAGTCTTTTTCCCTCTTGGCCGGTCCCCTCCATATCCTCCTCAACCAACCGCACGCGCAGATGCGACAAATCATTGGTGTTCAGGGTGGAATTCGGCCAATCATCTGACTCTGGCTCCTCTTTAATTTGAATATCTGCAAAAACAGATAGGGTGAATCTTTTAAAACAGACTCCAAACCAACCAAGAACCTCCCCAAAATAAAACAACTGGGAGGTACACAATTTTTGAAAAAAGTAGTCAAGACCAACTTAATGACTTCAGTTATTTAATTCATTCATGGTTCCCACAACTTTGACCAATGAATTTCCATGACTTTTCTAGTCATTTATTGTTACTGAATAATGAATATAGAAAGATTCATAAATACACACAATTGTACTTGCAAAAATCTTTTTTAGTGAAAAATGATATTTTTAGAGATAAGCATTTTTTTTTTACATATTTATAAAAAAAAATAAAAAAAATCAGTCTGTGTATTCCTGCATACCTGTGTGGCTCTCCGTATTCTCATCTTGCTGGTACTGACCAACTGTGACTGTCTGAAGGTTAGGGATCTGCCCCACTGCGCCTGTGGCGCCACTCTGCCCGAGAGAGAGGGTCTGCACTGGTGCAAGGGTAATTTGGGAGGATGAGACCCCACCAGCAGACGGCAGCTGCAGATTCTGCAGGTTCTGAACTCCTTGAACCTGGAAGGTCTGCCACTGGATTTGGCCGGTCGGAGAGACAGTTTGAGCTTGGATCAGAAACGTTCCAGCATTCAATAGCTGCACGCTTTGTAGTGTCTGCGCTGCTCCATCCGCCGTCTGCGCTGATAAGAGCTGCACCACCTGTTCGCCACCAGACGTATGGTTATGCTGGATGTAAGACGGATCTTGCTGCCCGGCTGATACCGCAGTGGCTTGGGTGAGAACTCCAGTCCCGTCTATCGTCTCAGGAAGCGATGTTGTCGTGGAAGAGGTGGTAGTTGGCACAAAGGCATTAGCGTTAGCGTCATTGGCGTTAAGTGGCTCTGTGCATTTGCCGCTTTCACCCTGGTTATCACTGGTTGAGGTGGTGGGACCGGTCATGATGAGCTGGCCATCTGCAGTAATGCTTGTCGCTATGGTCTGAGCACCAGCCAATCCCAGAGACTCGAGATCCATGTTACTTAAGCTATTTATCGGCACCAATGTGATGTTGCCTGGCAGCCCCATCGGCACATTAGCGACAACCTGGCCCTGCGCGCCAAACCCTGAGCCGGCCAATGAGACGGTGGGTATCTGCTGCACGTGCCCACTTTGACTCAGTAGGCCCTGGAGGTCATTAGCATTGGTGGCGATGCCTTGTGTTCCATCCGGAAGGATAGTAATGTCAGTGCCAAGGGTGCTTCCGTCTGTGGATGCTGCATAGCTTAGTGACGCCCCATCCGCCCCCTGCAGCTGAGGGATGACCTGGTACTGCACCCCATTAGCACCGGTGCCATCTACCCCAGCAGTCACAAAAACAGACTGAGTCTGCCCTGCCATAGTCTGTAGTGGCACCACATATTGCCCGTTGCTGCCCAGAAGTCCTCCGCTGGGTACCTGCACTACTGATGGCTCATCTTTCACTGAGCTCACAGGCGTTAGAACCTCCCAGCGATCAGAGGAGCCCGTTAACTGGATGGTCGTGAGGTCTGTGGTCTGCTGGGGAGTGGAGATAATACTGTTAAATTAGCACTGACACTTCATGATGAATTTGACCATACACACAGACATTACACAACTTTTAGTCTAAAGGTCCATTCACACCAACGGACAACAACGTTTTGTTTATAATAAATGTGTGCTAGAGTTGCCTGACGCTTTAAATGCTTGATCTCATTAAGTCAAATGGATTCTAATTGGCTGTCAACGTTTTCATTCATCATTCTGAAAATTATTCCAATGATATCATTCCTCTGTGTCATTATTGTTATAGCTGTGGTGTGGACTTCACTATTCTCATAAAATTAGAGCGATTGTTAAAGCTCTATAGATATGCTTTTCATCCTTGGTGTTAATTCCATAAATATATGGAAATAAAAGTCTGTGTGAAAAAAAAAATCTATTAAAGTAATAAGCCTTAACTATAATCCCCCATGTTATAAAGAGGTTTATGCTGAAAATCCAATAGTATCAGACCTCAGAGAGGATAAAGTTAGTTTTCAAATAATACATTTAGCTTGAAAAGGAACATTTGACATTAAAGATAGTACTTAAACTCGCAATGAAATGCAAGTGGGCGACAGATCTTTTCTTCCGTATTGTGACGTACATCCAAATGTAATGGATGATCAAAAAAAAAAAATGTAGGGCAGGAACTTATTCTGTCCATCAGTTCTTGATTGGATTTTAACTCTCAGGCCCTGTTCACATCTGGTATTAAGATGTGTTTTGGTCAATCAGATCACAAGTGGACAATGCTAAACACATGCGTAAACGGGGTCTAAAGCGTTTTGAGCACATCCACTTTGACCACTTCTAGAGGTAGTCGAAAACGCATTTGACTGGATTGCTTTTGTGGTGTAGAGGCTTATGTGGTCGAATGCGTTCGAACAGCCACAAAAGACAAATCACTGATTTAAGGTATGTATTTTGGAAACTGCGCTAGCCAGATGGGATTTAAACATTGTCGGCCGAAGACCCAAGTTTGGTTTGAAGTTTTTAAAAAAACGTACTAAGAAGAATGTTCTCTCACCATTTCTGATTTCAAACTTGCAGCTATCAGAGCAAACAGTAAAGCTACTGCTCTGTTTTCCCTGTTGTCCCCGGTTGCATTCATATGTAAATTGCGTGAGATTATTTCATCTATTAGATTGAAAGATCTGCAAAAGCCCATACATTTACCCACCCATAGACACCTCCCCTCGAAGAAATCGCAACAGAAGTGGTTGAAAGTGGACAAAAGAGACGGATTAAAACACCAGGTGTAAATGGGAATGGGTCTCCCTTGTCTACTTGCGATCAACCAAAACAGATCTTAATACCAGGTGTAGGCCTTAACAGGGCCTGAGATGTGGGTGTTGAACTCAAATGGAGGTAAGATAAACAACATTGTAGGGGTGGGGTTTATGCAGACTAAATGATCCTGCATAAATCACTAGGGAGAAGTCTAACGTTTTCCCTGCAAGCTCAATTTATGACATTTTAATTAAACATTATAAAGACAAAACATAAAACCAAAAACAAACATGCACAGATTAATTGTTCAGAGTAAGAGCTATAACATGCTTTTAAATCATTTTGAATTTTCATTTCATGCTGCCTTTGATGTTTGAGGGTGTCATTCAGGACTTTGGTTCAGTTGTCTGTTTAATAGGAAACAATAACGTCTTTCAACGGCCGTGCATCTGTCATAAAAGGCAAATAAATGATTTAGTATATTCATAAGTCAAGTGCACATGACAAAAGGTGACAAAAAGCTTCTGTTTGCCAGGTCTGTACACGCAGCCGCTCCAGGGGGATTGGTGGAGCTGTGGAAGATATGTGACAGCCTGGGTAGGGGTGGAGGCTTTTCCCGGTGGAGGGGTCCTCCCCTATCGTGGGGGTGACCCGGGATCACCGCAGGTAAAGCGGGCAAGGCGACGGTGGCGAGTCTGTCCGACCCACAATGGGCGGGTTTAAATGGGTAAGAAAGTGGGTGGCCGTACAAAGCGAAGGCTCACAGGAAGTGTTCGACTTATCCCCTATATTTAAAACGTGTGAACTTCACCAAAACACCACAACACCCCGCAAGACAGCGCCGGGGAAGCGAGAAACCAACAGGGGAATTGCATACCTGGTCCTGGGCGCCGCTGGCTGGCTGCAGAAAGTCGCTCTGACTGCTGTCCACGTCCAAGGCAGCCATTTCCTGCTGTTTCGCTGGCTGTTCTGGGGCTACGGAGACACAGCGAGAGAAGGAAAAAAAACCTCAAAACAAATTCATGCTCAACGAACTCCCACCTCGAAAAGGCGGAGATTAGCCGCCAAACCGCCTGGAATTTAAACGAATCAGGAGGTTCTTTCTGCTTTCCCGTTGCCTGAGCAACAGTCTTTTCAAATGTTTACTTTGTTAAAGTGAGGCTAGCTGGCTAGCTGACGGTTAGCGTCGCTGCTGAGAAAGATTAAACACTGAGCTAGCTCACTTGGCTAATGGCTCTCCAAACTCACCGGCGGTGCTGTGCTTCGATCGGGCAAAGTGTTACGTACCAGTCATAGCGTGAAAAGGTAAAAAATCGGAGGTTTATCTGTTCATTTAAACTCCCAACATGATTGTTTTAATCAAAGGCGGGCTGTGATCGGAGATTCGGGTCGATTTTTTTTCTTATTTTTGATTGACGGTGCGGGAAACACAAAAGGTGGGGCTTCGGAGATTACCAGTGAAAATTGCGTCACGTAAACGGAAGACCCGCCTTTCTTCTACGACGTGATTGGCTGAGTGATTCGACCCCCTGGACACCGAATGGCCAAAGCTTTACGTCTGTCAATTTCACGGCACGAGCGTTTCCTGTTTGTTGTGCGCTTCGCAGATGCGGAGAGAGTCTTTGGAAATATAGCTGGAATTGTTCACGTATGGCAGGAAGTTAGTTGCAACTCTGGTGGCCATTAAACTGAAAGCGCTACAGTAGACGTATTGTGAAACATTCAGTACAGTTTGCACAATGCCACAACATTGTTTTGCGTTCACATAACGAAAGGTTATAAGACGAAAGGTTATATTGTGACATTTGCTATACATGTACACTCAACTAGTTTCGTTTTCTACCATAGTACAGCCCTTTAGATATAGCGTGCCCGAGTTTACGTGTCAGTTTACCCACCTGGGTAAACAATGCCTTGCGGAAACAGCTGTGACTCCGGATGTCAGAGCCCAATCTACAATAATCATCAAGCGCCTCACGCTGCTCATCTCTCACTTGTCGTGCACGTATAACATGTCATTTTGATATTAATATTTAAAAAATATATATATTTTCTTTTTTACAATCCGAGAATACAGTTTGGGCAATTTCTTTCTTCAAAAATGTTGTCCACTGGATGTCCCCTGTCCAGCAAGAACAACATACTAAAGTTTCCACAGTTTAGTTCACATCCAATAAATAAACATAAAAACCCAGTATAAAGAGCACACATTTATTGCTGTAATAGGCTGTTATAAAATATGACACCCACATTTCTAAAACCTCTTTTACTCTAAAATTTGTAGTATCTATTATTTATGCTACTATTAACAATTAGAATAGATAAATAATGTTACATACAGTTAAGAGCTCGATATAATATGCTAATTTGAAAATAAAAAGGTAAAACAAACTATTGTTATTACTAAGAATTAAAATGTTACTAGTAACTAAAGTATTAGTATGTAATTAATAGACACTAATAAAACTGGCATAGTTGCAAGTCAGAAACAAACAGATCATAAATCTATAGAGAATTGTATAACGTAACAATTATTGTTACCAATAACAAGAATAAACAGAAGATTAAAAAATAGCCACTTGTTTGAGGCATTAATGTTAAAACTGATTGTTTAACAAGTCTAACAAGTCTCTGTATTCCAGTAGCATCCAGATCTCTAATCTATGACACATCACAATAAAGATGGACAAACCACCAATGTCAGTACATCTAAACTAAAGGTCATTAAAAAGATAGAGGTAGAAAACTGTAAAACACACGTTCACTCTTTAGTTCAAGTTTCCAGCTGTGCTGATTCAAGTCATGGATGGTTTGGCATTGACCATCTTTGGTGCTGGGCTCCTCCGTCTGGCATCCCATTTCACGACATCTCGTGGGCTGCCAGAATAGAGATAGATTAATTTCAACATGCATACTATCCAAAGCATAAGACAAACAAATTAACTTCACAGTAATATATATATATAGAGTGTGTATGTGGCCACTAAGGCACACTTTGCCCCTTTTCACTCTCAGTGCGAATTGGGCATAGACATTAAGTTAAAACAGTATCGAAACCTCTTGTTTTTTTTGAGCTCTTGATACATGATAGCTTAGCTTATTGTATATTTAAATAATTTAAATATACATACAATAATATACAATATCATATCGTTGAACATATATATATGATGTAGTAGCCTATTTGAGTCGATATTACTTTTGCCAAGCTCTGATTTCTGAGATGCACAGACGGATTTGCGCTCGTTTCATTTTTTCTCTCACTCATTCACTTCACTCAGTATTGCATCGGTTTTAGATGAGGTATTTGGCTTCGGGAACACCCCTAATCTACTCCAGTAAAAGAATTCTGGAGGATGACCCACCCACATTTTTTCATGTGCTAAAGGGCATGTGTAAACCTATTGTTTTTTAATTTGGATAAAATATTAATCATAGGTATGGAAGCTCGTTTCCGCCACAGAATAAAAAAGGTAATTGCGATTTTTTCAATCTCACAATTCTGACTTTATAACTTGCAATTGCTCACAATTCTGAGAAAAGATGTCAGAATTGTGAGCAATTGCAAGTTATAAAGTCAGAATTGCGTGATATAAAGTAATAATTGCAAGATGTAAACTTACAATTGTGAGAAGAAAGTCAGAATTATGAGACATAAGTCACAATTAAAATGTAAATTGTTTTATTATGTGGCGGAAACAAGCTTCCATAAATAGACCTATCTATTAATATAATATTCCATACATTATCAGAGCTTGGTAGACAGATAATTATTATATTTTTTAGACATTATTAGACAGATCATTAATTAATATTATAAATAATGTTATTAGATTGGTATTAAAATTATAAACGTTTTATTATCAGAATGTTATTAAGGCTACATAAAAATCCTGTCATATACAATTTATGACATTTAAAAAAAAAAAAGATCGATTCAGACTGAACAAATTCCCTCGTTAGTTTAAAAAGAAAAAGTGCCACAGTCTCCTTTAATAATTATTTTATTATGGTCTTCGATCTTGTGCAACAACAAAAAAGACATCATTTAACGTATCGATTTACGTGCTTTAATGATCTTCTTATAACTATTACATAATTAGCGGTCTACAATAATTACACAAATTAAAGGGTCATGAAACCTGCTGTTTCAGCACCAGTTTTGAAAAATAAAAAAGTGGGCATGTAAGCTTCAACAACAACGGCTTCTGGATTCATTCATTTCGTTCTCATTGCGTTAAAATCATTCAGTTTTACCCAAATGCATGCTGCAAATCATCATTACGTGGTTTTGTAAGCTCACCGTAAATTACAAATGCACGTCCTGTGCAACACACAGCTCTGGTCAAATCTGTAGTAGTTTAGTGTTTTAAGACAAAACTGTGGTTAAAATTATATGCATACCGCCTTTGGAGGGATGGAAAAATCCTCGGAACTTGGTACCGCATCTTTGCCTAGACGCAAACTGCCTTCAAGAGTAAGGCCGAAGTCCACCTTTCTCCAATTCTCGTAGCTCTCCCGGGAAAAATGCTTGCTACACACAAACAATTTTGATGTGTCAGTAGTTGATGGCCAACCAACCGCCCGCAGCCACAGTTTAGACCTGACAGCATCGCGGGGAAAGCCATGCAACAGCCTCGAACTCTTACACCACGGAAACAAACACCTGCGACCCATGAACTCCTCCCTCGACTACTACGTGATCTTATGGTGCGTTCACGTGCTATGGTAATAATGGTAAATACCAAAAGCCGACGTGGAAAATGCACATGAACACCCCCTCCTGTGGTATTTTCCACTGGGCAACTCGTAGAATATTTTGATACACGAGTTGCCGAGATGAGATAACCTTTGACCTTTTCAAAATGGCGGAGAGCAACGCGGTAAAAATCATAAAAATATGTACTAGTAGTACTATTCATGATCTAGAAAATATACAGCATATTATTTACCGTTTGAGTTTTGATAAATCATCTTCTCGCTGTAGCAGATGACTTAAGGCTTAAGCAATCTAAAATAGTTTTAGCTAAATAACAGGTCTGGATCTCCATCTTTTTTACCACATTACGACAACAAAAGCACTTGAACGCAACTGGTAAATACAGTTCACAAGTGGAAAATATCATATTTTCCATAGCACGTGAACGCACCATTACAGTTTGACATGATGTACGTCGTAAGAAATAATTATTATATATTTTTTTTATTAATGCTTAGAACGGGAATTATAATTATTATAGAATTTAAATTATGAGACACCGACGCGTCATCGAAGTACTATTTGTCACGTCACATCCTGTGACTTCGACACGATGTAGATTTTATGCCAAGTAGCTCCCTTTCAGTGCTATCGGAATGATCGTAAATACTATATTTCCTAGTTAAAAAAAATAAACATGAACGCCGTCTCAAATCAACATTTGAAGCTCGTACGACTTCAGAAGTGGGACATTTCCGATAGCACGTGAAGGCGACACACCCAGAGGACGAAAATAGCGGGGGAAACTCAAAATTTACAGAGCAATTCCGGTGTGAGGAGGACCCTAAATAGTTTTCTCCAACAATAAAACGGATGCTAACACAGCCTTCTATGATACAATACAAACACCACTAGTGCTTTAGTGTTTCATGACCCATTAAACATTTTTGGAGCCATCAAAAGGCTATAACTTACATCATTACCGTGCGTCCAAATAAAGAAGTATGAATGTAAAAAAAAAAAACGAAAAGTGGTGTATGTCTACAGATCACGCCTATGAGTGAATCTCCATCACAAAATTAGTGTGTTTTCATGAACTAATTGTAATGGGTTGGCTCATTTATTTATGGACTTAACGGGACAAATGACCCGAATTGTGCTTATAGAACAATGCATTTGTGCATTATGATAGGCTTTGGTTAAGCGTTTAAAATGTGCACTATTAGCGATTTCCGAGAAACATTGTTGAAAACTTCCAATTAAACACACCCCGCCCCACCCAACAGAAACACGCCTCCCCAGTCCCTCATTGCTCTGCAACAGGCAACCACAACAGCTAGCGCACCAGACTGTCCCGTTACTATAGCTAATATTACTACAACAACATCATCTTGGTTCTGTGAAATGTTACTCACGTATCAAGCAGAAACAAAGCAAACTCAGCGTCCGTTTTCAGGCCTCCTTGCTCTTTAACCCTCTGGGCTTCTTCGGTCAAAAATGACCGAAACAGTATACGTTTTGAAATGTTTAATTTTTTTGCTTCATCGGAGGGGGATGAAACTTGGTGACTTTTGTTGTATTACCTATGTGAACACACAAAAAAATCAAGGAGATGATTCGGATATGTTAAAGGGTCTTAAAAAAAATAGTCACACTTAGCTTCCTTTCGGTCAAAAATGACCGACATAGGAAATGAATGGGAAATACGAAAAAATAGGAAAACTCAGAGAAACTTTTGGTGGTACAAACTACAGATCAGCCACTGTGCAGAAAAAAAGTGTACAACAATGAAGGGGTGACACTCTAAAACATCAAGAGTGCAAATAAGACACCTCCCCCCCCACACACATTAATTATATTTTAATGTGTCACGTTGAGTTTTTAAAAAAAAAATTTTTTATATAATAAAAATAAAATAAAAATAAAATTCTAATGGAAAAAATAGCTCGTAAAAATTATTTTAATAATGCAAAGTATCATAAAAATCTTTAAAAATTCTAAATAATAATAAGAAAATATTATTGAACAAAAATATATTTGAATGGTTTTCCTGGGGGGGGAAAAAGTTACATTTTAAGGCTTCGGTCTTTTTTGACCGAAAGGAAGCCAAGTGTAACCCCTAAACAAAGAAGCCCAGAGGGTTAAAGTCTCTCCAGCGCTGGAAAGCTTTTCCAATATTAACGCGGGTTCTAGCTCTTGCCTGGTCGTGACATTTCTTTTTCCAATTATATTCCTCTGACCTCTTCCTCGTTAGTAATATCTCAGCCATCACTCCTTTTTACAATTATATTCCTCTGACCTTTTCCTCGTTGGTAATATCTCAGCCAACAATCTTTCTACAAACGTCCCGCTTGCTCATCTCTCTCCTCCCCCTATTGCTGATTGGCTACAAGTGTTGTGGCGATCGGTCCGATCCAAGTGGTGCCCACTCTCTTGACGTCTTGGGTTGAGCTTGACCTAGTCCAGCTCCACCTCTGTGGATCTAATGGGTGGGGGATAGAGTTATGGTAGGGTTTTGGTTGGACCTTCTAGCTCCACCTATTACACCCAAATTACACATAGAGAGGGGGAGCTAGACGTTATGCTCGCTCCACCCATGGCTCTGCAGTGAGCAGCCTCCCGTCCCATCCACTTTGCACACACACACACACACACACACACACACAGAACAGTACATCTAGCAAATATTCATAAAATTAGTTTGGTGGTTGATTTTTTAACAGCACAAAAATCAAGCCGCACATAAATGCTAAAAAATTGCATTATTCAAATAATTTTTTCCTCCCAAATGGTTTCTGTATTGCTAATATATTTGCTTAAGTTAATCTCTATAAATGAGTTTTGTTTCACAGTAGCTTAATACTATAAATCCCATCTGACATCAAAGCAGCACATAAACATCAATATAAATGTGTGAGACGATTAGGAAAGTACCTTGAACAGAAAACACTTAGGTCTGAGGAAGTGTTTTATTAGAATAAACTGCTGTGTGACATGCAGCTTTTGTAAGCAGACCAGCCTTTACGTTTATTTCAGCCGTCAGCCAACATAATAAAATAAAAAATAAACCACTAAGGTGTGATTGTGTTTTAAATGTTCCAAAGCCATATATGAAGAGACTCAGCAGGTGCCACAGATGGTACGTTCCAACCAACTGGAATAATGATGACTTCACTTCTTCTTGGGCTGATTAGGTGTGTTGAATTTGAAGAAGATGATGTCACCATCTTCCACAACGTAGTTCCGTCCCTGTTGTCTGTATTTCCCTGCAGACTGCAAGTATTCGACACATTATCAGTTTTCAACCTTTAACAATCCATGCTATGTTCTATTATCTTTTTAAGATCTTACTTTAGCAGCGTTTTCACTGCCTTCCTCCTTAAAGTCTGTAAATTTCATGACTTCAGCCATAATGAAGCCTTTCTCAAAGTCTGTGTGGATCTTTCCAGCTGCTTGCGGGGCCTTGGTGCCTTTCTGTAAGGTGTTTCAGAGGTGCATCAGAAATGCATATATATCCCATGTAAAAATGTGTCTGTGAACATGTGCTTTGCTCACCCTGATGGTCCATGCACGGACTTCGTCAGGTCCTGCTGTGAAGAAGTACTCCAGCTGCAAGGCCGCATACCCAGTCTTGATGATCTTAGTCAGAATACTGAAACAAAAACGATTCACAACGTGAAAAACTTCAAGGGAAGAATTATATCACTACTGAAATCAAGCATGACCAAAAATATGATTGACTTTAGAGCATCAGTTTAGTACTGTTGAAAATGCTTTTTGCATGTGAAAAAATATGAAGTTTCTTAAATTGAGCAAAGAGCAAATCCTGACCTCTGCGTTTTGTTTTCCTCACAATATTTATGTTTCTCTTCATCGGTCATATCCTGATAATTGCACTCAAATCCCCCACTGAACGGGATGACCAGGGCACCTGGATCATGAGCATCAACCCACTCCTTGATCTTCACCAACCTACAAAAGAAAAGATAGCAAATGTTTTACATCAGGGCTCCCAAACTCAAGCCAGTTCTCCATCGGGGACCAGCTAAACTGTTGCAGCACAAATGTTTTAACAACCATGAATTTGGACTTCATGGTTATTTGCTAGTTACATTAGCCGCGTTTCCACTGCCGGGCTAGGGCCGGGCCAGGGCTAACAGCGAGCCGAGCCAGTGGCCTCGGGCCTCAAGCACCGGGCTTGCGTTTCCACTGCCGGGCCAGTAGCCCCGCAGCGCTGCCCTAAACCCCGCCCCTAACACGCCTTTCTGGATCAAACGTCATACAACCCAACCCATTTCAGCGGGTATTATGAATTTATTTATTTTTTAAAGTCCCTGTAAAGTCAAAATTAAGTATGTGTTTTGAGTTTGTCACACCACAGAAAAATGTGTTATTAGTCACCCAGCCAAATTTGAATGATAAAAAAAGCCAGCAAGTACATAAAATAAGCTATCAAAATCTTGAAAAAATGAGCAGTATTCTCTGCTCTCAAACGCTGGGGGCGTGTCCGCTGGCTGCGCTGAAACCACGCCCGCTCGCGGTAAAGCTGCCGTCGCACTCAACTCTACAGCCGGAATAGATGCTCGCACGGTGGGCACGCACTGCCGATGATGGCACCAGTTGTCGGCGCGACAGGAGGATGAAGGTCGAGCTGGGAGTCGGTTCGGCCCCATTCACCAGTAACAGCGGATTATCAGTGAATCCCAGTTGTCTCCGACGAAAGTTTATAAAACTATCCCGTGTAAAATGATCACTTACAGAGGCGGGTATTGGCGGTGATCCTCAGCTCTCCATCAAGGTGGCTCTTCACAAAATTAATCCACTTCTTCTTGATGTGATCGTTTTTCGGAAATTTAAATAAGGACACCGATCTGTTTTGTACGTGATCCGGTGATCGCATCCAGGTAGTACGCATTTCCGTGACGAAGGCATAGCTAGCTAGCAATCTGTATGCTGTGTTACTAATAATACTACTGACAGTAACTCGCGATTGAGCGGCAAACTGAT